GTTTGGCCGAGTGGTTTAAGGCGCCAGATTTAGGTTCTGGTATCTTCGGATGCATGAGTTCGAATCTCATAGCTTTCATTATTTTTTGGAAAATTTACTTGCATCACGTGATTTTGCGTCTGTGTACCTCTATAGTACGAAATTAATTGAACACCTCTTCTAATATAACTCTGACAGCTATTAGTCAAGCTTTTTGGAAAACGTTATGTTAGTTTCAAATGATGCGATTTGAGTTTTCCCACATGCCTAGTTGATAGAAGGACCTAAATAAAGTGTTTCTTGGAGAAATAAGTACCAAATACTTTACCTTCAAGCAATAGCTACATATAAAATCAAAATAAAATTTAGGAGCCTCTACAAAGAACCAAATCTTGATGATATTAGACTAACAATAAACTAACTACTCACTGCACCCATACCTTTAAATATATTGAGAACCAGAGGAAAGTTTTGAGAATGATATGATATAAAATATTTCGGTGAATTTCACATAAAAGATAATATTAAATGTAGTTAAAAACGACCCTATATATTTATTTACTACTTTGTGGGATATAATTACCCTTCTCACACAAATGATAGAACAAGCTATCCTTCTGAGCGAGTAGATTTTGTGGACTGTCGAATTCCTTGACAGAACCTTGATCCAAAACCAATATTTTGTCATTATCTAGAACGGTATCAATACGGTGGGCAATGGTCAAGATAGTTCTTGTCTTGAACTGTGTTCTAATAGTCTCTTGAATGATTCTATCTGTCTCCATGTCGACCGCTGCAGTTGCTTCGTCAAGGACCAATATTCTAGATTTATTCAACAATGCCCTAGCAAGACACAGCAGTTGCCTTTGACCTAAAGATAGATTGGAACCATTTTCTGCAACTTTAAATGCCAAACAATCCGAAATCGAAGGCGCAGTAGTATTGCTATCACCTTGTGCTAGACGAACCAAATGAGGTTGAAGATGGGCTAATGCAAGTGCGTTCCATAAGTCGTCATCAGTGTGCTTATTGAATGGATCCAAATTATAACGTACATTTCCTTCAAATGCTTGTGCATCTTGAGGAATAATTGCCAAATTACTTCTTAAGGTTTCTAATCCAATGGTCGAAATATCGACACCATCAACGAGTATTGAACCCTCAGTTGCCTCCAGCAATCTAAATAATGCTAAAGTTAAAGTAGATTTACCTGCACCTGTTCTACCGACAATCCCAATTTTCTCCCCTGGTTGAATTTTTATAGAAATATCCTTTAACACAGGGTTTAAATCAGCCCTATATGAGGTCGTATAATCATGAAATTCGATAGAACCTTTAGAAGGCCATCCATTTTCAGGGATATGACCACTAATGATCTCAGGAGCTTCCGGTTGTAGATCACAATACTCTACAACTCTTTCAACAGAAACCACATTGGTTTCTAACAATACGGACGAACGTACAATCCATGTCAACGACATAGTTATACTTAAAACATAACTCATCATTAAACCTACCATACCAGTACCTAATTGATTTTCTGTGTTGATTGTTGATAGGGTTAGCAGTGCAGTGCATAGGATTACAAACGCACCAATTGCTTGTAATCTAATGGAAAGCCATCTGTTAGTGGACCTGTAGGTGAAAACACAGTCAACATTATTTTGGACCCTTTCTTGATTATAATGTATAAACAAATTATTCTGATCATATGCAGCTATAACAGACCTACCACCTAAAGTTTCGCTCATTAAAGACATTATTGGTGAGTACGAAATACTGGTAAGTCTTTTAAGTTCTCTTGATTGGACCATAAAAATCTTTTGATACTGGTAGTACAGAATAAGTAGAACCCCATTGAAAACAAAAAACCATGGCATATTATATCCGATAAGGATAATTGTCACTAAATAATCTAAGACGCAGTTAGAAAACACCGCAAATATATTCTGGATTGATGAATCTATTGAATCAATATCAGAAGAAAAACGATTGATAATACGACCGACTGGAGTAGTTTCAAAAAATTGCATTGGACTACGTATAATAGAATATGCCATTCTATTATGGAGATTTTTGGATGCCCTAATAGAACAATATATCAAAAGAATGATAGTTCTTAAGTTACTAAATCCTGCGGATACAACACCAATCAGCGCATAAACAGAAACAAACATAAAAACATTACCATTTTTACCAGTTTTTTCATTAGATTCAGACCAATACTTCAACCAAAAACGTTCACCAAGATCGAATATCCTGGCTAGAAAAAGAAATATCCCGAATAAAACTACACCACCTAACCCACACGCTTTTGCATATGTCATATAGACTGATAACTTAACTCTACCTTCAGCAGTCTTTTCTCTTTTTTGTCCAGTCTTATGTTTATTGTCATTAGTTTCCACTAAAGGAAGTGATTTTAAGGTTGCAAAGGATGATCTCCTTAAGGCAATATTTTCAACATCGGTATTATCCTGAATACCATTAAAATTTTCATCTTCTAAAGTTTCCACTAAAGCTGGAATTTCGGAACTGGAATCAGGTTTAATTTCAGTTCGTATTTCTTCGTTTGGCGTGCTGATACCAGATTGGTCGTTGTTGTTACTGTCAAATGTTAAAAGCATGTCTGTTAGTAAAGAATCACCAGCTTCTTTCAAGATGGACTCTTGGTATGTCCCTTCTTCAACAATGGAACCTGCTTGCATAACATAAATATTTTTTGCAAACTTAAGCACAGAAAGAGTATTTGTGGACAATATAACCGTCTTATCCTTAAGCAGACCGTGATCACGATCTATCACATCATGAATAATATTCTTACGAACGCCAGCATCTACTGCAGAAAGAATATCATCAAGTAAGTAAATATCTGCCTGTGCATACACAGCCCTGGCAAGTGCCAAACGTGCCTTTTGACCACCCGAAAGAGATATACCTTTTTCTCCTACTATAGTTTCATCACCATCCGAAAATATACTGAAATCTGGTACTAACTGACATGTTTGTATCGTTTTATCATATACAACTCTGTTGAATTTACGACCAAAAAGAATGTTTTCCTTTATCGATTGATTCATAATCCACGCTTCCTGAGGACAGTATGCAATTTCTCGACCATTTATGTATAATCTTGGAGGTTTATTTTCCATGGAACCACTAACACACGGTAACTGTCCTAAAATTGCTCTTAATAACGTCGTCTTACCGGAACCCACGCGTCCTACTATACATGTCAATTCTTTTGAAGTCGCAGTAAATTTATCGATATTTTTCAGTGCAACTTCTGTGGAGCCTATACTTTCTTCTTCGTCATTACCTTGTTGGGCAACTAACGCATTCTTTGATTTCCATAAAAATGTTGCATTTTCTATCTCAATGGCAACGTCGTTGTCCATAAAGTCCTCGGCTGATTTTTCAATAAAAGATGTATCGATTTCTTCGGCTAATAAGAATTTTTTTAATCTTCCCATTGAAACGTTTGTTTCAATAATGGTGTTAATCGTCGAAGGAATTTCATAGATGGCCATATTTAATATGTTGAAAAGCGAAAGAGATGGGAATACCAATTCAGGTGTCAAAGGATAATCGTTGACATAAGAGAAAATTAAAAATGAGGAACAAGTAACCATAAGCGGTACACAGTTCCATGCAAAGTAGATTAAGCTAGAAGCAATCCCAATCTTTTTTAAATTTTTCAATTCTTGATCATTACGAACGTGATTTAATTTTTCCAGCATTGGTTTTTCCCATGCATAAAACTTAATAGATTTGATTGAACTTAAAATTTCTGTAATTGTCTTGATTCTAATATCTTTGAATTTCATTTGAGTTTTCGTCAATTTTTTTATTTTCCTAGACAAGAATGAATTTACAGGGATCATTATTGCCATAACTAATAGGCCACCAATAATGGCTTTCCCGAGTAGGAAATATAATGATATTAATACTGTCACTATTTGTAATGGAGCACCAATGATAGTCTGGGAATTTTCAAAAAACCTTTGTAACCTTAAGACATCGACAGAAAGTAAGTTCAATATATCACCTGTAGTATATTCACCTCTTGATGCACTAGAAAGTTTTAATGTCTTCTGATACACTAAGCTCGCAACTGAACCCCTTATTCCTAATCCTGCTTCGAAGATTGTTATGAAAAATTGATTTTTCAAGATTGTCGAAATGATGTTAATCAAAAACAACGAAAGTGCCAAAAATACACCATGTAAAGGAGGGAAAGAGACTTGGGAATCTTCCTTATTGAAACACTTAATAAATAATCTTAAGATTTGTGGTTCAATAATGTTTAATAAATCATTAACAGTTTCCATAAACATAGCTAACAAAATTGTCTTACCGAAGGTTTTCCAAATTGCTGTTAATAATGAATTTTTCTTCTGAAGTCTCTGATATTCCCAATTTTTTTCTATTGATACAGTAAAATCACGAATATTTAAATTAATTGGGGGTAATGGTAAATGATTCGGATCCTTTAGCTTCTTATTCTCGTAAGTTTCAGAGATCAACTTATTCATCCACATATAAGTTAAATTGGAAAATACGTTAACAGAATGGAATATGTCGTTCTCATCATAATATTTAATGATAAGCTGAGAAGGCTTGTAAAGTGCTAAGTCGTAGACAAATATTAATGTAGCATTTAACGTTATTATTATCTCTAGGATCATCCCGACATTACCATGTATTAGATTGTATGATTCATCTGGGCTATGGTAATATCTTTGTAAAATTTGGAATGATAGAAACAAAATTTGTACTAAATAGAAGAATAACTGGTTTCCAATCGCACATATACTTTTAAAATATTGAATATACTGCGTTGGTAATGATATTAGTACTGAATAACACAAGTTGGATATTATTGAATATTTTATGATTGGTGGGTAGCTTTGTGTGGTGTCTTTCATAATATACATAAGTTGAATATAATAACATGTTGCTTGGAATAAAATAGATGTCAAATGAGATATGTGGCTTGTGGATAAAGTTTGGAACTTTTTAATATTTTTATTGAATTGTCTTGGAACCTCTGTATTCAGATATAAATTGAATAACTGCCATAATCCTACAATGATAAAGAAAATAGTAGTTGATGTGGACACTAATCCTAAAAAACATGGATTCAATGCATTGGTAGTGCTATCAATGTATGGCTCATAACCATACTTGCATGTCGCCGATACAGTATTATTATTGAAAAGGGGGTACATTATGATGATGCTTCATTCATTATCACGAATAAAGGGGTTTTAATATGTAAAAATATGGTACCCGTCACGATTTTTAAAAAGTGGTGTGGAAATAAAGTAGAATTTTTTACTTTATACCTTAATAGATCCTGTTTTCTTAAATATACTTAAAGATTTTTCTTATTCTTTTCAAAAGTGAAAACAATTGGATAACGTAGCAAAAATATCGCTTATCAAGATTAAAAAAACGCTCTTATTGTATTAATAAAGTAGCAGTACTAGGAGATACTATTATAACTTCTTTACGTTCTTCTTTAATATAATACATAGTGTAATCAAGAAGTAGTGAATATATATATAAATATATATATATTTTTCAAAAAACCCAAGAATAAGAAAAATATACAGGGTTTGTTAGATTGAGCTTACACAATTTTTTCCCTTCTTCGCCCATTAAGTATCTGCGCCATATATCTTAAAATGCGATGGCATCGATATAATAGAGGTAACGATTAGGCCCTTTAATTACAGTGTATTAGTAAATACAAAACTTGGTCAAACTTTCTGAAGACTGTGTATATTATATTTCCCTAATCAGCCTCTATTTCATTTGTTGTTAGCATTGTGCATATGCACCCAAGTTTTATTCTCTACAGGTATTTCTTACCAAAAAATAATAACAAAACAAAAATTCTTGAAGATCTTTATTTCCATGGACTTAATTCAAGTAATAATATCTTAAAAAAGTAGATTTGCATCAACTCAAGCGGCAAAGCGATCATGTCTATACAGCTTGCTCTCTGTACCTCATCTTCGAAGATATAAAAAATGTTGCCAAGAAAGAGACTATTTGCTATAATAGTGACACATTTTAGTCATCGGAACGAGAGAGAAAAGAACTCCTCACTAAATGCAATTTCTGTTAGAGGTATTCGGATATTCCTTTACTGTTATATTTCTTTTCCATATATATAGAACATGATAGCAAATATTGTTTTAAATCTATAGGGCTAAAATTAAATAATTTGTATTATTTTATAATAGACACATACAAAAGCATCCTAGGAAAGTAGTGTGTAATACGTACTATTTTACATTATTTTCCACTTCCTTTTTTTTCACTAATTATATTAAATTGAAACTCATCAAATCACACTCTATTTATATTAAGGCTTGTTTTCATGTTTAACCATTTGCTGCTATTTTGTGCGGTGTAGCTACTTAAGATTTAATAGTATGTAATTATTGTATTCTTCTCTTATAAACCATTTTTGAAATAAAGTTGTAGTGTCGTGGCCATTGCATTGGACTAATCTTGATTTTAGTCAGTTACTTTATGAATGTATTAAAACAAGATAATTAGATTATTCACATTTGACGCTTTATACGATGTAGTAATTTGAGGCATCAAAGTAGCAAGAATTAAAAACAAAACGTAACACAAGATGACATTGCATATATTGTTCACCTAAAGAAACAAGAAAGTCGTAATCACTTACGCTCGAGAAAGGAATATGAACTTAGAGCCAAGTATGCAAATTTCTAGTGAAGGATAAAATAGGTTCGTAACTATAACCTTAGAGTAGTTAAACTTTTCTTTTGTAAACTGTTCAACAGAAATCTTCCAATAATATCGAAAACTCACGTTTTTTAAAAAAAAAAAGTTTAAAATTCAAATATTCTTAATATGTCTTCTTATACTTAGAAAACAAGTTGGGTATATTGAAGACAATGTGCACAGTAAAAAATATCATCATTCGCCATTAAAGGGACCATATTCATTCATCTTTTGTATTTTATTACTCTCAATATCTTCAAAATTGTAGTAGTCTTGTTGTTTTGTAAATACTTAAATTATAATCTAGCTTATATAACTCGTCATAACCGTTTATCTAAATCGATCTTACTCACAGTAAAAAGATGTGTGTTTTTAAAAGGTTGACCAAACATGTTTTATTTTACTAAGATATCGGAGTTTTCAGTTATAATATGGCCCAAATACAATAATCATGCTCCTAATAAAATTATATATTTTATAAAGGTGTCAACGAAACTTCCTTGTTACCAGTTTTGTATTCTTCCTCTTGGTTTTCGTTTTATTATTGACAAGTGCTAATGTACCAATTGAACTAAAATGACGCTAATCGCATCGCTGTAAAAGGTTCTCTGTTAACTCTCTCCGACCATCTCACAGAGTCAGAAAACAGCAGCAGCAGCAGAGAAAATATTTGAACAATAACTATTGAGATAAAATTTATGAGGCCGGAACCGGCCAAAAATAACATATTTGATGTCACTAAATCTCGGGGTTAAAGAAAAAAGACACTATGGAAAGAACCATAAATAGACAAACTAATACGTAAAGAGCTTAAACTAGGAACCGTGCCACTAACTAGTATAGGTATCGCTTTAAAAAAGGAGTCTTCTATCGATACAATGTCTAGTTTTGAAACAGTAGCAAATGAAATTAAAAATGTAAAATGATCTCTTCTCGAATATTAAGACAATTCCGGCGCTTTTTGATGAGGTAGATGACAAAGATTAGACTCGTGGAACGGAGAATAAATATTCATGCAAGATAAATTGTAGAATATCAACATTCTCCCAAACAAATAGCAATGGCATTGGAAGAAAGTTTGGGGGGGGAGAAAAGTAATACAAATTGATCTTAAGGTGATGGTACCACTGTGGCTTATTAAATATCTTGTTTCAATTATTGTGTTGGCTGTTAGGTTGTTGTAATATACCTATATACCAAAAGTAAGAAAGGAAAATTAATCACGAAAACGTGAGGAATAATAAAAAAATAAAATTGATTGAATGAAATAATCAAATATGCAAAAGAGAATATCTATTAAAATGGATTGTTAACCTAGATAAAAGTTTAACAATATTTATGAAAACAAATATGAAAATATATAATTAAATCGTTGCGTCATTAGATAGAAAGAACATCGCCCTCATAACTAAATTTTTTTAGTTTATTCATCCTCTTTAGTTAATTTCTTCAACTCTCTTAATCTATCAATAAGTTTTTTCCTTCTTGTTAAAGGAACTTCAGTAGACATATTTTCACCGCTATCCTGAACATAATCATTATGAAAAGATGGACTACCATCGTTTTGTCTCTTTGCCAAGTTATAATAATCATTAAATATTTTTCTTCTTCTTACGTTAATAAACCAATTAGAAAGTTGAATCTTTGTCAACCCCGTTTTAATTAACAGTTCTCTCTTTTCTTGAGCAGTTGGGTATGGATTATTTAAATGGTTCAATAGCCAAGAGTTTAATACTTGTATCGTTTCCTTTGGTAAATTAGATCTCGATTGTCTTCTATCAATTGTTTTCTTATTCATTGATTCACTTTTTCTCCTAATTTGTGTATCACTCTCTACAGGTGTATCCTGTTTTATAATGGAAGGTGCAGGACTAATACTTTCATCGCTTATTGATGGTGTACTGTTTTCTGTTTGTGTGGTAATATAATTTGGTGGAGATGAAAGTTTAGGGATACTATTAAAAGTTTGGCTAGTTAGTGGAATTTGATGATGATGATGAGAATGAGAATGTATTGGTTGTAATGTTGGTCTTGGTGAACTAATAGGAACCATAAATTTTTTATTCATTAAATCATTACTAGTACTAGCTAGCAAACTCAACGGACTTTCATTTTTCTGTTTTATATCTTGGTGGGATGGTTGTTCTGAAACAGTTGGTTGTACATCTATAGAATTCAATAATGATTTTATAGATGGTAATTGTATGTTGGTATTAGCAGAATTCATAATAGCAAATAGAAAAAATATTTATACGAGTATTTGTATTTTTGAATGGTTAAAAAAAGAATGAATATAAAATGCAATAAGTAGAGATTAAAATTTCTTTTCAAAAATATATATCTTTTTTTTAAAAAAATGTCAAAGAACTAATAATTACTGTAACAACAACAAATAATGAAAAATAGAGGATCTTTACTAACTAATGGAACCTATGTATAAGTACTTTAAAATATGTCACTGTTATAATAACTGGGAAACTATTTCACCATTTAAAATTGAATTTAGGAAAGATATAAATATAATAGTAAAAGTCTTGGCTATTATAACAACGTTTAAGTATATATATAGGATTAAATGAATACGGAAGTTGTTACATGTACACACTTTAATAATATTGATAAACGAATGATCGGAATTTCAGTCATAGGTTGGGAACTTAACAGATATTATTGTGGACAAAAATACTGTACAGGTTTTTTTTATATCACGAAGAAAAGTACCAAGTAATACATCAAACTTTCAAGGGAGGGTCTAAGAAAACGTACATATGTTACTGATGTACTTTAGTCCATAGACAGAAGGAAGAGACTTCAGAGCACATAGTGAAAATTCCATTAATTCAGCATCATCGTCTTTAGAAATCATCTACCAATTTATGATTATTATTATCATCATCATGTTTTGATGCCACCGATTTATTTGGTTGAGATATGGCTATTATATTCTTGGTAAATTTTAAAAAGAAAGGCTGCAGGATACAAAAATAATCTGGTCAACATACTGTATTTGGAACAAATAAAATACGTACAGAGAAAGAGGTGTGTACAGACAGGTCAGTGGACCACACCAACTCTGAAAAAGAAATAAGGAAGCGAAAGAAAGCTTTGACTGAAAAAAGCTGTAACAAACAAAAATATCAAAATTACATAATAACAATAACCCATATTAAAACAACTATCTCAATCGGTATCTTCGATGCGAGATTGGTCAAATGACACATACTTTGCCAATTAATGTTCTTACTCTACGGGAAAATTCTGCCTTACCTTTATTAACCGCACGTATTGTTCCGCCTACCGTGACAGTTTTTTTTTCTTTGCCCACCATTCACAGTAATTGATCTCTTTACTTCTTTCCGTCTCGTAATTACTACTATTCTCTCTCGTACTATCACTTTGCCTCATCGTTTTCTGTGGTATTTTGATTGATCTATCTCTCTCTGTTTTTAAAAAAAAAATTCCCCCTGCGTGGATATCTGTACGTCCATATGCTGACGATGCGAATTTAAAAAAATAAATCTAACTAAGAAGCGTGAGTGGGATAATCGAATTTTTTTTTTTTGCAATCATTCAATATTTTGTTTTCGATGTGTAACAAAACTGCGTAATCTTTAGAGCAAAGAAAAGTTGAAGGTAAGAGTCAAAAACAACAACTAAATATTCATCAAGAACAGTTGGCTACTCTTACTACTCTTCCGGGATTCCCTTTCTGCACCAACATCTTACCTTTCAGTATCAATACTTTTTGTGCCAAAAAAAATAACTTACAATAATAAAGAAAGAGAATTAAAGACAACAACCTACAGAACTTTATGAGTTATTCTCCCACGCGAACTGGAGGAGATAACCATACTGCCCTATGGTGTGGCGTGGGGAGACAATTATGGTTTAGACAAATGCCGTACACACATTTTTAATTAGTTTATTTTAATTTTTCTTTTTGGCAGAAAATAATATTTCTACCATGGATATTTCAATTCCGTTGGGAACGTGCGCTTAAGAATTTCATTTCTGGAATAATGTTGCTCTTCTATAGAATAGAGTGAAGAAGGTTTAATCAATATTAAGGAAGAAAACAAAATCTTGATCAGATAAATCGGACATAGATCCATAATCGGGAAAGCACTCCCGAAGAGATTTGTTGTGGTTATGTATATCTAAGAGTTCAAATCAAACCTTAAGCACCTTTTACAAGTACCAGTCTATAATAACACAGATGTGATATAAACTGCCACACATTATTATTCTCTAACTGTGTATATTAAACTCAATTTAAGGGTAGAAAGGGTTTAACTTGATAAAATTGTAGTTACTATATCTAGTATACTTATGTTAAAGTATACTGCTGTTATCAAAATGGAAAGACAACTTATGAATGTATTCTACAAAAATCATTTAGTGTCATAATCCAATTTTTTACTCATTATTATCTCTTTTTGTGTTATGTTTTCAAAATAAAATAGTAATAATAAAGTTGTCTATATTTTGTCATAACTTGGCATATTCATACTATCTAGTATTAGTTTATCGATTAAACAAATTGGAATTCTGTGAAAGATTCTAGGTGATCTTTTTTTACCTTCCATTTTAAATTCAAATCGTATACTAAGAAAATGACTAATCTTAATTCTTGCCATATTTGGATTTTGAGTACTACTTTCACAATAGAAAGGATGTACAAGAGTATTAGCTTTGATTAATTCATTATAATTTGTTATTCTTAAGTCATTGATTGAAATTATTTGAATATCTTCATTTTCTTCACTATTTTCAATAGTTTGATATAATCTATCTTTACTTTTAATTCCAGAATTAGTAGTTTGTCCACTATAAAGACGTTTTTCAATCTTAAATATATGACAACCTGTTTTAGTATTATTGTCATCATCAGTATTAGATGAATCCATATAATTTAATGAGGATGATCGACCAAATGGTATTGCAACATTTTGTATTAAGAAAACTGTTATAGTATCTAATGGATATTTTTTTTGAAGTAATAATTCAATACATATATTAAAATGGGAATTAATTTCAATAATTCTACTATCCAAACATATTTGATATTCAACATTTAATTTGTTACAAATTCCACGATAAAATACAGCATCTTTTAATAATGCCATGTCATATTCATTTGATAAGACTCTATGATATTGAATCTTTCTTGATAAAATTAACCATTCTTTATAATTTTTTTGTAAATCTTTTTTCATTATTTGACATTCAACTCGATAAAACGTTTTACCCCAAACTGTATTTAATTGAGCAGGAAACTTATTTGGATATATTATAAATGTAAATGGTAATTCAATTTTGCCAATTTCTTGTAATTTAATTCCGTTTGGGATCATTTCTAATAAATTAATATGTAATGATTGAATAGGTAACATTCTTAAAAGTGTCCTTTTATCAAATATTTGAAATGCAACAGATGTTGGATATTTAGATTCATTTAATTCATTATCTGTTTGCATAATAATTTCTGTAATAAAACATTTAAAATAAATATTAATCGAGTCTAATATAATTGGAGATTTTAATTCTTCTATGACATCAATAAGTATATGGCCTTTTAAAGTTACTGCTGAAGTTAAAATACTAGCACCATCATTTGTATCATCTAGATTCATTCTTAAATTGGTTGAATTATTATAAATTGATGGTTTATTAATAAAGTTTAAATCAGACATATAAATATTTCTTGAACTTTTTGGAATAATCAATCTAATTGAATAAGAACCCTTTTTTTTATTCCCCCAAATAAATTTATTTATTTCAGGATTTTCAATTATATTTGATGCATCATAATAATAATTTGGTACAATGAAATTATCTTTTAAATTTTTAATTGTATTTTTATCCTTTAATTTACAAAGTTTAATTTTTGTAAATACAGATTTATTTGAAACTGTTGGTATATATTTTTTGATTAGTGATCTTTTAGTGTCTGTATTTAATTCAATTTTATTCTCGAGTCCATTTAATAATCTAAACATACCCATCAGTCTATCAGTTGTATGTGTGTTCGTGTTTTTACAATTGTAAAAATTATTCAAACTATAGTTTCTTGAAATTAAAAGTAATACTAAACATTTTAAAAAGTGATACTTAATGCCATTAAACTATATGCTTTTACGAAATATATATATTATAGCCGCCATTCATACAAAAAGTCAAATAGAAATAGCTTATCTAAAGGGGAGCGTAAAAAAAGAAGAAGAAGAAGAAGTGAGAATCGTATATAAAGAGAGAGACTAAAGAGTAATGAATAATTAAAGGAAAAAAAAAGATTCTTAAATAAATATATTGTGTGTATATATTATTGTTAAACTAATGTTGAACTTTAATATCACCAGTAGTGGCATTTTCATGAGGAATTTCATCATATTTTGGTAAAGAAGAAGAATTTTCTTGAATATCATTAGCATTTCTCTCTAAATCGATATTGAAGTCACCATTTGTTAGTGGAACTTGATCTTCTGATAATGTTCTACCACCATTACCAACTGTTGAAGATGAATTATCTCTTTCTAAATCACGTTCTTTACTTGATTCATAAACGATGTAAAATGAATGAATTGTAGCTGGGAAAAATAAAATCATAAACAGTAAAATATTTAATAAAGAATCTTTACTACAGAAACCTTTTCTAATGATAACTGGCACAGGTGGAATAAATACAGCTAGAATAATTAATAATAAATCATCTTTATTAATAGAATATTTTGAACTTTCGTTAGCCATTGCTAATAATTTTTGTATATGTATGGGTGATGTTATGTTATTGTACTAGTCACTATAGGATATATGTACTAATCACAATATAGTCACCTTTTATATTATCCAGTATGTGTATATATATATAAAAGGAGAACCCATCCTTTCTAATTTAGTCAAGAATTGCATCGCTGCCACCTTTACTCACTTTACATATTATACTTTTGACATTATTTTTAATTTTGTTTAGCAAATTTCTGTTCATTTTAGCAGAGCAGCACGTTGTTGTTGCTGTATGTTTTTTGTCTCCTTCTTTTTTCTCTGGGGGAAAGCGAAGGGAATATCGATTGAGGCTTTGACTTGTTGCTTTGTGCGGACGTTTCTCCTGGAAGGGGGAGGGTTTCCGTTGTTGCAAAAAATAGAAATTCTGTTATTTTACGTAGTTGAAATCGCCGTCCGCACGTCGTTGAGAGTGACTGGCAGGGTACGCCCTTTTTATTACCAACTTCTTTCAACCACAAAACAAAACCCATCAAGCTATATATATATCTTTCAATGGATTAGTCTCGTCCTATTAAAAGAGTCATTGCACGTAACGAAAGGGTTGTCAAGACGATCAATCAAGATACTTATACATTGTAAAAGTGTTAATACGAACGTGTGCATCCTCTCCCTCTTGACAACGTGTACAAGTTGTTATTATATTCTTGGTTTCATTCATTATTACTGAACTGTTCCCTATATATATAAGAAATATTAAATCTAATTAGTCTTCATTTAAAGTCGTTGAAGTTTTCTCTAATTTTGGTTATTATATGTCTTCCCCTTTTCTTGTGTTCCCTGCCCCCATTGTTTTCGATCTAAGCGTATAAATTTTACTATGGACATCTTCTATTCCTCCATTTTTCTATGCGTCTTTTGTGATAGATTTTTGAACACCTATCTTAAATAAATTGTATATTTATAAGGACAATAGTGTACAATACATTAATATATATATATATATATATATATAAAGGGTTATCTAAAGAAACAAGGGAATAAAAATATATCTATCTCTTTATATATATAGAGAGAGAGAAAGAAAATAAAGAAAGGAGGAAAAATCGTTGATACTAAGTGATAAAGTGTTATTGTGTTGTTTCTTTAAGATATTCTTTACGTCATGAGTAGTTTACTCAATAATAATAATAATAATAATAATAGCAGTGGTTATAAAGATTTTGAACCTACAAACTCATTCCCACTTTTTAAATTGCCTGAAGAATTATTATTTGAAGTATTTTCAAATTTACCACAACCAGATAGATTAAATGTTACCGTTTTAAATAAAAAATGTTATAAAGTGGCAACAAAATTAATTTATAGAAGAATTTATTTAAACGATTCAAATGTTGTTCGTAGTGATTATATTAATATTGCAATTAATTGGACTCTATTAAATATACCGTCATATTTAGAAGAACAAGATTCAAGAGAAATTGCAAATAAAAAATTAAAATTATTGATTCGTGCATTTATAACAAATAAAAGAACTTTAGAATCTGTTCAATGGATACGAATAAATTGGGATCTGGATGAAGATTTACAAAGAAATATATTATCATTATTATGTTCAAATGGTATATCTTTACAAAGATTAGAAAATGTTACGGATCCAATGTGTAATGATATTATTGCAAATGGTAAAATATCATCAAAACATTTAACAAGTATGGATATGGCTCCCCCACATTCATTACCTGAATTAGATGTACCAAGAGATTATATTCCAAATTTAATTAATTATTTAGATAAAAGAATTTCAACAAATTTATCACATATGACATTATTTATCGATCCTGTTAAATTATTCAATTATTTATATCATTTAAAAGAAAAATTAACAATTGTTGATTTAAAATTACATTGGAGAAGAGAATTTTATCCATCAAAATATTTTGATGAAAATAATGTTAGAATACCAAAATTGAAAAAATTAAATGAAATTTTTGATGTTAGAACTTTAAAGACTTTAACAATTATATCATGGAATGAATCATTAATATCAAGAGAAATTGAAATGATGAAAGAATTTAAAGAATTTATTTATTTAGAAGATCTTTCATTAATTTCAATAAAACAGGATATTAATATTCTAATTGAATTGTTTAATAGATTAATTAATTTAAAAAGATTAAAAATGGATTTTTTAGAAGACTATATTCCAGAGACAACAAATCCACAAATTTTTTTATCAATTTTATTAAATTGTAAAAAATTAGAATTTATTGATATTAGATTTGAAGGCATTGATTCACCAATTATTAATCTTGTTGGTGAAAAATTTGAAATATCACAAAAATGTTCATGTAGTAAATGTAATTTTACATTTAATGAAATTTTAAGGAAAAAAATTTTTTTATTCCCAATTGATTATTATTTAAGTGATGTTCAAGATATTGCTGCAAAGGATATATTTAAGATGATGAGATATTTATCACTTTTACCTTATTCTAAAGCATGTGATTCTTATCCAAGTGTTAGAACTCAACCAATGAATTTAGAAGCATTTGTTAAAAAAATTAATGAAAATTTAGTCACCTATAGAGGAAATAGAAAGCAATTATTAAATGTTGATAAAAATAAAATTGTAAATGTTAATGATAGTACAATTTCAAGTGCAAATAGTGGGAATACTAATAATACTAATAACATTGATGAAGATTATGATATGGATCTAGATTTAGAAAGTGAAATTGATATTGAATTAGATATTGATAATATTTTAGGACAAACATCAAATCAACAAAATCATACTAATGAAACAGATACAGAGACATCAACAGCGACTATTAATACTGGTGGAATTGGTGACACACAAGGTTTCATATCAGCTTCAGATTTATCAACTTATAAAGAAAATTTATTAAGATTACCTCATAAACCATTAACAAAAAATGATATCATTTTGTTATACCATACATTAATTCATCATTTTAAGACTACATATTATACATTCTTAAAGGGGTTCCCGCGATTAAGGTTCCTTATGCTAAATGATATACCAACTATTACCATGGAGGAAAATAATGAAAGGATATTTCATCCAGTCTTTTACCATTATGGTTACACATCTAATTTGCATGGTTGGTCAAAACATAGTGCTACAAATAAAAATTCAAATAAGAATAATGATAACGATAACGATACTGTCACAAAGAGAGCTACTGTCATATAGACTTACTAGTAATAATTGTGCCCTTTTATCACAGTATTTATTTTTCATTTTAAAACATACATGGTAATGTCAACTCCAAATACCCATTATGTACATGCACACACATACACACACACTTTTATATATATATATATACATATATATATGTTTGTACATAACCTCAGCATAGTTTTTAACGTTAATAATTATAAAAAAAATCTATTGTAACAGAATATTGAATATATAAAAAGATAATGTAAATGACATTTCTATATTAATTTAAATGAATTTGATTATTATGGCCCTGCCATACAATTAGCTTCTAATGCCCTAAAAGTAATTGAATGAACGCAATCAGTAAGAAAAAAAAATTTTTTTCAGCTCGCGCTGCAGTTAAATTTCTTCCTATAAAAGAAAACAGAAACAAAACAGAATAGTTACTTGAATTTCTTCTTTCTCTCCTCCTTACGTTCAATTGTTATTTCTACTTAATTTGGAAATAAATGTATGGCATAACGCTACTTTGATACGTTACACTAAATTTGATGTCGGTGGGGACGTTATTCGATGTAATTGGATGAATGTTCATCATTTGTCGTATTCCTTTAGTTAGGTCGATAGTCCCCGTTTATTTTAATCACGTAATGTACCAAAAGTTATGCCATATTTAGATACTGATATCGAAGATTAAGCTACGGTTGTACCATTTTTTTGAAAAAAAATGGTATAATTATCCAACTTTAAAACCATCGCCGTTAGAGGTTGCTTCTTTTCGGAGTTAAGCGATCCATGAAATGGTGATGACCTATGGTCTGGAACATTTTTCTTTCTCCTTGTAATTTATTTATGTATAACGTAATGATAATTGAGACTTGATATCTTCTTCCTCACTGCTTATGATCTTGAAGATATCTTCGAGTTCAAGTAATAGTGGAGTTCTCAGTTTGCTATCAGATTGACAGTTGTTGTATAGGTCATGAAGGATTAAATTTAATGAAGTTGCAAATTTGTATTGAGTGGTAATACATTCCACCTGCGATGCAGTCTTTACAATTTGTTTTTCGTTCGATCTATTGGATTGTTCATATATCAGTTTCACCTCCATACTCAATTTTACAATCTTAATCATATATTTTCTAAACTCTTTATAAGGTGCTAAGATACGTAAAACCGTGATAAATAGTTCTTGATTTTTTGATAATGTTTGATGTTGTGGTAATATATTTGCAATTTCAAACAAAGATTGATATAACGTAATAACTTTAGAAGAATCCCAATTCTTTAATTTTATTATTGTGTCAAATATTGATTCTTTACTCTTCTCAATATTATTCTTTTCATATAAACATCTCCAAAAGACTCTCTGTATTGCTGGAGTAAAACTATCAAATTTCTCTATCCATTCTTTATTATATTTGTTCATTATTTCAATATTCTTATTTCTATAATATATTAGTAACGATATTTCAAGTCTTTCTATCTGAGAAAATAATGTAATATTCGACATTAATTCATTAAAATGTTTAAATTGCTTACATAAGATTATCTTCGAAGCCTCATTTATTGAGAAATTTTCAGTTAATTGAGATAATAACAATTTATTCAACAGTTGTTTGGATGACATTAATGAGATATGTTTTGTATTGCTTGTTAAGGTTCCTTGCTGTAAAGGAGAGGTTGATTGAAGAACATTTTTCAGTTGATTATAAAACATATCATAATGAACTCTAATCTTTTGTTCATTAGAATCATGTTGTGTCAAATTTGCATTTAGAAGTTTAACTATATTTTCAATATATTGTTTGTCCTCTTTATCATAGTTCTCAGTGTATGGTGTAGATAGTGGTGAAATTGATGATATCCCGGTGACTTCGGTATCAGAATTTCCGAAAATAGATGAGAATGCAGAAGTCACTTTCTTCCCATTTGTTAAAAACTTCAATGTCGATCGTAATTCTTCATTCTCTGATTTGCTTAATCTTGCGTATATATGTAGAAATGCCTTACGCATTTGAATTGTTGATGCTCTTTTTTTTATTAACTTTGGACAACAACTTGTGCAATAACTGTAAGTAACGAGTAATATCACGTTGACAATTAGCTAACTATACAATTATGCGATCAGTTGTAAGTAACTTGGTGGTGTTATAGGGTTGTTCTACGTCCAAAAGGGAGATAGTTCCCTTTCTTCTATTCGTATCACATCGAAATTCGATTCGATTTTGAGATTTTGGTCCTTCCTATCACGTGCCCTCTTTTAGTTTTTTCCCTTCTTCTACTGTCTTTTCTGCGTTCTCAGTGCGAAATTTTGATAGGAAATTTTGCTGGGAAATTTTTTGCCAACGGTAGGAAGAAGAAGAAAAAAATAAATTAGGGAAGAGAAACTTTTTAATCATACAGAATAACCTTTTTTTACCTATCTTGAAGTTGAATGACTTACAACGATTTACAGAAATAAAGAGAATCCTAGTTTACTTATATCTTTAGTTAAGACATTAGTTTGATATATTATTTGAAAAAAAGTATTATTATCAGTAATAAGAACCACAAGGTTACTTATTTATTGTATTCAGCAGTTTCTCGAACCAGGATACATTTCAAGAGAAAAGAAAAAGAATTTCACTGAAATTATTTGTTACATAAAGTGATTTTTACTTTGTGAACCCTTTTGAATAACTTCGTTGGGTTTTTCTTATTTATTGAAAGAAAATAGACACGAATTTTACCAATTAGAAACGAACCCGGTGAAGGTTTAAGATTGTATTTTTTGGCTTTGAATACACACACACATATATATATATATGATGCAAAATAACCCTTTACAAGACGATCTGACTGGAGACCTTGCAGCAGCAGTGAGAAGGTCTTGGTCTGAGTCTCAAGATACCGCAAGAAGGCAAGGTGGTGGTCCATCATATACCGCAGATTCTGGAGACTCGCCGATAAGTACTCCTGTGCCAGAACCATTTGAAGATGTATCTATTCATAAATTCAATTCAGTTTTTCCTCAATCCAATTCTAGTTCTGTAAGTGAAAGTGGAGATGGAAATCATTTTAAACAACCAAAATTACCATCGCAACAACAGCAACAGCAACCGATCATAATAAATGAAAGTACAGGACCACAACATTTTAATCAGTTTTATGGTAATCATCAACATATTTCTACTCATAATAATAATAACAGTGAAGCTAACGATAATAAAAACAATAAAGAACCAGATTATCAGTTATTTAAACATCATTATTCCATTTCTGAAGACCATCGTGATTCAGTTGTTGAGATTTTGAATGATTTGGAATTAGAATCTCCAGAACCTGAAACAATACAACATAGTGCCTCTCCAAGATTACCTGTCCAACATCCAATACATGGAGCTATATCTCGAGAACATCGTACATCTGTGTCTAAACAGTCCACAACAACTAGACGTGGATCTATCCAAGACGTTCAATGGGTTAGACAACTATTGAATCCAAGAAGTTCTTTCTCAGGTAGATCTCTAAATGAACCAACAACAAATAATGGTTCAACGGGATTCAATACTATGAGTAGCAATAATTCCTCAACTTTTTGCCCAGGTGGTGTATCTTATGATGTACCATCTGATAATAAATGTTGGGTTACAATTCTAGTTGATGATTCGATCGAAGCTGTCAAATCGGTAGTCGTACTTAGTGAGTCTGTACGTCTTTCTGGGTCAATATATCCGTTGTATGTGATTCATGATAAACAAATTAATATGTCAAGATTTAATAATTATAATGTTGCATCTATCCCAATATCATTAGAAAATTTTACTAAAACATCAAATCAAATACGTCTTCAGAATTGGTTAATTTTATCTTTATTTATTAATTTAGTAGATCATTTCGATGTTGTTTGTTATATATCTCCAACATGTATGTTGGTAGATAATATAGATGAAATCTTAACAAGTGATGCAGTTTGCGATGAAATTGATAATGAAACGTGTGTTCTATTGACAAATGATGTTGTTGATAATAAAGATGAACCACAATTAATGATTTTGAAACCTAATCTAGAAGTAAGTATGTGTATTAAAGAATATTTTACAATGTACGGGGATGGAAATGATAACAAATTGGAAAAATTACAGACAATGAATGATTTTGATGTGTTAAAAGAATTATTTCATGATACATGGGGTCACATCTCTTCTAATGGTTATGTATCTGTATTACGTGAGGATATAAATTTTGCAACAACAAATCAAGTATTTTCCAAGGTAACAGATTTAAAATATTTACAACCTTGGAATAATAAAATTATCAAGAATGATGATGAAGGTACTATGTGTGGAAGATGGCGTAAATTATGGAGAGATTTTTGTCAAAATGTGACTTAAGATACACACCAAAAAAAAAAAATTAAATATAAAAACAATTTTGAAAACTAAAATAAAATCAAATATTCGCATTTTGTTATTTACTCAATAGAAGAAGTTTCGGAGTACAAACTTGTTTTGTAAAATACAGTTAATTTGTTTAACCCATACACAAAGCTTTAAGAATATTAGTCAATTTAAAGTAGAAATATTGATAAAAAGGGAAGTTACCTTGCGATACTTTTAAGGTATGACGTAAAAAACGTCTCTTTCGTATATGTCATTTGATTTATTTGGATACATTTTTTTAAAAATAAATTATTATTGGCCGGGAACTCTCTTTTAATTGTTTATTAATATTGTGACGAAAGGTAATTAGTAAATTAAGCGAAGAATACTATTTTTCATTTTTAACCGTCAAATGGAAAAATTGAAAAACAAATAAATAGACGAACTTAACAAAGGGAAAGTTTGGCTGAGCGATGATGCACCCGAGTGGGAAATCACGGCTATATTAGTCTGTATTTGTATATATGTAGATAAATGCTAGTTAGTGATATGTTTTAGTTTTGTATATTTCAATTAATATAACTTTGAATTGTACCTCAATACAAATATACAAGTTCAACGTATTGAACTACATCATTTAAGAAAAAAAAGGCTATCTATATATACCAGTTATGAAGTTTGATACAAAGGAAAACGAGGCTGTATTTAAAAAAGTTAAAAATCAATTACCAGAATTAATTGAAACTCAATGTAAAGGATATGATGAAATATATGGATATAAGATTATTCCCGGTAATGATGAAAATTTAACTAAATTTTATAACGAAGACATTGTTAATGCTATTATTTTTAAATTTTGTAAAGGTTATAAATTTCAGTATTCTATTGTTGTTGAAAAGATTAAAAATGTTTTAAATTGGAGACGTGAATTTAATCCATTAAGTGCCGCATATCAAGAGGTTCATGATCCTGAATTAGTTGAAGTTGGTTTATTAACCCATTATCCTAATGAGGAATCGAATAAAAAGATTATTACATGGAATATATATGGGAAATTAGTGAAAAAGAAGCATTTATTTAAAGAAGCAAATAAATTTTTAAGATATAGAATTGGACTTATGGAACGTAGTTTAAGATTAATTGATTTTACTGATAATGATAATAATTATATGGCCCAAGTACACGATTATAAAGGTACATCAGTTTGGAAAATGGATTCAGATATGAAACGTTGTGTTAAGGATATTATTTCCATCTTTCAAGATTATTACCCTGAATTACTTTCTGCAAAATATTTTGTTTATGTACCAACCTTTCTCGGATGGGTATATGATGTCATTAAAAAATTTGTTGATGAAAGTACAAGAAAGAAATTTGTTGTATTAAATGACGGGAAAAAATTAGGTAAATACATTTCAAATTGCCCTTCGATACCGTATGGTGGTAAAGATACAAAATCACTTCAAGAACAAAATATTGCAGAGATTAGACCTAGTGAATATGCACAATATTTATTAGAGAAACAGATCATTGAGGATGTAGATTAGTTCTAGTAAAAAGAAGACTCTTCGAGGAACAACACTCAACAGACGCATAAACTATGTATTCAAACATCTAAATAAAGATAATTCAATGCTTAAATAATCAAAAATTCTTAAAAATAGATATATGTTCAAAAAATGATTAACCTCTTTCCACTTTGGTTCCGTGTTACATCCGAAGACACCAAATATGACGGAATCAGGGCCAAAAACAAAGTTATTCCGAATTTTTGCAGCGAGTTTAATTTGATCATTTTGGGGGGTATTGGTTTGTGCGGAGTTTTCTGAGGTGCGATGGAAAACAAGGGTTCGTTTTTCTCTCAAATTGCCTTTACACACGCAATCTTCTCTCAGTCAAGCTTTCCCAATAATAATATTATTATTATTATGTAATAATTCCTCATCGTCATCTTTTGGTATAACGTATAGAAATACGTTTAATATTTAAACGATTAATCCTTTCTTTGAATGAAATCTTCCATTTTTTTTTTTGTTTGAACTTTCTAATGCCGGTGTCTTTTTGGTTTATGAGATTTAAAATAGAATCAACTACCAAAAGTTTATAAACACACTAACAAAAGCATATTAGTAAACGTAAATATCATGTTAAGAAGAGATACAGCTAGCATACATAATAATCATACAAGAACAAAACATACGATATTTAGAAGTAAAAGAGTAATTCCACAATATAGTGATACTTTATGTGGTGATGTAGCTCCTGACGCTCAAGAATACAGGTTTGGTGATTTCTCTGTGTTAAATCATACAAATCATCCCGGTGTTGTATATTATTTCATTGAATTGACGGATCCTAATGGGAATCCAATATCTAGTAGAAGTGGGAATAATAATAACGATAATAATAACAATACGCATCGCATATGATAAGTATTTAAGTTAAAATAAAGAAAAAAAGTTAACTTGAATTAATTTTAGATCAAAAGGAAAAAAGGGTTATATACATATATTGATGGAAGGTGCATTGGTTTATTTATTTTTATTATTATTATTTGTAGACAGTAACAATACTGTATAGTTATTTCTGTATATGTATATGTATATGTTAAGCATTTTATTATTTTTAGGATTAGTTCTGGTTTAGTGACACTAGTTTATAGAAGAGGTTGAATCCTTATTGAGCTTAAAAGGGTTCAACTCAACATTAAAACAGTGGGCATTACCCGGTTTTTGAAGTTTATAGTAATTCCGGGTAATCCCTTAGAATTTATTTGGGATATTTTGTGCGAGGAGAAAAAGACGAAAAACTTGAATGATCATACAGTTTTTGTAGGCCGGAAAACGGAAGAAAGAAGTAGACAACCAGTGAAAAGATACTTTTAAATATTTGGAAATTTGACTCACTTTAAAGGTTAACTAGTTTAAATAAATTCGAAGTTCTTTTTAATGAGTCTTTAAATAAGATTGTTTTAAAACTTAATTTCATTTACACATAACTGTAAAGAGTCAGATCCTAAACTTCATATATATACTAAAATAAAAAGATGTCTGCTGATCACTCAAGAGATCCATGTCCAATTGTTATATTAAATGATTTTGGTGGTGCATTCGCCATGGGTGCTATTGGTGGTGTCGTATGGCACGGTATTAAAGGTTTTAGAAATTCTCCTATGGGTGAAAGAAGATTAGGTTCTTTAAATGCTATTAAAGCGCGTGCACCTGTACTTGGTGGTAATTTTGGTGTTTGGGGTGGTTTATTTTCAACATTCGATTGTTCTGTAAAAGCTATTAGAAAGAGAGAAGATCCTTGGAATGCTATCATTGGTGGGTTTTTCACTGGTGGTGCTTTGGCTATTAGAGGTGGTTGGAAACATACAAGAAATAGTGCAATTACTTGTGCTTGTTTATTAGGTGTTATTGAAGGTGTTGGTTTAATGTTTCAAAGATATGCAGCTTGGCAAGCTAAACCAATGGCTCCACCTTTACCTGAAGGTGTCGCACCTCAACAGGCTCAACCATTACAAGCATAAATATTTATAATAATACTAATACTAATCATAAAGGGGAACCAAAAAAATAAAATAAAAAGCAACTGTGTATACTTCAATCACATTTCTATTTATTTTTTTGGCCCACCATATACCACGTCATTAATGTTTCCTTGATCATACTACATTTTTTTAATAAACACTCATTTTACATCTGTGTAATGACATTATTTTCCTTAAAAACTAATATATTGTGATGATTCCAATACATTTGAAGTGGGAAAAAATAAAAATAAAACAAGAAAGGATTTCTAACCTCCCATAGATCATTTTTGGGTCTATATAATATATATTTATAAATATCAAAAATCATGTACATAATATTAAAGGTCCACAATTTTTAATCTAATGCCCGTTACAATTGTTATTAAAAACTTAAAGATAGATCGTTCGTTATTATGACTACATATATATATATATATATATATTAATTAATTAATTAGTTATTACCCTTCTAATGTCAGACTATCAAGTTGTTTTGCAGCAGCACCTTCATGCAAGGAAAGATGACGGTTAGATGCTTTTGGTTCAGTATTGTTACTCACAGTTCTTTTATGCAATAACCCAGGTGGGAACCATTCACCTGTAAATGGTTGGTTCGTAACAAAAGGATGTAAAGAAGCTTGTTGAGGAGTCCATCTCTCAAGTGGATTCAAATTTAAGATACCTGTCAGAAAATGTAAAAGGCATTCGCGATTTGCCATCTCTTGATCAATTAATGTTTGTGAATGTTGAATACTCTTAGGGATCTTATAATTTCTTACAACGTCACCAAGTTTGGACCATTTGAAATATTGTTTACTTGGCTGTTCATTGGCCTTTGGATATTCTGCATTAAACTCTTCTAAGGTCTTTAGTTCGAATTTTGTCTCAGAAGGTACAGTATTGTTAATGTCACCTGTTAGATCATTCTGATTAGTTTCTCTCTTAATCATGAACTTGGAAGTGTTTTTACCCATCTCTAACATCCAATTTGGAGGATAATCTAACGCATTTATGATTCTACTAATTTGATTGTATTCAGATGCACCTGGGAATATAGGGATACCTAGAAATAATTCAGCTACAATACAGCCAAATGACCACATATCAATACTCGTAGAATACGGTATCCCGAGAATCACTTCAGGTGCACGATAAAACCGTGACTGGATATAGGTGTATACTGTCTTAGTCTCGTCACAGGAAGACCCAAAGTCAATAACTTTGATGTCAGGTTTATCTGGAGAACATAAAAGAATATTTTCTGGTTTTAAATCACAATGAATTAACTTATTGTCTTTTAAAACACAAAGTGAATCTAACATTTGACGTGTAAATATTTTAATCAATTGCATAGATAGACCATGATATTGATTTTGTTTCAAAAGTTCGTATAAATTGTTGCTCAACAGTTCAAAAACAAGGCATAGATGATTTTTATGGATAAATGAATCGTACATTCTTAGGTAATGATGTTTATCATGCGGGTCTATTTTTTCATTTATTAATTCTAGAATCTTAACCTCAGTAAGACTCTGATTCAAATATTCTGATTTCGATTTTATAACTTTGACAGCAATAATTTCTTTTGTCATCAAATTTTGACATTTTACCACTTGACCGAACGTCCCTTGGCCTAAAATATCTAACACTAAGTATTTTCTGTTTTGTTCTATCCCAAGAACATCATTTACGTAAAGGATATAGTCACTATTCACATTATCATAACCATTATTATATTTTCCTTCACTAGGTTTTGTGAGGACACGTTTAGGATTCTTTGAAGTCTGGTATACAAATTCTGAAGAACATAATTGATAAGTGGTAATAAGATTCTTTGTGAGTCCAATTAAAGGTGATATTGTCTTAGAATTTAATGATGCCCTTCTATATTTAGGAACTTTATTAATCTGTGGCTTTAAATCTCTTTTATTGTTCACCACATGCATTTGAGGTATGACGTATTGTTGTTGAGGTGGTGGTGGAATCGGTTTTTGCTGAGTAAATGCTGAATGATTTGCTGCCGTTGGGAATGCACTAAGTCTACGGTAAGGTGATATCATGGGTAAGTTGGTACTACTATTGCTAGCACTGAGGGATGTGTTCTGAGTTGGTTGTTGGTAATAATTGTTTGGATTATAGTGTGCAGCAGCAACACTTTGTCTACGATGATAGTCTTGTGAATTATATAATGATGGCAATAGTCGTGTACTAATCTGTTTTTGTTGTGCCTGTTGTGCTTGAACAATCTGTTGAATGTGATTTGCCTCCTGCTGTTGAAATAGAACATTTGGTCTTTGTACCTGTTGTTGTGGATACATTTCAGGCATAGGAACATTAGGATTCATTAATAATGCATCATAGTGGAAAGGATTAGGACCAGGAGCTCTGGCTGGTGGAATCACAAGACTAGACTTACGTCGCTGCATGTCAGCTGTAGATTGCATTTGCATTTGCATCTGTTGCTGTTGTTGTTGTTGTTGTTGTTGTTGTTGTTGTTGTTGTTGCTGTTGTTGCAAAGGTGGCGGAATCTTCTCATTATCCCATGGATTTGTGAATTGAAAGGGATATCCTGCTGTTGTTCCATTACTGGTACCAGTATTGCTAACAGTACTGTTACTATCATTCCAGGAGGAATTACTCTGTTGAACAGTACCGTTATCCATCGGGTCGGTCTCTTCCAAGGGTACCTCCGATATCTGTTCCATCATGAATGTGGATGTTCTCTATATTGGTGCAATATGCATAAGTTTAAACCAACTTTTCTTTAGAAAAAGAGAAGTATCTCCACTTTGGGAACAAATAAATTTCCATCAAACTTGTATGCATACATATATATATATATATATATGTGCATGGGAGAGTGTGCTTATAAGTTCTTGTTCAGCAGCCCTACGGTTCCTGTTCTCTGGGCGCGTAACTAGTCTCAGTGACGGATTCGGGGGGTATCCCACAGAACAATATTTCGTCACCATAATATACACTGAACCCCTCGCCCCGTGAGAACAGACAAAATTGAGGGGGAGAAAAAGGAAGAGCGATTTATCAATCAAATTTGACCCCCCGGATTTCTCTTCACGTGTGAAAACCCCTCATAAAGCTTTGAAGAGTTATAACATAAACAATTACTTCTAAAGAATCCAGAATTCAATTTTAAACTTATTAAGTCAATATAATTATCACAGGAACCATTTCTACAGGTAATAGAGGTTAGAGCTTCAATATAAATTGAGTCAAAAGTTTTGTTCTAACTCGTTGGAGAGATAATGAGATGTGTTTTAGATTTATGCCTTGTTAGACATGAAAAGGATCATGTTGAATATTAAATTATACTCGTATGAGAATTCTCCTCTTTAAGTATGTTTCCTGATCCTTGCCTTAAATAAAAAAGAAAAAACCTTGTTGATGCTGTTATGAGTATGTAACCTATTTTAAAGACAGATATCTTGACAAACTTTAAGGTTGCTTGGAAACAGCACTATACGGACTACCCAGCTATATATTCATTGTAACAGCTTACTCCAAATAAAAAAATACAGTAAATGCTCTTAATTCTTAAAGGGAATAAAGAGAAGTATTTTTGATTTTTACACTTCCATTTATATACTTATTTTTCTCTCAAACGACGCTTTCCAAACTTTTTTCTTTTTTTGCCGCTCAGGGTCTCAGCGGTTAAATTTGCATTTGGTAACCACCACCAGACAAACAAGCAATCAGAGTATATACACCATAAAAGGATAAATCGACCGTTCAACCTTTTGTGTAATAAGATACATATGTCACTGCACAACGAAAGATTTAGCAACTTGGCCTGAGAAAGGTTTTGCATAACCTTAAAACAGTTTAAACTGCGAATACTCACCCCCGTATCCGTGCAATACTCTGATATATCCTTGCTTTTGTATTCTACACAGACATTCATTTGGTCAAATTAACGTAACTCAAGTGAACTCCCCGTTATATACGTGTAAACAAAATTTTAAATATCTATCACATCAGTTCCCTTCCACTTCTGTATGACATGGTTAAGATGTTGGTTCTAGACATGTTTTATCATCATTAGTTTTCTAAGTGATCATGAGTTTCTTTTGTTTCTTGTATTAAAGAGATATTCTTTTCGTTCAAGGTGTTTAACCCTAGGGTTTGTGTTAGGGCTTTCTTTCTTTGTCTCGCTCTTTATCAAAATGTTGAAATTTCAATACAAAATATTTTTAATTGAAATATACAAACAGTAACAGGTAAAAACAAACTATATTGGAATGACAAATTAAAATATTCAAGAGCATATACCAAATAGGGCATCCATATACATATACAAGTAGTTGTTTATAACATTTTGCAATGAATATTTCAACATCAACATTCCAAACCAGTAGACGTAGGTTAAAGAAAGTGGAAGAAGAAGAAAATGCTGCAACTTTGCAATTAGGACATGAATTTCAATTGAAACAAATTAATCATCAAGGTGAAGAAGAAGAACTTATCGCTTTGAACCTGAGTGAAGCTAGATTAATCATAAAAGAAGCTCTTGTAGAACGTCGTAAAGCATTTAGAAAAGCTCAAGGTACTAAAATTGAAGGTGGTTCTGATGAAACAAAGGACGAAGATGAAGATGATAATGCCGAATTTATGAGAAATGAAACTCGTGAGAATGAATTACAATCCATTGGAACTTTATTAGAACAAACTACCGGTGGTAATAACAAAGATCTGAAGAATACTATGGAATATCTTACGAATTTTTCTAGATTTAGGGACCAAGAAACTGTTGGTGCCGTGATTCAATTACTAAGGAGTACAAATTTACATCCATTTGAAATTGCACAATTGGGATCTCTAGCGTGTGATACTGCAGATGAAGCAAAGACTTTGATACCCAGTCTAACTAATAAGATTTCAGATGATGAATTGGAAAGGACGTTGAAGGAATTGTCTAACCTGGAGACTTTGTATTAGTTGAAGATCAATTATCAGTATTATATACATGTTTGTGGGGGTTTTTTAAATGGAAAAGAAAAAAACTGGATCTACATTTGTATATGTGAAGTAAATTTATATATGCGAATAAGGAATATGGGCATTTCGTATCTCTATAATTGAAGTATATAGATATATATGTTTGAAGACGATATGTTTCCAACTTGTATTATCAAATTTTTTGTATTGATTCCTTTTAACCTTCTTTGATAAAATGTTTACCGCTACCATTTTTCCACCAACGCATTAAACAACTATGAGGTCTAATGTCAATACTAAATTCATTTTCACTATCACAAATACATCGTTGGTCTAAACGTCCATACATAGCCGTTGGACAACTATAAAATGGTGGATGACAATATGAGATTTGATCAAAATGTATAATTTCTTCATCTTTTAATAATAATGATGCACCAATTGAATGGACAGGAGCATCACCCCATCTCTCATAGTAAAATCCACCTTTCGAATCTAAATGATTAAAATAATTTAAGTACTGTTCACTTCTGAAAAAGTTTAAGTCACCAACTTCAAAATTTGACCAAAAATGACATAAATTATAGTCCGAATTTGACTCGACAGCAGGTAAGAAACGCCCAACTTGGGATTTATCAGTTATAAACCCATAATAATTTCTATCCATTTGAACATCTCTTCCATTATCCTCTACTATATATTCAGAGACAGCATCCCATAGAGTCGGTATGGTATTCTCATATTCATAAAGGGAAATTACAAAACCATATTTGGCTTTACGTTCCCTTAGGACTTTAAACGGATCATATGGTAAATCACAGAAATAACCAACGTTTGGCTCCACTCTAAAATAATAATCATAATCCATTAACAATTCTTGACGAAAAAAATACCCAGAATTGAACCGACACATGTTTCTGTAGGATACAGAATCCCCATACATCACATCGTCTTCTTTCATCTTGTTCATACATTTAGTAAACTTATTATCCTCAATCCAATCGGGCCTATCCCAATCTTCTGAAGGGATAAGTCCATATTGGGTTTTCCCACTTGCCATTGCCGTTGTAGCTAGTATGAACCCCGGAGTGAACGGTACATCATTTAAAAATGTCCAGTCATACTGGTAATCCTTGTTAAAACGATCCTCCAGTGACCTCATCGATTCTAATGCACCTTCAAGTTCTTCATTCCTTACTAACATCAATAAAGTTGCGTTTTCCTTTTGCGGATGTTCCTGGCCAGATATATTCCCTTTATGTATCTGAGAGAACGGATCTGGGTCATAAGTATTTGTACCTAATTTGACATTTAAATGATCTACTTTCATTCGTGAAGAATCATATTTATGAGCCAATTGTCGCGATTGACTTTTATAATGATGCGTTAGAATGGTTTGAACATACAGACCTTCTAATGTAACTTTCAACTGCAAGAACATCGGTATGCACATTACGATAAATAGTCCCCATTTTAACAAAAACACAGCCATTGTCATTCCTTCGATAGAAAATATATCAATTAATTGAATATAAAATGATATCTATTTGTATCGAGAATAACAAAAGGATCTGTACTATGTTTTCCTTTTTTTTTTTTAAATGAAGTGATGTACATTCTTACATATCACTTTCCTTGTTGTCTCATGAGTCCTAAAGCGGCTCGCTGAACCTTTTCACTGTAAATTACATAATTAACCATTATTACGTATGACATCAATGTTAGACACATACAACTTATGGAAAGCTTCTTATACTTATATTTCAATTGGTAGTTTTAACGAAAATGATATTATTAAATGTACGGTACAATGAGAAGTATACATACAACTATAAATTTATATATTATATAACTAGAGAAAGAGAGCGAATGTGATATTAGCTATCGAGTGAATTATACTCTTCTCCATAATGCGTACTTCTCAATGGAATGAATGAATCCCCCTTTCTTAATATAAGATGGTAAGATATACTAATGTAAGAAATAAAGTAATAAAATGAAGAAAAAATATAGAAGAGAAAAAAACACTCATTTATTACAAAGATGTTTCTTTCCTTAATTTATTTTATTATTTTTTTGCTTTTTTCCTTAACGGGAGTAAGACCAGACGTTCTTTAGTAGACCATCTTGTTGAGCAAGTCTGTTTAGAGAATCGTCAGATTCACCTCTAGCTCTAACGGTACCAGCTAGAGCATAAGTGATGAATTCACCTGGAATAGCTCTACCTTCTTCATCGACCTTAGCGATGTTGATTTGGACAGAGGCATGATCGTCAGCCTTGATGATTCTGTTAGTGGCAGAACACTTTCTTGGAACGTATAGTTCGACCTAGTTAAAAAAAATATAAGTCATTCAAAAGAAATAATAATATCTGATCCAATTTCGGAGTGGAACAAAATATATATTTAAATCAATCAATTAACCAATTGATTTGTTAGTAAGATAGGCTTTTTATTAAAAAAAAAGTAAGAACAATAATAGAGGTATTTGATGTGGGTTCGTCGCATGTAATAATTTTTATGTGTTTTCTTTGTTTGTATCATTTTGATTTTCAACAGTAGATAGTTCTAAGTATTCAACAGTTTATATTGTATATTTCTTTGAACCATTGATAGGTCTATCCATGTTTATTCTTTCTCCTTTAATAAGAACCATTATATCATAACTTCTTGGTCATATTTATCCAAATGGATACAATTTTAATCTTTTTCAAAAATAATCAAGTATAATAATAATAATAATAATAATAATAATAATAATATCTAACAAAAGGAATGTGTGCGATAACCATTAATAATATATATCTCTAATTCGTTCATTTGACATCCTTATGGATTCAAATACATACTAGTTGACCTTTATCGTTTTCCATGTTGGTTTAATTTATGATTATTCTACTATTTTTCTTATTTTGTACTAAGAGATGATTAATAGTAAATATTATAAATCATATATATAACTGATATTTTCATATACATCAAGACTAGATTAACTGTTGTTACTGTATCATACATAATGATAGTACTGGCAAGGCTGCCCTAGTATGTCTACTGCTACAGCTACAGCTATCTCATAGTAGTAAGACAACAAACTTTCCATTACTCGCAAGTAGAGAGAGAATACTGTGGTATCCAATTGCACATAACAATATCACCAAAACCTGCGATGAATGAAAATAATAACAATAACAGTAATTCACTTTCAACAATATTCCTAATAATGCAGTGTCTCTGAATTTTTCTTGCACTTACTAAGAACTGTGTCTAATAATAAGGACACTCTATTTTTCAATCTGAAATTGTTAGTTCTTTCCGCACAGAAGAAACAGAGGGTAAGATAGAATCCACGGTTTTCGCGTACACTGCTGTTTTCATTTTATCTTTTTTCTAAAAACAAAAACTGAAGGTATTTCGGGGATGTATGGATGTATTCTTGCATAGGGATGTCCAGATGTTTCCCTTTCTTTAAAGGGAAAAAAGCAGTCACAATTTATTTTTCGGGAGGAGCTCGTCCAAAAGTGAAAAACAACCCGTCAAATTGGCGTAATTACCTCTCTATAAAGAGAAGTCCGCAGTCCCTTGCATTGCCAAAAAAGGGACACTCTAGAGTCTAGACACAATTTTACAATTGAATTAACTAATGACACGAAACAAACAACTAGTACTATTATGAAATAAAATTGTAATATCTTATTGAAGAGTGTATATTACACAATAATAAATTATATCATATCTAACTATATACTTCTGTGTATTACTATATAGTAGTAGTTCTCATTCAACCGCCTCATCGCGCTGAGTGAATTTATTCAATCAAATTATTTCCGAAAATGGCGAGAGAGATCCCTCAGCGATAAAATGTCAAAGGTAGTATTGTTGTTGTCATTTCTAGTTGCAGAATCTGTTCACCCATCGGCAAAGAAATTGTGCACAGCCAAACATGGTTAGTTGAACAAAATAGGGAAATGGTTGATGTAATAGTAACACTTAATAATCTATTTTATAATCATTTAAAAAGGTAAGAGACTATATTTGAATTGATGGAACAGAAAGGTTACAAAGAGAGTACATATATGTACATATATCTTCCATTTTGTATATTTTGTTTAAGCCTTAAAAAGAGAAGCGATAAAAACATTTGAATATATCAATTCGTCATGGATGAAATAATAATGCAGGACAGAGGTAGTACCTCTGCATATAATATAAATGCTTATGAAAGTGACACTCGATTAGGGTTGGTAGGAGGAGTAGATAACTCTACAGTGACAAGGATTCGTTCGCGAAGTCTTTCTAATCCAAATGAATATACTGAGAAATACTTGTTATTAGATCCAGGTAATCATCCATCATCACATTTTAAAGACAAGATGTCACCTCTTAGATTTAACATACGTCAATATTTTATAAAATTTGTTGATAATCAATCATCAAGTTTAGCTAAATGGCAAACAAAACATCGATCCCCAATTAATGATATATTTTTCTCATATTCTGCATTATTAGGATCTCATACATTTTATGTCTTATGTTTACCATTGCCATGTTATTTTGGTTTATTTGAATTTACAAGAGATACAGTATATATTATTGGTTATTCCATATATCTTTCGGGTTTACTCAAAGATTATTTATGTCTTCCAAGACCTAGATCTCCACCGGTACATAGAATTACATTAAGTGAATATACAGCAAAGGAATATGGAGCACCAAGTTCACATACTGCAAATGCTATTGGTGTAAGTTTATTAATTTTACAATGGGCATTCACTAGCAATACTGTGACATTAAATCAAAAGATTATATTAACAATTCTGGCCATAGTTTATTGTTTAACCCTTACTATAGGTAGAATATATTGTGGCATGCATGGTTTATTTGATTTAGTGAGTGGTGCTCTTGTTGGATTGATTTGTTTCTTAATAAGAATGATTTTGAAATACACATTTATTAATTTCAATTGTGGAAGATATTTTTGGTATCCCATAATATCTGTTTGTTGGGGTTTAACCATTTTATTTAATCATCCTTCACCAATTGATGTATGTCCTTGTTTTTATGATAGTGTTGCATTTGTTGGTGTAATTAGCGGTATTGAGTTATGTGATTGGTTTATTAAATTTTTTGGATTTTCATTAGTTTATTCATTTGATTTTACAACAAATATATTAATAATGATTAGAAGATTAATTGTTGGTATATTGGTTACAGTAATATGGAAATATTTAATTGGTAAACCATTAATAAATTTTTTTTTATTGAAAATTCTTAAATTTATTGATGATAGAGATCTTGATGAACATGATGAACCTTTGCCTGAAGATCATGAATGCAAACTATTTAAAGGCAATTCAAATGTTAATATTGTCGGTAGATTTTTAATATATGCTGGAGTTCCAATGAGTGTCCTGTTGTTAAGTCCACCTGCAATAACATTTGTAGCTAATTATATATACTAAAAATAAACTGTTTGTCATTAATTTAATATTAAGATTCATAGATTATATTGCAGATATATATATTGTATAGATAAACTATGAAAGAAGAAAAGAGCTAATATTTTTTTTTTCTCAATTCCACGAGCTAGCGTGGTTATAAAGTTTGTATGGTATGGAATATAGGTGTGTATGAGGATGGTTATAGTTAGAGTCTCTCTTCAGGATTCTAGATTTTTCGTTATGGGTTTAATGATTTTGACCAATGTGACGTTTTGATGCTAAAGATGCACTTAATGGACCATAAGTTTTCATATTTTCTCTATATTCTTTAAATGAACCAAATGAATTTCCTGGAGTCTTTTTGAAAGCTAAAGATGAATTAGTAGCTTGTTTTGTCACGTTACGTGCAATTGAAGTAACTTTAAAAGCAGCCAATCTTGAACTTTGAGAAATCATTATGTGTAATTATAAGTAGTAATTTTTGTTTGTGACCCGCACAGTAGTTGTTTTTTTATTTAATTTATTTAGTTAGTTGTATGTATTACCAGGAAAGAACAGAATAAGTAGCCTTATTGTTTGATTTCTCTTTTGTTCTTCTTTATATATAACAGTTTAAAACAATCCTTTCTGCTCATCGCCAGATACTTTAATTAGTTTTAACCCTTGCATATACTGAACTTAATTACCGACGGTATTGAAACTTCTGGGGGAGTTTTCATTGCCTTCAAGCTTATCAATCACACAGCGTCACACACTCCGAGATTAGCCAAAAATATGCGTATAATGAATATTCATTTACTTGGAAGGACTGACAGTCAAAATTGGGTCTTTTCAGCTCTGTCAATATGACACTAAATGCATCAGCACACAGTGAAATGCAAGAGAGAGACTCTTCCTTTCTACGTACGGGCATCATTCGGAGACAATGGGCAGCGAACATCCAAACCAACTTATGGGGCTCCGATTTTATTCGTGGAAGATAACGAAAAGTTAAAAAGAATGATGAGGCCACAGAAATTCTAAGAAATTTTTGAAAAAAAAAGTGTGACGTTAGTTGGGAATTGGGTGTATGGGTGGACACACGTGCATATCACGTGCGTCTAGGGTTTGCCGTGTGGCACGATGACATTGCTTTTTAGGGTTTTTTCTCGTTTTCTGTTTTCGGAAGAAAAAATAAAAACGAATCGCCAAATTTTTCACCTTTTCGTGTCGTACCAGAAGAGAGAAAGAGGTCCATTGATCACTGCGCAAATTATTATCATTTTCTTGAGTTTTTTCTTTTTCATTGAACGATGACGTTAGCAAGTTTAGACGATGGTAGTTAGAACCATTGACAGTAAACAAAGATGTTATTGAACTTTAGCAATATGCGGTAAGAGATTCCTACTGTCAATGGATGAGGTAGAGACGGTAGACTATTAATGTATTTTAGGAAAATAGTTTTCTTGCTGCTCTTAAACATGTAATGTTTATGTAAGTTCTGACTCTTTACATGTCAGTTTTAAACTAGTTGCATTCTTTCTTTCTTTTTTAACTTAACCATTGTTCTTTATTTTAATCAATTTTCGAAAGAGAGAGAGAGAGTTTTTTTCGTTTACTTCTCTTAATGATAAATAATATTAATATTAACAATATATCTAACTGCTCACCATCAATTGTTTTATTTGAAATTTCAAATTCTTGTATATACCCAAGCTATTATACCAATTCCATTCGATTAATAATATAATTATATGTCTGATTCTCATTTGCATGATGGTGATGTTGACTATGAGTCTCTACCACCAAACTCTCCCTTATATCATCAATTACTTGCAGGTGCATTTGCGGGTATAATGGAACATTCTGTAATGTTCCCCATAGATGCTTTAAAGACACGAATACAGTCTACTGCAACAATTGGTAATATAACCAAATCTTCAAATTTAAAGAAAGGAACAGGTTTATTGTCACAAATTGCTAAAATATCTTCAGCGGAAGGTTCTTTTGCATTATGGAAAGGTGTTCAATCCGTAATATTAGGTGCAGGTCCAGCTCATGCAGTGTATTTTGGTACATATGAAATTTGCAAAAAAAAATTAATTAAAGAAGAAGATTTATTTACTTATCAACCTTTAAAAACAGCTTTAAGTGGAGCAGCTGCCACTACAGCATCCGATGCATTAATGAATCCATTTGATACGATAAAACAAAGAATGCAATTAAATCCACAAGCAAAAGTATGGCAAATTGCTAATACGATATATAAAACAGAAGGTTTTAAAGCATTTTACTATTCTTATCCAACAACTTTAGCAATGAATATCCCTTTTACAGCATTAAATTTTGTCATTTATGAATCATCAACAAATTTTTTAAACCCAACTCATTCTTATAATCCTTTTATTCATTGTATTTGTGGTGGTTTAAGTGGTACTCTATGTGCCGCTATTACAACTCCTTTGGATTGTATAAAGACAGTTTTACAAGTAAGAGGAAGTGATACTGTAACATTACCTATATTAAAACAAGCAGATACATTTAAGAAAGCTACTAATGCTTTATTACAAGTTTATGGATGGCGTGGATTTTGGAGAGGTTTAAAACCAAGAATTATTGCTACAATGCCTGCTACAGCAATTTCTTGGACAGCTTATGAATGTGCAAAACATTTCTTAACTACAACAACTCTTTAAATTATGTAAATATATAATGGATATAATTATTATAGAAGCTAATTATAGATATTCAAAGAAATGAGGACTAAAGTATATACATTTAAACATTTGTTTCATTTTTAAAATAAGAATTACTTTCCTGAGGGCAATCAAATTTTAATAGATTATTGTGCTATATCAAGAAAAAACGGCTAACGTCGTATCGATTTGAAATATGTCAAATATAGTTGTCATGCGCAACGATAGACGGTTGCAAGTTGATTAAAAATGTATAAATAAGATCTCAAATATTTAATATGACTATGCATCATTGCTGTAAAATATCATAGATAGAAGAAACCAAACAATCGAAACATAGTTATAATTACCATAACGTAACTATTTCTTTACATAGTTTAATTATAATTTATTCATTGATCATTGCTTGTTATTCAGTTTAATAATCAGGACAAAACAATACAGTGTCCAGTGAGATTTTATGGCATGTATATATATATATATATATGACAAGAACTATAGCACCTTGTCAACTATATTTTTATTAAATATGAAATTCTTTACAAAAGAATAATTTTTGTAGGACCTCTTTTTTTAAGTTTAGTATCGGTTCGACCAATAACACACATTCTATTTCTTGTAAACAAAAAAACAAAAGTGATAATAATGAATTTCATTATGGAACAAGTTCAATAGATGCTGTTTGATGTATTTTTATTTAATCTTTACATATGTATATATTTACAAGTAATGCTCATTATATTTAAACAAACTTATTATCCTAATAGAATATTACTTTCATGGCTTTCACTCTTGACCTAACCTCTCCTTTTTCTTTTGAATTCTTTTCTCAAGTTTTTCCTGTCTTGCACGTCTTCTTTCTTCTTTCAATTCTTGTTTATCGACATTTGGTTTGGTAGAGGGTTTAGGAGAAAGACGGATAATAACTTTGGAAGTAACATCCCCTTCTATCACAGGCGTCACAGATAATTCATTCACAAGTGTTTTGATTTGTTCCATTATCTCATTGCGATGTTTTAATTCTCTCTTAGGAATCCTCGCTGGTGCTTGTGAGTCTTCCTCAACAGCAGGATTCAAAAGTTTTTCAAAATCATCCAACCAATGTTTTGGTGTCCCATTGTTATTGTCGTCAATATATATATTAACTTTATTCCCCTTTTGTAAGAGACCTTCGATTTCATGGGCCTTTTGGTTCAATAAATCGTCTTCTCGTATCTTCCAGGATAATTTTATATGTTTCAAAGTATCTTCACTCTTTGAAGGGTCGCTAAATCTTTTTCTTATTATACCTTTTTCTATCAATTCATTCTCTTTCAATTTTGCCATATCATCTGAATACCTTTTTAAAGCTGTCTTTGAATCAACTATTTTGATTAATGGTATTCTCGTTTCTCCATCCACGGTCTCAATATCCACAATAGACATGCCCAACGTATTCAAATCTAAACCCCTCGCATAATATCTAATATTTGATTGTTCAATCTTATGAGACTCTTTATCGAATATTCTTATATTACCCTTAGAGTTTAACTTAAAGACCTCTTTAATCGTATGGTTTGCTGCCTCCTGTGCTCGTTCTGTACCACTATCCCAATTTATTACAATTCGTTTCTTTTTTTTAATATTGTGATTTGGATTGTGATTTGGATTGGGATTTCTCTTAGTAAAATGCCCATTATGATTAGTACCTCTAGCTAACGTGAAGTTCCTATTCTTAACACCGTTCACCCTCAGAGAACTAGTTTTAGCTTGTCGATTAGATATTATGTCTCGCAATAAGTCTCTGGATTCCAGAGTACCCTTATTATTTGAATTAAACGATCGTACAATTATAGCAGACCTCCTGAAAAACATAGATCTTTTAGAAAATCTATTAAAATATAGTACATAACGTTCCATTATCACTCTTTACCTTGCTTCTTTGTTTAGAGTAAGAGGTGTAGCATGCTTTCCCTTTGGTTCTTTTTAGTACCTACTTATTTTATTTCATTATTTTTCACAACATAATAAGAAGGAAGACAGACCCCGAGAAACGTAAGTTAAGTAGTAAATATGTTACTAAAGTTTCCTAAAAGATTTTGAAGAAAATAAAAGTTAATGTACATTAGAGAGTATAATAAATAAATATATATACATATTTTAAAATAAAGTTTTTAAATCAGGAAAATCATGGATCAATACCAAGAACCATAGCTAATAGAGCCATTCTGACATATAGACCATATTTCATTTGTCTGAAGTAAGCGGCACGATGGTCGTAGTCAACTTCCTCTTTAATTTCGTTAACACGAGGTAATGGGTGCATAATAGCCATATTTTGCTTTGCATGGGCTAAAATTCTGTTATCAACAATGTAGACATCCTTTAAACGTTGGTATTCGGCCTTGTCCTTGAATCTTTCTTCTTGAACCCTTGTACAGTACAAAACATCTGACTTAGAGATAATATCCGGAGTTAATTCTAGACTTTCAACACCTAACATATTAGCGTCGTATAATTCTTGCTTTAGAGAGTCTGGTAGTCTCAATTCGCTTGGAGATACTAAGTTAATTCTAACTTGATAATGCTTTAGTAGACGACATAGGGAATGGACAGTTCTACCGTGTTTCAAATCACCCATAAATGTAACAGTAATACCATTAACAGTACCGATTTCTTCTCTAATAGTAAATAAATCTAAGAAAGCTTGAGTAGGATGTTCACGAGAACCATTACCACCATTAATAATTGGAACTGGAGAGTACTTAGCAGCAACATGAACTGACATTTCATCAGAATGACGCATAACAATAGCATCTGTGTAACTAGCCAATGTTCTTACGGTATCTTGTAGGGTTTCACCCTTTTTAACGGAGGAGACATTTGGATTAATGTTAACAACTCTACCACCTAGACGTTCCATAGCAGCAATGAATGAAGAACAAGTACGTGTAGAAGGTTCATAGAAAATAGTAGTTAGGACATGAGCCTTCATGATATCTAAAACACCTTCTCTGGCGACAGCAGCTCTTAATTCTTGAGCAACAGCAAACAAAGCGTGGAAATCGGAACGGTTAAATTGCTTAATGGATAGAATATGTCTACCTTGGAATGGGTTCTTACCACGGATTAAATTTTCTAAAGCAGTTGGTGCTGTTAATTCTCTTGGAGGTTTAGAAGACATCAATCTTTGTTCTAGAGTAGGTGGTTCAACAATAGCATCTTCGGCAGATTCAACACTATCGAAAATCTTTGGTCTTTCAGCAGAAAATGAGAATCTTTTATCTTTCATAAATCCGATAGTCTTTTGGGCTTCAACAACAGTTGGGGCAACACTAGATGTACCCACTATAACGTGAATACCAGTTGGTTTTTCGTCAACCAATTCACCACTTAAAACAACGGTTTCATCCTTGACAATAACACGTTCAATACCACCAGATAATGAAGAACCAGAATGTGGAGACCATCTCTTTGTATCAGCAACGACATAATCTAAGTCAATTTCAATAACAGCATCTTGTTCTGGTAGGTTAAAGATCTTGATTGGATTATCATGTAAACGTAAGACAATATCAGCAACACTTAATTTACCTTCATGAACAGCAGTTAGTAACAGTGGTAAGGCATCCTTAATACCCAAACCAATCTCAATTTTGTGACCAGTAATTGCAGCTAAGTTAGTTGGTAGAGAACCAATAGAGAAAGCATCGATGGATTCAAGGTTTTCCCAGAAGAATTCTTGATCTTCATCAGTTGGTAGGAAGACACCCTCTGGATATTGTTCTTGAGAAATAAATAGAGAATAAACGTTAACATCACAAGTAACTCTCGCATCCTTTTCTTTAACAGTTTTAATTAAGGCTAAATCTTCTTTGTTAGAAACACCGGTAATATGAATGGATCTATTTTGTAGGGAAGCTAATAGCAGAATAGATGCAAGTTCGGAAGTCTTGGCCTCAGCAATAATTTGTTTATCAGTTGGCCAGTTTTGCAATAATTTACTGACTTCAGAAACCTTATTTTTCAATTCATGGTATGGAAGGAACAATGCACTTACTTCAGAGGCAGTTTGACCTACAAGATCGATATTGTTTGGGGTACCAGCGACAGTTAAGCCAAAATCAGTGTATGATGCACCAGTTGAGGCAGAAAGAGCAGCTCTCAAAGAAATACTATCAGTGATGACTGGACCTCTGAATGCTCTTGGCATAATTTGACAATAAGTAAAACCAGATTCTAGGAATAAACGACTTGTTTCTTTTAATTCTTTTGGACCATCAACGATATTTGAAACATTTGGAACATAAGTAGCAATGTTAATCAAACCTGGAATGGTGACTGTTCTGTGAGATGTTTGAGCATCACGTTCTGATACGTCTAGTTTCAAGTGTCTTGAAATTGCTTCAATTAATAATTTAGCACATTTAACATTAGTAACCAGTGGAACAGAGTAATCAACAGCCATACGACGTGTTTGGTAACCCTTAGAAACGTAAGAAGCAGGACGACGGAATCTATTAGCGGAAGGTAAGTTAATGTAAAGATCAATATTATTGTTAGCCAAATGTTGAGTCAATGAATATTCTGCCTTTTCATCATCATCTTGATTTAGAAGTTCTAAGTATTGAACAGACATGTTGTGTTCAGTAATAAAATCGGCTGTACCAGCAGTAGCAAATAGTTTATAACCCATGTTGTATAGCTTTTGGATGGATGGCAACAATTCTTGTTTTTCTTTAAAGGAACCAATGGACAACAAGATATTCTTCTTTGGAAGCTTGAAACCAGTAGCCAATAAGGACTTTAGATAGGCCTCATATTTAGAGTGACCAAAAGTAGCAACTTCACCAGTGGATGCCATTTCGACACCCAAAACAGGATCTGCACCAGCAAGACGTGGGAAAGAAAATTGTGGAACCTTAACAGCGACGTAGTCATCTGGTAGTTTTTCAACTGGATAAGGATCAAATGGTAGACCCATGATAGCCTTTGTAGCTAATTCAATTAAGTTAACACCAACCACCTTTGAAATGAATGGGAAGGAACGAGAAGCACGAACATTACATTCAATAACCTTGATTTCATTATCCTTAGCAATAAATTGAATATTATATGGACCAGTAATCTTTAAGGCCTTCCCAATTTTAGCTGTAGCAACAACAATTCTGTCAACAGTTTCCTTAGCCAAATCCTGTGGAGGAACAATTAAAGTAGCATCACCGGAATGGACACCTGCATTTTCAACATGTTCAGAAACAACATGCATAACTAATTCACCATTTCTTGCGACAGCATCCATTTCAATTTCTTTAGCGTTTTCAATATATTTGGTAATAACAACAGGATAATCACGAGAAACTTCAACGGCTTGTCTTAGATAGGATTCCAGATCATTCTTTGAGTAGACAGTGTTCATAGCAGCACCAGATAAAACATAAGATGGACGTACTAAGACTGGATAACCAACTTTTTCGGCAAAACCACCTGCTTCATCCATGGATGTCAATTCTTTCCAAGCAGGTTGATCAACACCAATTTGATCCAACATACGAGAGAACTTGTAACGATTTTCAGCAGAGTCGATCATATCTGGAGAAGTACCCAGGATCTTAACGTTTTCACGGTGTAGAGTCATTGCAATATTGTTAGAAGTTTGACCACCCATAGAAACAACCACACCTTGAGAGTTTTCAATTTCGTAAATATCTAGGATTCTTTCAAGGTTGATAGTTTCAAAATACAATCTATCAGCTTCGTCATAATCAGTAGAAACAGTTTCTGGGTTGTAATTAATCATAATAGTCTTGTAGTTGTTAGCACGTAGAGTTCTAACAGCAGTAACAGCACACCAATCAAATTCAACGGAAGAACCAATACGGTAAACACCAGAACCTAGAACCATAACACCGTTGTCCTCGAAAGTTAAATCATGAGCAGAAGCATTGTATGTCATATATAAGTAGTTTGTGTGAGCTGGGAATTCGGCTGCAACAGTATCAATTTGTTTAACAAATGGTGTAATACCTAATTCTTTTCTCAAACGACGAATAGCAACTTCATTAGAGCTTAGGAATTTGGCGATCTGTCTATCATCAAAACCACATTGTTTAGCTTCTCTCAATAGATCACCTGGAAGATCTTCAATGGCACCAATAGCAGTAATTTTTTTACCGAAAGAAATCAAGTCATATAGCTTTTGTAAGAACCATTTATCAATGTTTGTCATTTCCCAAACCTTATCAACAGAATAACCTAATTGACTGAAAGCATTAGCAATTGCGAAAATTCTTAGATCGGATGGATTTAATAGTTCATGATCAATATCAATTTCCAATTCAGTTTCGTTAAAACCTAAATTAACATATTCAGTAGATCTAATAGCCTTTTGGATAGCTTCCTCGAAAGTTCTACCTATACTCATAACTTCACCAACAGATTTCATGGAAGAAGATAATTCAGTGGATACTCTAGAGAACTTCTTCAAATCCCATCTTGGCATCTTAACAACACAGTAATCTAGAGATGGTTCGAAACAAGCACAAGTAGATTGAGTAATAGAGTTCTTGACCTTGTCTAATGGAATATTTAAACCTAACTTTGCAGCAGTGTAAGCCAATGGGTAACCAGTAGCCTTTGAAGCCAAAGCGGAGGAACGAGATAATCTTGCATTAACTTCAATAATACAGTATTCTTGAGAAAATGGATTTAGAGCGTATTGAATGTTACATTCACCAACAACACCAAGGTGTCTAATAACATTAACAGCAGTCGTTCTTAACATGTTATAATCAGCATCAGATAGAGTTTGGGATGGAGCAACAACAATAGAATCACCAGTGTGGATACCTAATGGATCGAAGTTTTCCATGTTACAAACGGTAATACAGTTGTCGAAAGCATCACGAACAACTTCATATTCAACTTCTTTCCAACCCTTCATGGATCTTTCAACTAGGACCTGAGGAGAAGAAGCAAACGCAACGTTACAAAGATCTACTAATTCCTTTTCATTATTAGCGAAACCAGAACCTAGACCACCAAGGGCGTAAGCCGCACGCACAATAACTGGGAACCCAATTCTCTTGACTGCAGACAAAGCTTCCTCAACAGAATTAGCAGCTTCAGATTTAGCACATTTTTCATTAATTTCATCGATAGCTCTGGCGAATAATTCACGATCTTCAGTTGTTATAATAGTATCAATTTGAGTACCCAATACCTGGACACCTAGAGATTCAAATTCATCTTTCATTTCAATACCAACAGATAGAGCTGTTTGACCACCAAATGTTACATAGATAGCATCAGGACGTTCATGTAAGATAACCTTTCTAACGAATTCAGTAGTGACTGGTAAGAAGTAAACTTTATCAGCCAAACCCTTTGACGTTTGAATTGTAGCAATATTTGGATTTATTAAAATAGTGTAAATACCTTCTTCTTTTAAAGCTTTAATGGCTTGAGAACCGGAGTAATCGAATTCACCAGCTTGACCAATGGATAAACCACCAGAACCTAAAACAAGGACCTTCTTTGGTTGTAATCTTGGGTGAGCTTCTAAGTTGTCCTTCACTAGACCACCTGGGAAAGCAATTGGTTTTAGAATCTTAGTTTCCTTGAATTCTTTAACAGCATTTATAAAGACATCGAACAAAAATTCTGTATCTCTTGGACCAGGGGTAGATTCCGGATGGAATTGAACAGAGAAATATGGTAATTCCTTATGGTAGATACCTTCATTAGAACCATCGTTGGCATTAACGAATAATGGTTCCCAATTTTCTCCTAGAGTTTCAACATCAACGGCGAAACCATGATTTTGTGATGTAATGTAACAACGACCACTAATAGTAGATGTACATGGGATATTTTGACCACGGTTACCGAAGATCATCTTAGAAGTTTGAGCACCTGTGGATCTAGCCAACAATTGATGACCGAAACAGATACCAAAAATTGGAGTCTTTTTAGCTTGAACAACAGAATCAAGTCTCTTAGCAACATCATTAAGAATGGATGGATCACCTGGACCGTTAGAGATGAACAGACCATCATATTCTTCTGTAGTAAAATCATAATCCCATGGAACGACTTTAAGTTCAACACCTCTTTTAATGAAACAACGGATTTGATTATATTTGATACCAACGTCGATAGCAACAATTCTTAGAACCTTACCATCTGGGCCAGTTTGAATATTGACTTGTTTGTTATCTGTTGGTGGAGTGTACAATTTTGGTTCTTTAGTGGATACCTTGGCAACCAAATTATCAGCGTTTGGATTAATCCATTCTGGAACATCGAAACAAGATTTCCAGTTTTCAGTAGTAGCTTCCTCTAAATTAGCATTAGCTTTTTGTAAGGCCAATCTACCTAACATAGAACCAGAGTTTCTTAAATGTTTAGTTAAGTTTCTTGTATCGACACCATAGATAGCTGGAATACCTTCTCTCTTTAACCATTGAGATAAGGATGAATTAGCTAAATAATGAGAGTAAGCTTCAGTATAATGAGACACAACTAAACCAGCAATATGAATTCTATTACTTTCAAAATATCTTGGTAAACCGGCGACTAGTTCATCTTCTAAAGTCATATCTGGAACACCATAGTTACCAACCAAAGGATAAGTAATGACTAAAATTTGACCTTCATAGGATGGATCAGTTAAGGATTCAGGGTAGCCGACCATACCAGTTTGAAAGACTAATTCACCAGCGGCAGGTTTTTCAGCACCAAAGGAGTAACCTTGTAAAGTGACACCATCTTGCAGTTCTAAAGTGACTAAACGATCACCGACTGCTTCAAGTGGATGCGTGACTGGACAAGTTGGGACAACAGCGGACATGATTAATTAAACAATAAATAGTTGGAGAATAAAGTTAAGTTTATTGTCTTGTTTTGTTATTATTATTAATGTATATTTTTTTTTTTTAAATTAAAAAAAAAAGGATCCCAAAAGTAAACGATAGTATCAGATGGGTAATGGTATTATTATATTACTACTTCAATAGTAAATTAAATTAATATTATTTTTTTTGGGTTTAGTGGGTAAGAGAAGGCTTTATTTAAAAGTCTTATTCTTCTTTCTTATATTAGGGAATGTAAGATGGGAAATTTGAAGTAAAGAAGATTCCACACTTGTATTAGAATTTAGAAATGCAAAAAAAGGAGAGAGAAGCAACTGTTTAGATATGAATGTAATATTGTTAGTAAAAATGACTTTTTATAAGATTACATTTCTTAAATGCAAAAAAAAAAATGTATTTAAAAGAAGTACTGATCCTTGTTTAATTAAAATAATATTTCATGACCTAAAGCTGAAAAATTAAAAAAAAGGGAAACACTTCGAAGTGCTGCAGTTTCAATTAATTTCTTTAAAATTTCCTTAATTAACTAAGCGAAGAAAGTATCGCAGTCAAAAACACTAAAAGAGTAAAGTGATGATGAAGCGAAATATAAAATTCAATCTCAGAAAATAGTGGAAAACTCATTAAAAGGAGAATTAAAACTATTAATTTAAAACTAACAAATCATCGGTAAATGAAGTTGATCAGATTTCCTAAACGGGTAAATAGAGGTTGAAAGTTTTATCATATGGCTGAAAAGACTAAAATTAACCAACTTCTAAATGTGATTGTTATTATACATACAATTAATCGATTTGTAAAATGTTCTCTTAGCTTAATTGAGAGAAAAAAAGATGCAGAATTAGTTCTTTTTCTTTAACAATATATGAATTAGTTTGTAATGACAGGGATATAGACAGTAGTTAGAATATTCCTTGGAAGTAAATCTTATTGATCAGTGTTTACCCTTCTGCCAGAAAACACTACAATTCATAAAATAATAATTAAGACATAATATATCAAGAAGAAAATAAAATTAAGAGAATACTGAAAAAGACCAAAAGTTAATAGTAAATATGAGGATACTTTTTGTAACTAAATTAGTCTAATTAAAACATACCGTTCTATGATATGACCATAATATTTAAAGAAAAATATATTGGAATTTAAATCTGAGATGAGACAATTGGAAATTTCATCAAGTATTTATACTAATTAATTTACAAAATGGACAAAAGATGAAAGAGTCAAGTTGTATACTTAATCTAATCCACTTATGTGATTGTTAACTAAGAATTCACCGTACCGGTTATCGCCGAGGCGGCGAATAGCTTAGATTTGTCCTCTTTTATTTTTTTAAGGGCGGAAAAAGTTGAAATTTTGGAAAAAATTTTCACTTAAGACCCACACACCGCACATTAAATATATTTCCGACGGTCACAAATGTCTTTATTTGTCCTTCAATTTTAATAACGTATTGTCTTAATACAGGACATTTTTCACACTCTTCATTACTGTAACTGAAATTGTGCAACAAACAATATACCAATTTTAGATTGAAGAAACTCTTTTCTTTTCAATAAATAGTTAATTTGAGATGAGATGAGATGAGGTCAACACAAATGCTCTAACTGAGATTTCAGATTTGACATTTTTTAGGGAAGAAATTGATACTATATATCTGTAGTATATTTAAGTACATGCAACAATTATACTTTGTCACTATAATTAGTACTTTGTGATTTTACAAGCATCCAGAATACTTTTTATAGACAATGATGGATTTTATTAGGGTTAGATGTGTTCTTTTATTTTCAAACAAATCATAGAATCTGTTTAAAATCACTGTCAAAGTATAGACAAAAGAAATCACAATATAGTGATATCTTTCTTGATATTAATTTATATAATGAATATTATTTTTATGTATTATTTCATACCCTTGCGAGTGCAAAAAATATGTAGTTCTTGTTTGTATATGTAATGACTAAAAATTTAGTAAAAATGCTTTTTTTTGTATTAAAATTGTAAATGGAAAAACACAACAACAATGCTTCATTTAGTTGGAGAATAGATTAAAATCATCTTTGCATCTATACCAAGACATCGTTAATTCTCTGTTGACGATCTCTTAAGGACTCCTCAGTGTCAAATGTTTGAGTGTCATATATTTGCTCAGTGTGTGAAGAATTAGTCCTCACTGACGATTGGTAACCATTACCCCTAATATCATCGTTATTATTATAGAATTCCTCGTCCTCTTCAGTGAAGTAATCATCATTGTGAGGTTGATAATGTTGATACTGTTCATGATGACGTTGGTGAGGTAGATTTTCACTATTATTATGTTGGTTTTGATATGCTGAATCTTGATGATAAATATCTTGTGTAAAAGTACGGTAAATTGGTGTCTCTTCAACTTTTTTGGTAAATCTTTTTATAGACTTCCTGAATAATCCTGTTAATGGATCTACATTTTCTGAATGATCTTTACGTCTCTTTAATTTCAAATCTTCAATATGATCAATATGCTCAAGTCTTTCACTAGGTAAGATAATAGCACGATCTAAGGAATATGGTAAACCTCTATTTCTACCTCTAATCAACATACCAATGATAACTAGTTTTGATAATGTTGTGAAACGTGCTGAAAATGACTGATTTGTTGTTGGATAACCTAATGATAAACCGACAGTACCATATGCACTAACAACTTCAAATAAAATTGAAAAAACATTGAAATTAGGCATCGTCTGATCCTTGATCTTATCATTCTCACAGATACAGATAATAAACAGACCTAGAAAGACAAACCACAAATCAAATGATAATTGTTTTCTTAAATGTTGCCCAATAAATGATTTTGTAGATAGGTGAGCACCTTCAGGTTCATCAGAACCATGTCCTCTTCTCTTTCTTTTAGTTTTCTTCTTCTTCTTTTTAGCTTTATTGTTTTGGGATGACCTATTACTAAAATTGCTACTTTTATTACTATGTGAACTTCCTCCAATAGTATCCTCCATTGAAAGGTCACTACGTTGTGCAATATCAGAGTTATAAATATCGTCATCATCTTCATCATCTTCGTCACTTGCCTCTTCCTCCTCTTCCTCTTCTACACTCTCTTCACCCTCGGATTCTGATTCAACCTCTCCGTAGAAACCCAACGATTGTTCTTCATAAACGTTCGTTCTTCTAATAGATATAGCAAGCGGTAAAACAGAAACATACATCATCAGCATATAAGAGACTTGGGTCGCTGCATTTAACTGACTTAAATCTACAACACCAAAACCAGCAGTTCTAGTACTGACAGCTTGAAATAACCCATCTAGCACTCTATAACCCTTAGAGATTGGTTTTAAGACAGCTGACCCTAAATCTAGAATAATGAATAGAATAAAATCAGTTGAATTTAAAACAACCAAAGTTAACAATAACCACCATGTGGCGGACTCTGGAAACAACAAAGTAAAACACCGACGCGGATGATCCAATAGGAATCCTGAACTCTCACGAATATGCGACAATTCTGGAGATACTTTGAACATTATCCAAATAATAACTCTTAACAAAATTGGGAAACCAGTATTACCGATAATAATAAACCAGATCATAACAACTAATGGATAAACGGCCGTATTAAATGAAGTCATAGAATCCGGTGTAAGAGTCAGCCCTAAGTCATTAAAAGCACTCATCGAGGTAAAGAAACCCCACCATGCAGGAGAAACTCCAGCCTCTCTAACAATATGCGCATATTTCGAATCTCGACATATCCAAGGAAGCATCATTACAAAACACATAATGTGAAAACCAACATAATAGACAATTAATATCCGGCAAAGAAGTTTGATCGCTCTATATTCGACACCACCTAATTCGTTCTTTTGAATATTTGTCAAACCAGTAAAATTTGAGTTACGAGATACAGTTGGTTGCCATGAAAGGTAATTGGAACTCATAGTCTTCGAGAGTGGATGAACTTGGTCAAGGAAATTTGGACTCAAGTTATCGTCTGGATGGAAACCATAATAACTTTGTTGACTATCGTTATCTTCGTAATTTCTATCCTCGTAATCATCATCATCATCATCACCATCGTTGTTATCATCATCTGCGTCGTTATCATAGCCGTCATCATGTGAAGTGCCATCCGTTGTATACCTACTATTTGGGCGAAATAGATCATTTGCATGTTTATTGCTGTTGTTAGAAGATTCATACAACAAGTGAGGTAATCCTGAGGATGAGTTACCCTTACGAATAGTAGAAGCTAGATCAGGAAGAGAACTTGCTGAATTAAAAGATTTTACAGAACCATCTTGGGTCATTTGTCTCTCCAAGGTAGGTCTTGTACTTTCACTTCTAAATTTTTGCACAGCTGATAGACCGTCTGTGTTATTCTTCCTTCTCTGGGCGATGTATCTTGCACTCATTTTTCTTGGGCTTCTGAGGTGATGTTTGTTCCTATGTTCTCTCTTCCACTGTTTATAAACCATTTTTTGAAAATCTGGTTCTTGTGCTAATTCATTTAGTTTTGCGCCATCATTAACATCAAATGTTAATGAATGGGCTAACATATTGTGAATATTGGATTTCGAATTATTCGGTAAAGGGTGGAGTTCTTTTTCTTCATCTGTTTCGTTATCTGCAAAAGAATCCTCTCCAACTTGGTAGCCTTGGCTATGGTTATTAACTTTGTTTGGAGAATCTCCTTTCCTCGGAGTATCCACTTTCTCATCCTTATCGAATGATCCACTTGATAATCTCCTTTTGAGATTTTTTCTGAATCTTTTCCCTTTACGAAGTTGTTTTAATAAGTACTTGGATGTGGATGGGGCTCTTCTATACGGAGGCCGTTTAGGTGCCCATGTAGAAGCATCCTGAGTAGATTCCATTTTTACCAAATGCTTTCTTGGTGGTTGTTGAATGTCAAACTGGATAGTTTGCCTATGTTGAGCCGGCTCAGGTCCAAATGTTACTGTTGGTTTTTCTTCAAAATCGCCTGTCATCGGATGCATTGTCACCTTTTCGTCAAGATCCTGATGATTATGTGCAATCACCTCTGTCGTTGACTGGGTCGTTACCAATGGAAACTGACTCCTGTTCATAGTTTGAGAAGAAATTGAATTGATACTATTTTCTAACCCCGGTGAAATATCACTTCTATGGGAAAGGTCTCCAGATTCTATTTCCGATTCTGTCTCTTGGGGACTTAAATCTGATTCTGAGTTGTCTGAAACAGCAAATGAGTCACCCATTTCCATTGGGTGGCTGCTTTCGTCGGATGTGTTATCATCATTTATATCTGCTGCGTTACCACTATTAATACTATCATTAACATCTGAGGATAATATAGAAGATTGACGAGCATCTTGGTTCATACCGCTTATCTGTAATTCATCCTTTTTAATATTATTGGCCCCAGATGCTAACCTCTCTTGAGAGTGTAAATTAATCTGAGGTGTTACACTGGGGGGTCTTGAGTCAACAGAGCCCGATCTTTTATGGGTACTGTTCTGGTTAAGTCTATCTATTTCTGCCTTTAAACCGTTTGCATTAATTGTTTTTGATCTCGGAATATTTTTTTGACTCTTATTTTCATTTGGAGCTTGAATAATTAATGCTGGACCATCATTTTCCTGTGTTTCTTCATGTTGATCTCTCAACATTTGAAGAGATCTTAACATATCCTGAGGTGTAATCTCAGTAGAGTTTCTTCTTTTGGCAAACCTTTCTTTCTCTGATTTGAGACTTAGTGTCGAAGAAGATTTTTTAATATTATTAACTTCATCTTGATCTTCCAAATTTCTTTTTAAATCCGAATATCCACTAGATTTTCTTGGTTCAGGAAATATTTTACTATCTACAGATATGGGAGATCTAGATCTTTGAAAACCTTGTTCAGTTTTTGAAACAATTGATAGTGAATCTGAGCGAGCTTCTTCGGAGATATAATCTTCGTCTCTATTAACCATCTGCCCACTAAACAATTTTTCTTGGAAATTTTTACTATTGGAATACTCGCGTTTAGTATTATTATGATTCGTGTCTGGTGTTGTGGTACGTCCAGATAATGTCGTATTATTATTACCTTCATCCTTTTTGTGTGAGGTTGCGTCTGTTGAGGTTTCCTTCGAATTGTCATGTTTCGTGGTATCACTCGAAGTAGTGGTAGTATTATCATTAGATATACCTGCATTCTTCTTTGAGGTTTCTACTTGAGAAGATAAGTTACTTGAATTACCATGCTTCATATCGATATTTGTATCGTTATTATAATCACTGTTATTATCGACTTTACTGTTTAAATTTCGAGTATCGTTTTTAAATGTAACTGTAGGTCTGGTATGCATTTCATAACTTTCATTCATATTTTGGTTACTTTCAGGTCTATGACGACCTACGGTATCAAACCTCATGGATGGTTGCCTCGGTGTCGTCATGGTTCTCCTTGTTAATTCCCTCTGTAAAATGGTCTTGGTTCTTCTCATTTTAAAATCCTTCTTTGAAAAATCACTGATACCATCGAAATATCTCTCAAACCAATACAAACGAACAAACGCTAGAAATCCATGTATAGCTATTGGTGTCGTTAAACAACATGTAATATAAACAATAATCTGTTGGTATAATGTCAAAGAATTAACATCGATCGTATTAAGACCACCTTGTGTGGAAGCACCAGTAGCAAGAAACAAAATATCAATATATTTTGCATTCTTGACGGGATATAAAAGGATGGACGTGATGATAGTCATCGTTATGATATAAATATAATGAACAGCAATAAAGTTTGGAAATAAATATTTCTTGATAGGTTCAATCCATGTCCCTATTTTTGCAATGACATCACGTATTCGATGACCCGCTGATTTTTTATAGGATTCCGGTATCGAGAAGTTTGGAGCCAATGTAGAGACTCTTGTCAGTGTTCTTCGGAGTGGTTGTATTCTTTGTGGTAAATGCATGGTTGATTATTAAATGTGGAATGTTGAATGTTATTGTGAATGAATATGACGGGAACGGTATATTTCAACCAAATGATGAAGTTAAATATATATATATATATATATCCTTTAGAATGCTATAAGGAGGAACTGATTCAATATATTAATTAGTCCAATCCTTTTTTTTAAAATAAATAAATGAAAGTCAAAAGGAAACAATATGACTAATTTGTTATTGCTATATTTCCCCGTCTTAACAGATATTATACTAATCTTTAACAATAGCTCAATCAGTAGTGATAAATATGATGTCTCTGTAACTATCTGTCAAATAGAAGTGTGTTGTAATGCTATTTGCCTTCTATTATTGGGATTAAAATAAAGTATGGTAAAAGTTGATTACCTTACGTAAACACTGCAGAAAATACACTTCAAATTGGGTAATATTTTGCAAGAACTGGTAAATACTGCAGCTAGAAAGAAAGGTATCGAAGTAAAACAATAATATTGATCCCTTCTGTATTGACAAATAGCTTTGAAAAACTTTAATCAACTTGAGAGCATCACATTGTTTGCCTATCATAACCGTCCGTTTTATCGATACAATTTTTTTTTTGATTGTTTTGATTTTTTTTCCCGTTTTCATTTTTGAAACGATAATTGACCTTTCTTGGTGTTGAAAGTGGGATAGCCGAGACAGAAACCGAATTCAACTCGGATCAGATACAGGAGAAGGAAGTAATCTCGACTTTATAAAGGAAGAAAATAATCTATGTTTACTCTTATTACATTGAAATATTTATCTGCTCTTTATTGCTATAGAGTTTGAATGCTTTTTTTAATTTATTACGGATGACTGTCCCTACAGAAGAAATAAAGAAAAATGTTTATGTATATGTGTATATGAATTTTTTGAGAATTGCATGAATGAGAGGAAGAGAGAGAAAGAAATAGAAAGGGAGAGGGAACTTAAGGTAACCCACCCATATGTAGTGCTGGTACGACTTTTGGTAACCCATTTTCACCTCTTTCAGCAAGGATGGCTTTACGTTTTTGTAGTCTTGTAGTAATATATTCACTCATTCCAACATCAACATCCCTATACTTGACCAACCATGGATGTTCTATCAATGAGGCATAATTTGGTCTTCTCTCAGGTATCTTCTGTAAACATAACGATACAAAATCTTGAGCTTCAGAACTAAACCTGTCCGAAGGTAATTTAGGGGCTGGCCCATCAACAATAGCACTTAATTGAGAAAATATATTATCGAATGTCTCTGGTGGGTATGGGTATCTTCCAAGAGCCATCTCTAGAATACTTAGACCTAGGGACCAAATGTCTGATTGGACAGTATATGTAGCAATATCAGGATTTAATGATTTTATACGTTCTGGAGCCATATATGATTGACAACCAATGTTAGTCTTTGCCATGGATGCAACAAGGTTGCCTGAAACACCAAAATCACAAAGTTTAATTGTACCTTGTTTGGCACTACATAAAATATTTGTTGGTTTAACATCTCTGTGAATAATATTATGAACATCCTTTAATACTTTAAGACCTCTAATGACAGCATTTGAAATATAAGCTAATTGAGGTTCATCTATCCCACCAATTTCAGGGTTTGGATCATATATTTTATCTAACGAACCACCATCCATATATTCCATACACATATAAACGGCACCTTCAATAAAAAATGCACCATAAAAATCCACGATGTATGGTGATTGACATTTATGGAGAATTTCTAATTCCATTAATATTTGTTTAAATTTAGCTTCATCTAGTTCTAATTTCACTTCTTTCATTGCCATTATAACATTAGTTGGTTTATGCAATACTTTTGATACATTCCCATAATTACCATGACCTAATTCTTCAATAAATTCTAATTCATCAAGAGTAATCCTTGAACTTGAACCATTACTAAAATCTATCCCCGTTGATGATAAAGATAATTTCCCTGCAAAATTTAATGATCCCGATTTAATATCTACATATTTTGAAAAAATTGAGAATAGACCACCACTACCTGAACCACTTCCACCACTAGAACTTGAACCACTTCCATCAGCAGTAACTGTATTACTATTATTATTACTACCTCTTGTTTTATCGTTTGAAGAGATTGAGGTTCTTTGTATACCATTAATCAAAGAACCATGATTTGGACGTCTTGCCGCAGTTTCATTAGTTGGACTTCCTTCAAATTCTTGTAAAGCATTTGAATTAGATGATGATGATGATGATGAAGAAGATTTTGTAAGATTCTTAAGGGACATACCACCTGGTGGTAATTTCAAACCTCTTCTTGCACTAAGACTTAATTTAGGTTGCCTATTTTGTGCTGCAGTATTATTTGAGCTATTACTTATGCTATTACTTCCTGTAATTACTACTGGTCTACGTGGTGCTCTTCTATTTGGGTTAAATTGATTTGGCCCTAAATTATTCATCATTGGCGAAGTATTAGGTGTTCTTGAAAGATTTGTATTAATTGTTACTTTATTTATAGGTTTTGGAATTGTTTTATTTTCTCCGATTGTTAAATTGTTTAAATCTTTTGTTATGCTATTATTATTATTATTATTATTATTATTACTATTATTATTATTATTATCATTATTATTATTATTTTTACTACTGACACTTGTATTTGCACTACTATTATCATTATTGTTACTATTGTTATTTCTATTATTATTTTGAATAGGCGGCAGTGGTGGTAAAGGTTTATTCACTATACTTACATGTTTATTTTGTGATGTATTACTCGATACTGAAGCTGCTGCTGCTATTGTTGTTGATGATGATGATGATGGTTGATCTGATATCGTTGCATTTTTACCAATATTAGAATTAATTGAAGTATTTGTAGTTGTTAAAGTTTCTAATGTAGCTGATTGAGTCTTTAAATGTGATCTCGATTTATGATTTGAAGAAGATAAAATTTTTTCATTTGATTTATTATCATTCGTATTAGTTGATTCATTATTACTATTATTTGAATTAGTAGTATTAGTTGATTTCCCACTTGAAGTACTGCCAACACTTGCAGAACGTTTCAAAGCTCTTTGTTCTTGAAATGCTTTGACTCTTGCATGTAAATTTGCATTAATATTATCATAATGTGATGAAGTTGAAGAAGCTCTTTTTATTGAACTATCTTGTTCTGCGAGTGCATCGCCATTAGGTATCCTGGGCATAAGTTTCCTAATTTATAATATGATATGAATTAAAAATAAATAATTATAGTGATAATTGAATTAATGAATGAACGTATGCTTTGAAATATTTTATAAAAGAGAGATTATAAATCACTCCGTTCTATGCAACACTAACAACAATGAACAAAAATATTCTGGATATAGATATATATGTATGTATATATATGTATAATCTTTCTATTTCAATGTGTATATGATGTATTAATACCTAGATATATGACAAATAATAAGAAAGGTATATCTTAGTAACAATCAATAGTAAAATATATGGTGTTCTTTTTTTTTTATTATTTGGTCTCCTCTTTATTTAACATTATTTTATTCTTTACCACTCAACTATTTTCCTCACCTTTAATGAAAAATATTTATTATATTATAATGCATAGAAATTACAAATTGTATATTGATTTTCTCTCTCTGTCTCCCTCTCGGGTCGGGATAAAAATTTATTCCCAAAGTTCTATTATGGTAATACTGTTCAACCCCCTCCAGTCGCTTCTCTCACAGAAACAAACCGAAACCAGAAAAAAAAGCAGCGAAAAAAAAAGCCAAATAAAAAGGTAGACAGTGGGTGAGGGTAACTGGCTCTGAATCTAAGTCACGTGCATAGCCGGTTAGTAATGTTTGAATATACACATATCTATCTATATATATATAGAGAGAGTGGTTTGAATACAGGCATAGGTGTCTGTACTACATTGAGACGTCCATGTATACATCTTGCAAGATTAAATAAATACTATGCTGTATATAGAGGCAATGGCCACAAGATCGATTGATCAATATTATTTATGTCGAAGACCATCGTTAAAGTAGATTCATTGTACGTTTGGCTTCATACACACACACAGAGTTGTTTTACCTAAATATAATAACGGCGAAAAGCTGAAGCACGCTTGTAGCGAATAGCATCATCAACAACTTCCTCATTCTCAGCGGCTATATGGCGCATTTCTTCAGACATTCTAGTAACTATAGCAAGTAGAACACAAGAAATCGGCACTGCACGGTTATACCTGAGACTTGGATGCAATATATATGTAAATGTAACGCGTCTTTATCATTTTATTATTTGAATTATGGCGTTGTGTATGGTGGATATCCACGTGACTCACGGCTTTTTGCACATTTTTTGAGGGAATAATAAAATTAAATAAATCATTTAATTTTGAGCCGCGTTACTCTTCCTACAGCCATTCATCGTGCTGTCATTATTTCTTTTCCAGTGGGTGTGTTTGCCCAGTAATGGCCGTAGCAGCAGCATGTGAGAGACTGTCCGGAATTCCGGTACAACGGCAAAGTCACAGAGCTCACACTTCTTTTCTTCTTTCGGTTAGTAAATGACACACAATAACCGTAGAAGAAGGAAAAAGAACCAGTAAAGGCCAGGGTATCGGTTGTTATCGGAATATTTTTTATTCACGTTATATGGGTACATTGTGCTCTGCCCTGCGCTATTATCTCTGCAAAACTCTTTTATTATTAAAGAAATTAGTAATGCTTATGAGCCGTTGATAGCAACATTTTTCAAAATATTTTCCTTTTTCACTGTATGTGTTGTGCCCTTTTGTTTGGGTATATTGACCATTTTGGCATAGCTGATTAACAAGTAAATAAATGAATGAAGAAGAATTGAACCCGTTTTTTTTTTTTTTAGTTTATGAACCGTGTTGAACTGTTGATAAAACATTGTTTCTTTTCTCTCCCATAGGAAGATCTTTCTTTTTTGTGTTGACTTACTCCTAGCAGTTTTGCGATGATTGATTCTTAAATACGGAAACTGTTAGATATTTTGCGATGGGCCCGCTGTTAAAGACTCGAGAGGCATTAATTTAATATATTCCAGTAATCATCCCGTCTATCCTATTAAAATAAAAATTTATTAATAAATAGTATTTTTCTTTTTCTTTTTCTTTTTTCACTAGCACTTTCATATAATTGATAAGTATCAAATTTATATATGCAATAACGGCTAGTATAGAATAAGAGTCTTTTGGATATTACTATCATTTAAGGACTTTTACCAGTTTGGATTTTTCAACATTCTTTGATATATAAAGAATGAACATCTTAATGATTAATTATTCTAATATCTTGAAATTTTTCATATTATTTTTTAATTAACAATTCCTTTTTATTACTATTCTTTTATAAGAACAGTAACAAAAAAAAAGATTATTAATCTTCTTTATTATTATTTTATTTGTTTGCGATTTTTTTTTGTCTCTATAAAGAAATAATCAAAATAGTTATATACCCATTCTAATTTGCATACATTTTTTAATATATTAATTTTCATAACTAACTTACGTTAATAATAATAAGAATTTTCTCTTTTTTTTAAAAACAAAAACAAAACAGTCACATCATGTCTGAGAAGGAAACGTCTTCCAAATCAGGCGCTGATGATACAAATTCAATGACAGGATCTCTTGCAGATTCTGTTCATTCTTATGAAGCTTATGAAGGTGCCGGTCCAGATATTGAAGATCAAGGTAATGAATCTCAATTATCTCGTCACTTATCTCATATCTTATCGAATGAAGAAGGTATTAAAAGATTAGAATCCCTTGGTAGAGTTATTTCTACTAAGACTAAAAAACAAATGGATAAATTCGAAGTTAATGATATGGATTTTGATTTACGTGCTTTATTAAACTATTTAAGATCTCGTCAATTAGAACAAGGTATTGAACCAGGTGATTCAGGTGTTGCTTTCCGTAATTTGACTACAGTTGGTGTCGACGCTTCTGCCGCTTATGGTCCATCTGTCAGTGAAATGTTAAGAGATATTGGTACAGCTCCAGCTAATATCTTTAGAAAAAATGGTAATGTTCCTTTAAGAAATATTATTCAAAATTGTAGTGGTGTTGTCGAATCAGGTGAAATGTTATTTGTCGTTGGTAGACCAGGTGCTGGTTGTTCAACTTTCTTAAAATCTTTAACTGGTGAAACTGAAGCTTTTGTATCAGTTGATGGTGATTTCTCTTATGATGGTTTAGAACAAGAAGAAATGATGAAAAAATATAAAGGTTACGTCATTTATTGTCCTGAATTAGATTTCCATTTCCCAAAGATTACAGTTAAAGAAACTATCGATTTTGCTTTAAAATGTAAAACTCCTCGTGTTAGAATTGATAACATGTCTCGTAAAGAATATGTTGATAATTTAAGAGATTTATGGTGTACCGTTTTCGGTTTAAGACACACTTATGCTACTAAAGTTGGTAATGATTTCGTTAGAGGTGTTTCCGGTGGTGAACGTAAGCGTGTCTCTTTAGTTGAAGCTCAAGCCATGGGTGCATCAATTTATGCTTGGGATAATGCTACTAGAGGTTTGGATGCTTCTACTGCTTTAGAATTTGCTCAAGCTATTAGAACTGCTACTAATATGATGAATTCTTCTGCTGTTGTTGCAATTTACCAAGCTGGTGAAAATATTTATGAATTATTTGACAAAGCTACCGTTTTATATAATGGTAAACAAATTTTTTTCGGTCCAGCTGATCAAGCTGTTGCTTATTTTGAAAGAATGGGTTGGATTAAACCAAATAGAATGACTTCTGCTGAATTTTTAACTTCTGTTACTGTTGATTTCGAAAATAGAACTTTGGATATTAAACCAGGTTATGAGGATAAAGTTCCAAAATCTGGTTCTGAATTCGAAGAATATTGGTTAAATTCTGAAGAATATCAAACTGTACTAAGAGAATATGATGATTATCATTCTAGACATCCAGCTGAAGATACAAGACAAAGATTTGAAGCTGCTAAGAAACAAAGATTACAAAAGGGTCAAAGAGCTTCTTCTCAATATGTCGTCAACTACTGGCATCAAGTTTGGTATTGTATGATTCGTGGGTTCCAAAGAGTTAAAGGTGATTCCACTTATACTAAAGTTTATTTATCTTCTTTCTTAATTAAAGGTTTGATTGTTGGTTCTTTATTCCACAGAATCGATGATAAGTCCCAATCTACTACAAAGGGTGCTTATTCTCGTGGTGGTATGTTATTTTATGTCCTATTGTTTGCCTCTGTTACTTCTCTAGCTGAAATCGCTAATTCTTTTGCTACTCGTCCAATTATTGTTAAACATAAATCTTATTCCATGTATCATTTATCTGCTGAATCGCTACAGGAAATTTTAACTGAATTCCCTGTTAAATTTGTTGCTGTCTTAACTTTATCTTTGGTTACTTATTGGATTCCTTTCATGAAATACACCGCTGGTGCTTACTTCCAATATTTGTTATATTTGATTACTGTTCAACAATGTACTTCTTTCATTTTCAAATCCGTTGCTACTTTAACTAAGGATGGTGCCACTGCCCACGCCCTTGGTGGTTTATGGGTTTTGATTCTTTGTATCTATGCTGGTTTCGTTCTTCCATTACGTGAAATGCATCATTGGATTAAATGGATTCATTGGTTAAATCCTTTAAGTTACGCTTTTGAGAGTTTAGTCTCTACAGAATTCCACGGTAGACAAATGAAATGTAGTGCCCTTGTTCCATCTGGCCCAGGTTACGAAAATGTCAGTATTGCTAATCAAGTTTGTGATTCTCCAGGTGCTATTAAAGGTCATGCATTTGTCAGTGGTGACGATTATATCAAGGCTCAATACCATTATGATTATTCTCATGCTTGGAGAAACTGGGGTATCAATGTCGTCTGGACTTTCTTCTATATCTGTTTCAATGTTGCTATGTCTGAATTTATTAAACCTTTAGAAGCTGGTGGTGATCTATTACTTTACAAGAGAGGTCATATGCCAGAACTTGGCACTGAAAATGCTGAAGCTAAGACTGCTTCTAGAGAAGAAATGATGGAAGCTCTAAATGGTTCTGATGTTGATTTGAAGGCGGTTATTGACAGTAAGGATGTCTTTACATGGAACCACTTGGATTATGTTATTCCTTACGATGGTGCTACTAGAAAATTATTAAGTGATGTCTTTGGTTATGTTAAACCTGGTAAAATGACTGCTTTAATGGGTGAATCTGGTGCTGGTAAAACTACTTTGTTAAATGTTTTGGCTCAAAGAATCAATATGGGTGTTATCACCGGTGATATGCTGGTCAATGGTAAAGATCTACCTGCTTCTTTCAACAGATCTTGTGGTTACGTTGCTCAAGCCGATAACCATATGGCTGAATTATCCGTTAGAGAATCTCTAAGATTTGCTGCTCAATTAAGACAACCAAAATCTGTTCCATTAGAGGAGAAACTAGAATATGTTGAAAAGATTATTACACTTTTGGGTATGCAAAACTACGCTGAAGCTTTAGTTGGTAAAACTGGTAGAGGTCTAAATGTTGAACAAAGAAAGAAATTGTCTATTGGTGTGGAATTGGTTGCTAAACCATCTCTATTGTTATTCCTTGATGAACCTACTTCTGGTCTGGATTCTCAATCTGCTTGGTCTATTGTCCAATTTATGAGAGCTTTAGCCGACTCTGGTCAATCTATTTTGTGTACTATCCATCAACCTTCTGCTACTTTATTCGAACAATTTGATAGATTACTATTATTAAAGAAAGGTGGTAAAATGGTTTACTTTGGTGATATTGGTGAAAACTCTAACACTTTGTTAAATTACTTTGAACGTCAATCTGGTGTCAAGTGTGGTATCTCTGAGAACCCTGCTGAATATATGTTGAACTGTATCGGTGCCGGTGCTACTGCTAGTGCTTCAGCTGACTGGCATGATCTATGGTTAGCTTCCCCTGAATGTGCTGCTGCCAGAGCTGAAGTCGAAGAATTACACAGAACTTTACCATCTAGACCTGTTAGTGATGATCCTGAATTGGCTACCAAATTCGCTGCTTCTATGTTAACCCAATATAGATGTGTTATCAAGAGAACATACTTACAATTCTGGAGATCTCCAGTCTATATCAGAGCTAAATTTATGGAATGTGCTACTTGTGCTTTGTTTATCGGTCTTTCATATGTTCGTATTAATAATTCTGTCGGTGGTGCTGTTGAAGCTTTCTCTGCTATTTTCATGTTACTATTGTTATCTTTGGCTATGATTAATCAATTACACGTTTTTGCTTTTGACTCAAGAGAATTATACGAAGTCAGAGAAGCTGCTTCCAATACTTTCCACTGGAGTGTTCTATTGTTATCACATTGTTTGATCGAATTAGGTTGGACTGTCTGCTGTCAATTTGTCTGTTGGTTCTGTTACTACTGGCCTGCTGGTTTCAATGGTAGTGCACCTGAAGCTGGTTATTTCTGGTTCTTATATGTTTTGATCTTCCCAATGTATTTCGTTACCTATGGTCTATGGATTCTTTACTTCTCTCCAGATGTTCCATCTGCATCTATGATCAACTCTAACATCTTTGCTGCTATGTTGCTATTCTGTGGTATCTTACAACCATCTGAAAAGGCTCCACGTTTCTGGATCTTTATGTTTAGAATTTCTCCATTCACTTACGTCGTTGAAGGTTTAGTTGGCCCAGAAGTTCATGGTAAGAAGGTCAAATGTAACCGTGATGAATTAAATATCATGGATCCTCCATCTGGTCAAACTTGTGGCCAATACTTAGACACTTTTGTTAAGAGTAATACAGGTTTCTTAATTAACCCAGATGCTACTGCTGACTGTGAATATTGTCCATACACTACTCAAGATGATGTCGTTCTTCCATACCACGTCAAATACCATCACAGATGGAGAAACTTTGGTTTCATGTGGATTTACATTTGTTTCAACATTTTCTTAATGCTTTTCTGTTACTACATTATGAGAGTTAAGGTATGGAGTTTGAAATCTGTATTAGACTTTAAGAAATGGTTCAATGGTCCAAGAAAGGAAAGACATGAAGATAAACCAAATGTTTTCCAAACTACTGAGGCTGATCAAGCTGCAGTTCAAAAGAAGGATGCTTAATGATCATAGTTATCTTCTTTTATATTTTTTATGTAAACACAACATTATAGATTCTTTAAATACTAATTATTTGTTACTTTTAATTTTTTTCTTTTAAGTTTTACTTATATAATAAATACATCTACCAGAACTCTAAAAGGTGTTTTATTTTTATTGTTTACCACGCAACCATTAGACCATTTACTTTGTAATATATACTTGCATTTTAAAGTGATGTATAATATACCATTAAAGTACATGTATAAACCAGTCAATAATAAAAAAAAATGCAATATTTCTAAAAAGAGATATATTCTATTTCAACGTAATATGAAACTATATCGGCAAAATTTTACTTATTATAAAAAATAGATTCCTCCAAATTCAGTACACCTTAAATAATATAATTCGACTGGGTCAGTATCTTCACTAATAAAGTACCGAGCTGAAACAACTGGGGAGGCCAATATCCATCTCACGCTAGCTTCAACATTATCGCTTCCTTAATGGAAATAATTACTCAAGGTACTGTGACTGCGTTGCTAAGGAAATTATTACACATCCACCTAGGTACCCTAGCAACTGGAAGAATGCCCTCCTTGATAACTGCACTTGTTCAGATTTGCGGTGAGATTGTGCAAAAATGCCCCGAATTTGTTTAAAAATCAGTGTGATACCCATACCATATACTATTCTGTAAAATCAAATTGTCTTACACACAGATATTGAGTACCTGAATATGTTTTATGTACTTCTATCACTTATAAGCCATCTCTCCTTTATGGCTACGTGACGATGATGATTGTTTAGATACTATTTACTTTTGTTTATTTCTCAACGCGAACAATAATTTCACCTTCAGTTCGTTTTCTGCAACTTTTTAACCAACAAACACAACACTTTTTTATATTTGTTAATCAGAGCAAAAAAGAGTAGCGAAGCTCGGCATGAATGGTAACTAGTAACACTATTTATAAATCTCACATACCATGGTAGTATATCATGGAGTTAGGAGCTTTATCGGAATCCACTATGGGGTCAATATCTGTCGGTATATCTTGTGACTCACGTTGTTTCGTATCTTCTATGTCATCATCATTCGGGTTATCATCATCTATAGCATTCTCAATCTCAATCTCTTGTATTTCTTGTAACATCTTCTTTCTCTCATTAATGAATTTATCATATCTTTTAGAATCATCAGAAATATTGTTTTGAACAGCAGAGTCGATATCGTTGGAAATATTACTCCCGTTAGCGGCTCTATCACCATATATTTCGTCACCCTCCTCGTCTTCGTCATCTTCATCGTCATCATCATCTTCATCGTCATCGTCATCGTCATCATCATGGTAATCTTCATCCTCTTCTTCATGATATGCCGCATCAAAATCAAAACTTAATAAGAATTGTTCGTTCTCACGTTGGCGTCGTAACATTGATGCTTCATCTTCTGTCTGCTGTTGTTCTGCTTGCTCTTTTTGTACAATCTCCAATGCTGCCATGACATTATCTTCCAAATTCAACATTGCATCGTTCATGATGTTATCACTACTACTTTTGCCTGTATTCGTTATAGGAGCTCCCTGAGGATTCTTCTCGTTCATGTCCACTAGAACTTTCGTAGCTGCATCAATATAACTGGTTCTACGTCTATTCATCTCATCAGCAATGAATTTATTGAATGTGTTAGTAGTATTTAAAGTTGTGTATCCATTTTGAGGAGTATCATATTTTGCTTGCTTCGATTTAGTAGTATCTAGTACGTGTGTAGTATCACGGGTAACATCCTTGTCATTTTCAGAAATACTCTGTGATCTCTTACGGCCATTTGTGTTTTCAATAGTCGGTAAGCTAGTTCCAACTCTTATATTAGATTCATTTGTACGGGTCCCACTATGCACTTCGGACTTATTCATCATTTCATCTGTATTTATAGCATGAGAGGGTAGCATATGGGCCTGTGCTACTGGAGCTTCACCAGCAGTGACAATAACACCATTCTCATCAGGGTATCTCATTTTACACTTCTGACATTGTGCAATAACTTCAGAGACAGTGTGCTTAATCCGTTTCCAATGATATTTTTTGGCAATTTTGGACGTTATTTTATTTATGCCTTCATGCATGACATTATGTGTTTCCAAGGCAATTTGTCGCTGTTTGACTGGATCGTAAACAACCTCTCTACCTTTCGTCATCAGTTTTCCATTTTGTAAATTATGATTCTTGGCACTGACACGCAAACGAGCCTTTTCACTTCTGTCACAATGTAACGGATATTCTCCCGTTTCCAAGTAGTACCGCAATCGTTCATATTTTGCGATTTCGTTAGTCTTTTCAGGATCACGAAGTAAATCGATACTTCTTTTGATATGGGTGAATTCTTTGGCATATATGAAGGAGTCCACAGGAACATCATAACCTTTCAAAATTCCAGCCTCTGGAAGCTTACCCACTCTTCTAAAATTCAAATCCTCTAAAATCCTTCTAATCCCGACATTTGTACCATATATTAATGGGAAACAACACGACGTAAAACCTAGCTTCTTAGACCATTCAATAAATATTTCTGAAAGAGTTTTACCAATACCTTTACCTCTAATACCAGCGTTTACCAAAAATGTCCCAGTCACTACATGTGATGATCTACCAGGATATGCAGGCTGTAGTTGGAAAATACCTAAGCATTGTTTCTCCCAAGGTATCTTGAAATTAAAATTACGTAACTTCTTTCTTTGTAGGTAAGTTTCAGAGTTCTTTTCATTGTCGACATTATTATTAGTTGTCACTGAACCCTTTTCAGCACTCTCACTGCGAGGATATATATCTTCGGCACTATAATCTAGCTCTGGAATTTCTCCTAGTACCATAATACAGATATGCCCATCTCTATTAAACCATACATCTTGAAATTCTTCCATGGTTAATGTTTCATAGTAAGGAAAACTATCACCTTTTTCTATCTCCATATTAAATTCGTCCAATAAAAACTGAAGTAATTCTGGTGGAAGTAGTTGTGGGAATGAAGGAATGGGATACATTGTAGCAACTGTTTCACCATCTTTTAAAATAACAGTCCTGGGGCGTAATGGAGTTACTAGCTGTTGGTCTTGTTGTGTTGAACTGGACATCGCTAAGTTATGAACTGAGCCGTCCTGAATAGTTTGCTCCGTTATAGACCTACCGCTAAACATAACGGATTCTACAGATAACAATAAGTAAAAATATATATCTGAATATGGTAGGAGGGATAGGTATATTCACTTTAAGCAATCATTATTTTATCTGTTTATAGATGCTTCACGAAACGTTTGGCGTTTTGGCGATTCTTCGGTTTGTTAACTAATCACTAGTTCCTATCTCGGCCGAACAGGGAAATTTGTATGTAGACTTGACTCATGAAAACCAAACTGATATGTATAAATAAATTAAAATCCATACATCAGGTTGTGTAAAATAAAGAGTGACCAAGAGGTCCAACATTATTTGAAAATTCAATAAAATCATGTTTAAAACATGGTACATCAATTTAGGGTTGCAATAGGACAACTTTGCTCTTCATCTAATTTGCAGAAGAACCTCAAGATCGTCACGCAATTGATCTCGAAAGCGATTGACAAAGATGTAAAACTGATATTATTTCCAGAAGCTACAGACTTTTTATCAAGAAATTCTGCACATTCACGTTACTTAGCAAGTCATACTTCGAAATTTATTAGTGATTTACAGAATAATATACGAATGTTGGTTCAACAGAAGTCAAAAAAAATAGATGTTTCCATAGGTGTTCACTTACCACCATCTAAACTAATTGACGATTCAAGAACAAGAAATGTTCTTTTATACATAAATCACAATGGTACGATCATAGATACATACCAAAAACTGCATTTATTCGATGTTGATATCAAGAATGGACCAATACTAAAAGAATCACAATCTGTGCAAGCAGGGATGAACCTACCGAATGTGATTGAAACACCAGTTGGGAAATTAGGGACAGCAATCTGTTATGATATAAGATTTCCAGAAATGGCAGCGTACTTGAGATCTAAAGGTGCCCAACTACTTTGCTACCCAAGTGCATTTACTATGAAAACAGGTGTGGCACACTGGGAAACGTTGGGTAAAGCGCGTGCCATAGACAACCAATGTTATGTTATAATGCCCGGACAACAAGGCAAGCACAATGTTTATGACGATGATTGGAAGGACTCTACTGAATCTGGCACTAAAACTGTAGAACGCCAATCATGGGGCCATTCAATGGTTATTAACCCATGGGGAGAAATAGTAGCAAAAGCGACTGAATCAGATGAACCTCAGTTGGTAATAGCTGACCTTGATCACGAATTAATGAACACGGTAAGGCAAAATATGCCATTACTAAGTCATATGAGAAAGGATATATTTTACAATTAAATAATATGTGTATGTATTTATTTGGAAGTGTCACTTGTTCCATTTAAGCATTGTTGAACAATAGTATCATTTCTAGTCCTAGAGCTTAGTTTGGTAGCAAATGTTAGGTATGAAGTGTGAGATTTAATTTCTGACTCAATTTTTGTAACTTGTTTCCATTTGAAATCTGGATCACCTTCTTTCACTCTAGTGCCCTTTCCGAATGGATTGAATTTAGACTTTTCAGTGAACGGCTCTCTAGGCGTAGGCACGGAACTAGCGTTAATTTCACCATTACTTTCTGCTTCAATACGAAGTCGTTTCTGTTCAATGCCTTCCTTTTTACGTCTCTTTATATCTCTGCATCTTTCCATGGCATCTTCCATTGACCTCACCATTTGACGTCTACTTTCGTATTGTCTGCCTTGAATTTCGACCATTTCGATATTTGTCCAACCATTATTCTCAAGAGATTCAATGGTCTTATCAACTTGTTCAATACATGGAGAAAAACAACATACACCAACTTGTTGATCTTGCGCAATAACTTTGTCTAAATGATGGATAGCATCCCATGGTGCCGGTAAATCCAGAAAGACGGCAGTTGCATCTAAGTCTATTTCATTCTTACTTTCAAAAATAGCTGAAGTCTCATCACTTTCCTTGATTGTAAACCCATCCTCACACACATCTCTATGTGTAATTGTGACGTTTTCATTTAGTAAACCGTGATCCTTAAATTCTTGCATAGCTTGCTCATATCTAACTGGATGGAACTCATAAGTAAACAACTTCTCAACTGTTCTAGCGAATGCGTGTGAAAAGGAACCTGACCCCGTACCAGCTTCAATAACTCTAGTGTGTGGTCCACAGTTCATCCTCTGCATAATATATGATGAGTCCGGAGTGTATACGATTTGGGTTCTATGAGGAAGAGATAGAGTCCACAATTCAGGCGTAGGTTGCAACACATGAATAAACGCAAATCTGCCTGTACCTCTAGTACGAATAGCAATTTGAGAACCATAAGGTTTACCAATCATATCTGTATGTGAGAAGGAACCATATCTTGTGTTGAAAGTTTCCTTAGCATCGATGGTTACAGCTTTAATATTACCACGAGAAATCCAGATCAATGCCAGGTCACCTTCTTGGATGAGATCCTTATAATCAGTAAATTGAGATTGATATGAGGTCATCAAGAATAAAGTAATATCTAAATGTGTAGTTTTGTCCTCTTTAGCTTTGAATTAGATAATTATTTATGCTCATCGCAAGCATCTCTTTTTTAAACTATGGCAGTTATTGGATTTTCACTGAAAATTTTTTCGCTAACAAATCGAGCAAAGTAAGACATATATACAAATATACAATAAAATTACAATGACAGTATCAACTGCGAAGAAACATAACTTGCCAACCAAGATTACTAAAGGAAACTAATTTGACTTTAAGCTATAGTGTAAAAAAAAAAAGAAATATCAAATCTTTTTACTTGTATATATTTGTATCTATATATGATGAATTATAATAATACATTATTTGGTTTTTTTTTTTCGTTAGAGGGAGAGGCAAAATCACTCCTTTTTAACTAGTACATATCTGTCTTATGGAAATCATGAGTTAAACCATGACGAGCAAACTCTTTAATCTTTGCAGTTTCTGTTACACATCTATTATCGTCTGTTTGTTTCTTGATAGCTTGTGCTTCTGCAAATGGAATCTGTTGCATAGTCTCTAAAGGTTGGTCCTCTCTGTCAATATCAACCTCACCTAACATTACAACATTTTCACCACGAATCATGAATATACCACGGTCTTCTTCAGCATACTTTCCTTTATGATCACCAGTCAAATATATCCTTTCAACACAATGCTGAAGAATTAGATTGGCATATTGGTCAAATGTCCTTAGAACACCAAAAAGAAGTTTCCCATCACGTAAAAGAACAAATATCTTACGGTCAACAGAACTCACAATGGCAGCTGTAGTAGTGAAATTGTATTGGTCCAAGTATAAGTCCGCTTCACCTTCTGTAATTTTCTTGGCTTGTTTCTTACTTTCTTTTTTAGTCGGAGCAGGAGAAGTTTCAGCTGGTACCTCTGGAATAGGCTGCTGAGTATCAGTAGGTAGGCCCTCAGACATTCTTAATATAGTTTATTTATATGTGTATTATACTCTTACAATTGTATTATAAACGTTCCCTTTATAAGGATGACAAACTCAGTAGAGTTAGAGTTAGGTATATTGAAACCATTTTATTTAATAATATACTTATTATTTTCGGCTACTGAAATTTCCGACGAAATTCCGTTTGGAATGATTGCTTTTAGTAACTTCACTACAAAAAAGAACGACAATTTGTTAAAAATTTAATACAATATATGAGAGAGAAAATATATACATACATACATACATATATGTATATGTGTGTTTTAAAGCACTAACTACTTCTAATTAAAGCCCATACGCTCAACTACATAATTCTGGGCGACGACACCTAGCACCAGGCTGATCCCGTCCTCAACCCAGTCTTGAACCCATTCGCTAGGGTCAATTTGTTCATCATCATCATCATCGTCCTCTTCATTTTCGTCATTATCTTTCTCAAGATCTTGCCCTTGCTGCTTCCCATGTTCCTTACGTAGAACAGAACCACCTTCTAACCAATGTATCCATTTTGCTGGAAAACCTTGGGATCGCGTAGTACTTGTTATATTGTTTGTAATGTCCTTAAGTACCATAGTGAAACTGAAGTTACCAGGTTGAGAAGCGTCAGTAGCAGTATTCTTTTCATCGGCTTTGCTAGCGCTAGGAATAACAATTGGAACAATAGAGATGAAAATATCGCTTATATTAGCTGTATCATCGGATACAGTTTCATTTTCTTTTTGTTGTCTAATGACTTCTTCATGAGCTTTATTGAATAATTTTACAGCGTTATCCAAATTCGCAAAAGCAAGTTTTTCACCATCTGATACTTTACCACTGAAAGCATTCAATTGTCTCTTAACAGGAACAGGGTTCTTTACGATACTTACGTTACCATTATTACCAATATCGTCACTGTTTAATATAACAGCTTCTTGAGCTGGTTGTTGTTGATTAGAATTTGGTTTTCCCCATTCATCTACGAAAATACGGATCCCACCTTGTACTTGATCACTCAACACTTGATCAAACCTTTGTTCGACATGATATTGTAAATATGAATAATTGACAAGGTCATGTACTAAATGAATACGTAATACTTCCTCAGTTTCACCAACAACAATTTTCTGTAATGATTTAGCCAAATCAGTAATTGTAGATGAATTGATTGGTGGAATAGGTAATGGTAATGAAGCTTGTTCCTGAGCCAAACGGTTCTTCAATTGAGTAGCTTGTTCAGTTGTCTTACTCCATAAACTGGAAACTGTGTTGGCACCGGAAGAGGACCACCAATTAGATATGGATGTAATTGGGTCATCCAATGGTTCACTTTCACTGTTATCATTATTTTCTTCTTTAACTGGAACAGGTTCCTCGGATTTAGATTCCACTTTAACTTCTTCTTGTGCTTCAGTTGTCTTTGGCCCTTCAACTTTCTTCTCTTCTTTAACATCAGGCTTTTCTTGGTCTTCTACCTGTTCCTTCACAGGCTCTTTCTTCTCCGAACTTTGCACCTTCTTAGTTTCTGTCTTTGTATCCTTCTCAAGATCATCTAAAAACTTCATAATATCCTCATTCTTGTCTGCTGACGCGTTTGCGCCAGTACTACCGGCAGCAGCAGCAGCACCTTTCGACGTTCCCTCAGGCAAATTGTCCAGGAACTCCATCAGTTCGTCAGCTTCCATCTTCTTATCTGTACCAGCCACCATTATCGATCGTTTCACGTACAAATTTTCCACTCTTTGACAGTCTTGCAATGTCTCAAGCTCTCGTACCTGTCCTTTTAACCTGTTCCCATTAAAAAAAAAGGTTTCCCCTTCAAAAATATCCTGTAAGTCCTTAATCTTTTGTCATTTTTTTTCTGTGACGAGAAATTCCAACAAAAAATTAAACCGAAGCTACGGAAGGCGAGAGACGGGAAAGAGAGAAAATTTTTTTTTTTTTTCATTTTGAAATTTGAAATTTTGATTGCGATGAGCTTTATAAAGAGAAAGAGAGATATGTAGTTAGGACCACCTATTAAACATGGGTTCTTTTGGAAGGAGAGTTTACGCTGGAGAAGGTTATAATCTTTTGTTTGAAAAGAAAAAATTGATCTATTTGACAAAACCATGCCTTCCAAAAACTCTATTAACAGACCAAAGTTGACTACAAATGTACGTTCTAAACAACAGAAATTAGCACGTAAGAGAGACCAACGTGAACGTGCAGGTCATTTCAATCAAGCTAGATCAGCTGATGGTTCTCGTTCAGGTGAAGCTAAGTCTGTTGCACTAGATATATATTTTGGTAAAGAGGATTCAACGACATCGAGGGATCAATCACATCGTGGTGGTTTGACTAATAAGACTTTATCCAAGAAAAGAGCACAAAAGATTGAACGTAATTTGAAATATGCGCAACAGAGACGTTTATTGACTGATGTACAAGCTGGTTTAGAAAATAAAGCTGATGATGATGAGATGAATGTTGATGGTGGTAATAAAGCCCTATTAAGAAAACAAGAAATTGAACAAAGTAAGAATAAGAAGAATAATATGTCATTAATTAGAGAAGCTTTATGGAATTCCATTGAAGACGCGCAATCTCAAGGTCTAACTTTGGCTACTGGTCAAGGTACAACTTTAGGTGGCCCATTCTTCCCATGAAATACAGCGAACAAACACATATATACACAAAACAAATAACATTTCTCTTTTTTCTATTGTACCATAGTTCTCTTATATAAAAAAAGAAGAAATAATATTAATAATCACATACATTTATAAATTACAAATATACATCTATTTAGTTTATTTTCTCAGTAAGAACACCTCTTTGATCTAATTGTTCATGAACTTTGTTTTTCATAAATGAGATAACATCTGCAGGATCTTGAGCTGTAAATACAGAAGTACCTGCGACAATAACATTAGCACCTGCTTCAGCCGCTTGTGGGATAGTCTCTTTACCTAAACCTCCATCTACTTGAATATCCAATTGAGGAAATTTTTCTCTTAAGATACTAACTTTAGGCATCATATTAGGCATAAATTTTTGTCCACCAAACCCTGGCTCAACAGTCATTACTAGAGCCATATCTAAATGAGGAGCCAATTCAAATAGGACATCTACTGGGGTACCTGGTTTAATAGCACATGCGGCACGGATTCCATAAGACTTAATCAATTTTACAAGAGCTAAAGGATCCTTAGTAGATTCATAATGGAATGTGAATTGATCGGCACCATTTTTAACAAAATCTTCAACATAAAGTTCTGGATTCTCTATCATCATATGACAATCAAAAAATGCCTTTGGTTTATCACTAGTAGTATCATTTGGTCTAGGGACTGCTTGACGTAGAGATTTCACAATCGGTTGGCCTAGTGTAATATTTGGAACAAAATGACCATCCATGACATCGATATGTAGCCATTCAGCACCGGCATTGATCACACGATGACAATCACAACCTAAATTGGCAAAATCGGAGGCTAAGATACTTGGAGCAATAATAGGTCTAACCATTTTCTTATAGCAAAAAAATAAAGAATTATACAGGTAGGAAGGGACAAAAAAAGGTCGTTGTTGAAAATAATCCTAGTTCTTCACAAAATAAACAAATATTCAACTTTCTTCCATTTCTACCTTCTCAAATAATCAATTCTCACAGCTTTGCTAATCCAGGCCTTCGAGATTATCAAATCAAATTCTTCTTTTTATATAAAGAAATCGTCTCTCTCTCTTTCACTTTCACTTTCGCCGCGTATTTTCTTTTGGTTTCTTCTACAATCGGTGTTTCGATAAATTTTCTCTCAGTGAACGGCGCGGCGGCGAGCAAAAAAGAAAAAAATTTTCTTTTTTCGCTGCGGTCACGTGCTGGCTCGGTATTATTCTCTGTAACTCACAGAAATGAGGTGATGACAGCATTTGTTTGACACCGATCATCGTTTTCATTTGGACAAGGGTGTGGTCAGCAATGTACCTGGTCCGCTAGCGTAACCTGCTGCTATCGTGTGTCCGTCTATTGACCATGAAAGATCGTTGACGCTACCTTTGTTGTTGGTTTGTTGGTGGCCATCTCTTGATATCACTGGAATTGTTAATGGAAGTTGTAAATCATTCTTTGAATCTCTTGAATTATCGATAAATTCGGATATACCAGCAACATAGATTTGTCCATTCATAGTACCTATCATGTAACGATTTCTATCATGAGTAAGTTTACCAACAAATACAGGTACACCTTCTAACATTAATAAACCTTGCATTAGATTCTCAGAGACTGACCATATGCGGACAGAACCATCCATTGAACCACTAATCAACAGATCATCGTTAATCCATTGTAGTGAAGTAATTGCTTGTGTATGTCCATAGAAACAATGAGTGGAATTACTATTACTTCCATGCCATACACGAATAGTAAAATCGTCTGATGCTGACGCTAGTAATTTCTTTGTAGGGTGGAAAGTTAAACAACTGATGACTCCCTGGTGACCCATTAATTTCCCAACAGGTTTACTCTCTGTAGTCTCATAAACGCCTATAGTGCCTCCAATTCCTGGTAAAACAAATCTTCGTTCATCAACCCATTCAATGGCTACACCAATAGATTCTGGGTTCCCAGATACTGTGGATTTTAATTCGTAATGTTGTAAAACGGTCCCTGAACCAACATCCCAAAGAATGGCAACATTATCAACATCCATACTAACAAAATGATGAGAATCAAGACTCCAGGACATACAAATGACGGGACATCTATGGAAATTAAATACATTTTGTAGTTGACCTTCTTGATTCCATAATCTGATTTCACCATTTTCTACACCAGTTACTACCATTTGACCATCGGGTGACCATGTTAAACAAGTAACTTTATTGGTACTCTTCCCCGAAGTTGAACTTAACGCAAACGGATGTCTTAATTCTTGCGTAATTTTCACTGTATCATGTGTCTCATTAAACGTAATCAATTGAGCCACCGAATCTTCTTGTCCCAAACATAATAACAATGGATTAGTCGGATGCCATTCACAAGTAACAATAGGAGTATTAAATTCATATAATTGACTTATTTCATCTATTGAACTTGAACCATTCATACCTCCCACATTAATAGAAGGTAAATTATAACCCGATATACTAACTGGAGCAACAATTGTTTCATTCACAGTTGTTGTAACAGTAGGAGTACCATTTGACGGCACTGAGTTTGTATCTCCATTTGTATTTTGTTTGACGTAAATTGTCTCATTTAACGACTGTTGAACTTCTTCGTCAGTGATTTTTTCTTCTGACTCATTCTCTAAAGAAAATCTACCAGTAGATTTAATCGCTGGAGTTTCTTGTGCGTTAATCTTTAATGCATTAGCTAAATTGAATTTTTCATTAAAATATTCTTGACGTTCTTTAAAACTTGATTTCTCCAATTCCTCAACATTTGATGTCAACAGTTGGCTCTCAGTATACAGAATACCCTTCTGAACCAAGTCAACAAGTTGCCCAATTGGGATATGTTCTTTATAACGTTGGTCAAATTCCAGAACTCGGGTTTCTTCTTGCATTGCAAGGGCAGAAAGTTCTTGACCCATCTCTTGCATGTATCTCCATATCATATAATTCAGTTCTTCACTCGATACACTCATGATGCTGAAATGGATTGTTCTCTTTTCGTTGTTTACTTCTCTTCTGTTTCTTTGTTTCTTGTATGACTTTGTTTGTTGATTTATTTAATTGAATGTCTTCAAAAATCTAAATTTTCTTTTTAAGCGAGAGTAACTTATTCAAGAAATTAAAATTTTGGATACATAACCATTTGATTGATTCTCTCCTTAACAAAAAAGGGGAAAAGAAAAACAACTGAGTAGAACAGGCAACCAATAGTACTGATTTGAAGTTGATAGAATACCGCTAACTTCAGTGTGTCGATTGAATAGCTAATTGGTTCAGAAAAAAATGGTGGAAATTTCATTGAGAAAAGCCAGAAACAATTGGAAAAATGTGACAGGTGGGTCACCTACGAAGAATAAAAGCAAAACCACTGAATCTCAGGAATTGACCTCCGTACGTTATGAAAATACAACAGAAGATGTCTCAAAGAAGAACAAGAAGGATAAGAAGGGTAAGAAGAACAAAGCTGGCACAAGTCCTTATAGCAACATGGACACCTCGTATACTGAATTACCAACTATTAATGCTAGAGAAAAGAATAAAGCTGCTTCATCAATGCAGCGTAGATTATCTGTGCATACACAGAATTATATCCCACCAACTTTAGACTATTCAATGCCATTACCGATGTCCGCCTTGAATGGCTTAAAGGATGGTAATATGTCTGTTACAACTTTAGGCTCCGCGACGGATCTTAACGGTAGGCCAATGTACAGCACGGGTAATAATAACTCTACCATGAGTCATGATTTAGCTAAACAGGCAGCTTCAACTCAGACAACAGCTATATCTCAAGCATCTCGTGGAGAACCGATTACAGACTTATTACAAGTATCTGTATTGAAAAATATATTAAGTGATCCACAATTTAATACCAAACAATTTGTTCATGAACGTCTCGGTAATGCTTCTGCGGTAGATATCGATGCATTTACAACAACACTTACTATGCTTTCTGATAGAGTTCAAATAGATGTAAAACAAAATCTGAACAAATCATATAATGAAATTCTTCAGGTAAATGATGGGTTGTATGTTGCATCCAACGAATTAAAGACTCTGAGGAAAAATTTCAAACAATTGGCAGATGTGGTAGAAGAATTTGATGCTAGTGCTAGAAAGAGACTTACACTCGAACAAGAAGCAGAATCACAACGTAAAAACCAGTCCTTGTTACCTCCAGTATCTGGCGTTCAAAAACAGAAAAGGGATAGAAGCAGTGTGTTGGTTTTAGATAAGATATGGAAGGATGAATTAGTAAAGCTGGTTGATACTGTTGAAGGATCTAAAAATGTTATATTTGAAGGTGGGGAACGTAATGTAGAAAGACATATTATTTTGAAAAGTAATGATTGGGTCGAACTTAATGTTACCACAATGAGATTTTTACAGATTGTGACACTTTATATTTTAAATGATTTGATAATAGTTGCCTCGAGGAATAAAAACAATGATCTAATGCTGAACCAGTGCCTAGATTTAAAAACAATTAATGTGATGAAGGAACCTGACAGCAACCGTATATTATTGAAACCAGATTCAAGAATTAATGAAACAAATATTGTAAATGGTATTAACATGAGAAATGGAACGACTAATAGAAATATCGGTAGTAATGGGTTGTTATACGAGACAAGAGATGAAAAAGAGTGTCTTGCAGTACTTGATGCTATTAGGAAAGCCAAGGATGCATTATGTGACATATTCCAAACTGAAGTGGAAAACGAGAGAAAAATCAAAGAATCATTTAGATACCTACAATCAACACAACAGACACCAAGTGGCGATAAATACAACACAAGGAGTCCTGTAAAAGGCAACAGACGTAGTGTAGGTGTATCGATGACGCCTAAACGTAACAGTAGACATACTTCGATGACACCAGGGCCAAATATATCTTCAACTACAGATAATGGGGTTGCGACTGGGATTGCTTCCTCAACTTCAGGCGTCTCTACCATAGTAAATTCCTTCATGGATCAGAATCTATTACAGAGTCTAACATTGTCTATGCATTCTAACTCATTAGGAAACGATTCAAGTTCGATCCCAGGCCAATTGAAATCATTAGACGATAGTATCGAGGAAGTAGATGTACAAATTGCTCGTCTGAAGTTTTCTGAAGCAGTTGATTCTTTATCGGCTATTGAAGATAAGATTAATCAATTATATGCAAATGTCAATGGCAACCCACACAGTCGTGAAGATAGCACATCCGACACATACAAAGGAGACATCTCAATGCTATACAATTTGTTAATTCTTAAAATCAATCAACGGAGAGATACTATTGGAAATAAGATCACACAGTCCGTTTTATTTGATAGCGAAATTTCTCATCTACTTGGTAATGTGATAATTCTTTCCAAATTAGGCATGAAAGAACAAAGTTTGGATTTGTTTTTACAAAATAGAAGCACAGTTATCCAAAAGCTGACGTTACAAATCGGCTCTTTTGATAACCCTGTTAATTATCTAACTCAACTTGCGGTGGTACGATTCCAAACGATCAAGCAAACTATATTGAATTTTGAAAAAGTATTTCCTGAATTTTCAAACAAGAATGCCCTTGACAACAAATTTTCATCCATTCTAGTAAATTGGTGCAGCAGTGAGGTAGATAAACATTTCCAACTGATAGATAAACAATTATTGAATGATGAAATGCTCTCGCCTGCATCGATAAAATCTACTAGAAAACAAATAGACGACCTGAAGAGCGTAGGTTTAGATTTTGTATACAAACTTGATGATTTTATCCGAAAAAACAGTCATAAGATCCGCTGATTTATTTATCCTCTATCTACATAAATACATACATATAACAAGCATTTCTCTATGGTTTCTCAATTTTTATGTTTTCAAGATTATAATTTTTTTCAATATACTGTCCTGCGTTAGCATTATTACTAAGAATATAGTTCCTGACTAAATTTCAAGTTATATCATAATATTGTGTAGTTATTGTTTCTATGTTTCAAAAATCTATTTTATGACCCAGTATACACTCTTTTTTGAACCTTTCTCACCTTCACAAAGGTCTAATTTATTCACCAATATCTGTTACCTAATAATTCTTCTTGAATGTTCCAGAAGGTTCTTTCTCGCTGAGCGAGGGAAAATTGAAAAATATTTCCACTGATTATATAATAAGAACTCCTATGAAAGGAAGATCAATGAGAATAACGAGATGTGTTAATTGAATTTCCTTGTTATGAACAATATTTGCACAGCGATTTGAGTGTTCGATACGATATTTAACTCATTTGAACCAAATTAAAAAAGAATAAAATTATAAAATGGAAAAACTTCTACATTGGTCTATTGCCAATTCACAAGGTGACAAGGATGCCATCGAAAAGGCTGGGAAGCCGGACCCTAAGCTATTGGAACAATTATTTGGAGGTGGTGGTCAAGATGACCCTACTCTGATGGTCGAAAATATGAAACTAGTAACTAACCCAGAGGTGGATTTGGAAAATAAGTTGATTGCGATGGATAACTTTGAAATGTTAATTGAAAATTTGGACAATGCAAACAATATTGAAAACCTGAAGCTTTGGGAAAGTATAATCAAAGTTTTATCATACGAAGAAGCAGAGTTACGTTCTATTGCACTATCTATTGTTGGTACTGCTGTACAGAATAACAGTCAATCTCAGGACAACTTTCTGGGCCATGAAGGTGGTCTTGCAAAAATTATTACTTTAGCTCAAGACAGGAATGAACCATTAAACGTGAGAACTAAAGCATTTTATGCATTATCTAACCTAGTGAGGAACCATCCACATATGACCAAGGCTTTTATTGAATTAAATGGTCTTGATATAATATCTCCAGTACTGAAAGATGAGGCGGCTAAACCAAAGCTAAAGATGAGAAGTTTCGCTTTATTAACAGCAGTTTTATCTTCCACAAATATAGATGAGACTATAGTAAAGGTACTAAGGAAAGATGATATAATACAATCATCGATTGGTAATATAAACAAAGATAATGACATAAATATTATCGATAGAGTATTGGCATTTTTATCTCAACTAATAACTGCGAGAGTAACATTCACCCCAGAGGAACTGGAAAATTTAAGCACCGCCTACGGTGATATCGAATCTTTAAAGGACAGATTGAACGAGGATGATTACCAAACAGTCAAGTATGTATTAAATTAATAATTTTAAATTCTTTTCTTCCTTATTGCCTCTGTTTAGTATTTCTTTATTTTATTAACAAAAATGATTTTACATAGCACATTTTGTAAGTTACAATTCATAAAACGAATGAGAAAATAAATAACCATAAGTATATATTTATAAAGAATATCAGTCCAGCTGAATTTAAATAACCTTATTTGTTTACATACCATCTTTAAAGCAACGTTTCTGAAGGATCGTTAGACGTAAAAAGCTTGAATAGTCTAGTTTCCATAGCAGGTGTCATCAGATAATTACCGTTCGCATCGGATCTTAATTGACCATTTTCGAAATCGCTCAACAACTGACAAAACTTGGGATATGTTCTCACAATACTACCTGCTTTTAGATCAGGAATTTTCCCAATATCATGCATAACTTTGCGTAACATATCAGATTGATCAATCCCCGATTTTACATTAATATAAGCGTACTTCAAAAACCGTAAGGTGGGATCCATCCTCTTTTTCGCAATCAAGGTTGTTATATTAGGAAGAGAATGAATGAATTCCATGGTAGAGTTAACAGTAACGATTTGGACCCCCCACTTTCGATCAATAAATCGTATCTTTTGTTCTAAAGTAAATGTACTCAATCCTAGTTTTTCCGCCATGGCAAGGTTTGAAGAAGATTTAGGTCTGGTTTTGGGAACTTCTGCTTCACCAACCAATTGTTCATTGACCTTCTCCTTGTACTGTTTATCTTCAACTGCTTCTAGTTGACGTTTAAATTTATTTATATCATTAAGAACAACAATAATCTGTTTACCCTGTTTTGTGTAAAAATGTATACCCTTGTATAGTTCAATCTTTTTATTAACATATTGATCAAAAAAGTCTTTAGAATCATAAAAAAGTAATGCTACATTCTCTTCCAAAAGTTGGTTTTCGCTAGGGTAATAATAATCGTGTTTAAAATCATATATGCTGTCACAGTGCCTAAAAAATCTAATAATTGGTAAATGATCTACATAGCCTCTACGCATTTTACCAGGTTCAAGTAATTCTTCAACACTAATCTTAGTATCCTTAAATGTATCAATTAATGACTTAGGCATATCGACAATAATACATTCTCGTGCCTTTTGATTATCTCGATAAATCTGATTAACCTGCCTAAATTTATTTTTATCATTCTGTAATGATTGTTTTATCAAATGTGTTGATTCTTCATCTGAAAAGTCTCGACCATTGATAATATACTTCGAAAGCATATCCACAAAGCTTGTCCCATTAGCCAGGGTACCAGATTGTGCGCCTGGTTTATCGCTCAATCCCATTGTTTGAGATCTTTGAATAATTGGAGCAACCTTTTCTTTACTTCTTTCACGTTTCTCGATAACTGAAGATGTTCTCTTTTTAGAAATATTTATCGGTGTCACATCAAAGTTCTCATCGTCTAGAAACAAACTAATATCAAGATCAACTGTAGGAAGTTCGTTTTCTGTATTCTTCGTCAATAACCTTATGTTAGATTTCTTTCTTTTTCGCATTATTTCAGAATTCTGAGAAGTTGTTGATTTCTTTTTAGTATTTTGTGAGCTAGTAACAATATTATCATCATCAGAAAAGATACATATCTGTGCAAAATTTTTCTTACGTGTTACATCACTGTTTGTCGACACCTGGGAGGATGCCAGGAAATCCTTGAGTAAGTCCTGTGATGGTTGGATCATTTTAGAACTGTCTTCAAAGGGTTTTGGGACAGATGATTCCGTTTCATCTATCACGATGATATCATCTGTCGAATTGACAGCAATTTCAGCTGTTGTTTGGGCTATTACCTCTTTCTTATCTTTTTGAAAGAGTCTCCGTCTTCTGTTATGTTCAGTCTTTTTGAAGATCGAGCCATTCAATTGATTAAAGTCAACATCTATGGAGTCCTCACTACTAGAGGTGTCGCTACCAAGCTCATCTCTGATATCATCCAATAAACTACGGGTTCTTTTGAAACTTTTACCATTTGCTTGACTAGGCTTTACGTGTGACATGTTATCGGAGTTTGTAGATTTCACGTTGCTATTAGTACTATCATTCACGAAGGGAAGATCAAACTCAATAGAATTATTGACTGCGGTATTAGTCTTCACGACTGGTTCATTCGGAACATCTAGTTGAGGGGAAGATAAAAGGGAAATCCCATCCAATATTTCGATTTCTTCAGAAGCCTCATTTGTACGGATTTGTTTCGTCTTGTTGTTCTTTACAATCACAGGAGGGTCATTACGGTTCAAGCATGCAGATAAACCTTCAGAAGTTAATGAGCTATCTGCTGTGATTTCAATAATACCATCCATCAGATATATTTCTCCGTCCTCTTTATATTGTTGTTGATGCCCTATTCTAATATTTGGATCATCCACTTTTATTTGTTATTACTTATCAATTGTCGCGTAGCTGAAGAGCGGACACACCTGAGCAGTCTCACGACAAGACCATCATTTAGTCAAACTGCAACCTGTAATAAGTCAATACCTATATAACTCCAGATATATTACTTCTGAATATATTAAAATTAATACCTTGTTTTAAATTTCATGTAATATATCTTCTATAGGAATACCTACCACTATTCTCACATAATTATTATTTGGCAAAGTTACATCTACATATCAAAGTACTCGCATATATATATAGATTTATAGGAATCTACAGAATGTTATTGAAGAAGTGTGATACGTTCTTGGAACGGTTTGACAAGATATAAGTATATAAAGTTATAACTCGTATAAAGTGATATGTTATTACTATCCGGAAAAGTAGAATTGCTCAGTGATATTTGCAAGTTAAAAGGTCCCTTGGCCCAGTTGGTTAAGGCGTGGTGCTAATAACGCCAAGATCAGCGGTTCGATCCCGCTAGGGACCATATTTTTTAAAAATTTGTTTAAGTAGTCGTACCAAATGATCATTCTTTGAAACTAATTACACTTTAGCAATATTGCAAAGTGAATCAATTTAAAGTATTTATTTTTTTTTACATTTTGTTCATTCTCATCAATAATGGAAGAATATTGGTCGAGCTATATAATTATGATATCCTTTCCTAGGTGTTCATAAAAATGTGTTTAACAATTTTGTGTATTTAATGTTTTGGCTGAAAAACCTGATCGTTTTAATATTTGCAACGTGTATTTCTTAACCTAAATGTAGTATTTTGACATATTGATATAGCTATACGAATTTACATACACACTTATACCTTTAATAAATATTATTACTTTAGATGCACCATAATTATAATAGTCCATTTCTATCGAACAAGAAAGTAAAATTGTCTTAGTGTCAAACTTTTCAATTCTTAGACTTCTTTTTAAAGAAACCAAATTTCTTCTTCTTTTTTTTATCGTCGTGACTTGACGAAGATTGATCAGCTACTGATGAAACATCTGGTGAAGCTGGTATGATTGGCGATTGTGACTGACCTTGCATAGAACCACCGCTTATGTTCATTTTCGAAGGGCCAGATGTGCCCTGTGAGAGTGTGACTGGTGCGTATGTTTGTTTTAGGCCTGTCACGTTATTTGTACTTGCCGATTGTACATTATGTATAACAGTATTTGACGTTGTATTTGGATCTCCGTTATTAGAAACAGACATCGCGCTAGTTTGTCTTTGTTGTAAAGATGCCATACTGGTGCTATTCATGCCAGGGGCAACGTTATTGTTACGAGAATTATTAGTATATGGACCTACATTTTGTGCAGGTCTATTTCTTGCTTGACCAGCCAGTAAATTCTGGCTTGTCATGGAACCAATTCTTGATTGATTTAAATTGGGTTGACTAGCACTCCCATTTTGTGGTCTGTTATAAGTACCAAAGGATCCCGCAGTCCCTGGTGCACTCGAAGCACTACCTAGTAATGGCATATTACTATTTCTATTTTTCCTACTTGTTGGTTTAAAACCATGTGCTTGATACTGTTGATTTGGATTCATTTGGCCTTGATAATTATTATAGTTACTATTATTGTAACCCATCGTTGATGATATTGGATCCATGAATTCACCAGCAGATACAGTAGCAGAAGGTGCAGTAGCACCATGAAGCATTCTACTTGAGCGACCATATCCATTTTGCATAGCTTGTGGCTGTTGTTGCTGCTGTTGTTGTTGTTGCATATTAACATAAGATGATTTTCTACTGGCACCATTAAATTGTTGAGGTTGTGATTGCTGTTGGTTAGAGAATCCTCTCATTTGAATCTGCATTGCTTTTCTTTGCATATCCAATTCACGTTCTTGTAACTCTAATTCTTTCTTACGTAATTCAAGTTCTCTTTCTTTCAAAGAGGTATCGCTTCCACTGGTTGATTTTGTTTCACTATGGTTGCTTACTGGAATATCTAACCTGTTACCATTTGAATTATCAGCATCATTTTGTTGAAAATTTCTATTATTGGGTTGCGGAGTTGGGGATTTATTCATTTGTGCTGGGGAATCGGCATAATTGACGCCATATCCAGCAAAATCTTGTAAATCATGCATGATTGGAGTTCCTGATAAGTTATATTCTTGTACTTGTTTAACACCATTCAAATCATTATTAGTCAATGGTTGCTCATCATTAGATTCATTCAGAGAACTTTTTTGTAATTCCATTTGTAAAATTTTAATCTCGTTTGCATGTTTAGAGATTAATCCTGCATTTTCTTTTTCAAATGATTGTAATTTACCCTTTAATAAATCAAGTTGATGTTTTAAATTAGTCTCTGAAGTCTTCAAAATTTGAAGTTGTGATTGGTCTTTATTAATTGTATTATTCAATTCTTGAATCTTTGTTAAATTCATTTCATTTTGAGAAGTTAAATTTTCAACTTCTGTATTTGATTGATTAATATTTTCTGATCTAATAAACCATTTTGATTTATTATCATTTAATTTTTGAATTTGAATCATTGTAGAATATAAAAATTCTAAATATGGAGTCTTTAAATTAAAATCATCAGCTAATAAGATAACTTGTAAAAGAATAATATCGAAATTCAATGGGGCAGTCTTATGAATAAAATGATATAATAAAGAAGGCATTGAATTATGTATGGAATAAGTTTCCCCCCAATTATTTAATAAATCTTTTTCATTATCCCAAGTTAATTTTAATTTCATTGATTTAGTAATTCTTAATACTTCACTAACTAAACCTGATATTAAAGGTTTAGCAAGGATTTGATCCTTTAAATGCTGTGGATCAGTTTCTTCTAATAGAATCAACAAAGGATCGAAACATATAATTGGTAAAGCAATATTCCATTGAGTGGTTAAAAATCTTGAAGGATTTTCATTACAAAGGTTAATAGTATCACGAGGAAACAATTTTTGAAATAATCTTTCGAAAGTTTTCAATAAGTTGACTACTACAGGTGCATAATCTGAAGTCTTCACAGAGGAATCACCTAAATATATGGTATTCGTTGATGAACTTAAATTATTAGTTCTAAATTGTTTAAATGTATTTCTGGAAGTTTCTCTAATATCAAAATCTGTTAAAATACTGAAAATGTTTAAATGTGGAACATTCATTGACATTTTCACAAATGATTCTAATTGTACAAAACCTGTACTTTCTATGAAAACTTTAGTGCTGCTATTCATATATTCAGTTAAATCATTAGATAATGCAGATAATTCTTGTAAAGAAGAAGCGCCAAGCATAATAACATCATATATCAATTGCTCAGAACCATTTAATTTTTCAGTCAATAGGTTAACAGACCTATAATGGTTTTTTAATACAAGTCTTTCTGTACCATAAGCATGAGTCTCAATTTCAAACACATTTGAATCAGTATTACTTATATGGTATAGATCCACACTATTAGCTAATTGGAAACGTGATGTATATAGTAGTATATTAGGGTTATCACCTAACGTTAAGACTTTAAGTGAAGACATTATTATTATTATTATTATTATTCTATTTTTTTTTTTCTTCTTTTCTTTCTCGAGTTTCTTTAGAAAACGTAACCTGTAAATATTTAAAAATAAATCTGGTTTCCTTTTTATTAAAACAAACAGACAAACGAAAGTGGTATCAGGTTTAGTCTCTAATTTATGGCACTAAAAGTTATTAAAATATCAGACCTACTAACTGAATATATATATATATATATATTTCAAAAACCAAATAAACAAAGGACCAAATGAAATAATTCTATCGAGCCGGGGAGGATCAAGCGAGTGAAAAGGGAATATCAATTAAACTATTTCAACGTCTCTGTGTTTATATCAAATTATTAAAAAACACACACACAGACAAACAACAATAATAACTATCAAATACACATCCACTAACGTATAACTACTCTTTATATGTATTACGCTTTCCCATTCACAATTCTTAATGAACGATGAAAAATAAACCTCTAACGTAGCCTCTTTTTATTTTTCACTGGTCCTCCCTCCAGTCGGCTAGAGTCGAATCGAGCCGAACCGAACCTCTTCTTCTTGTTCTAAATATAAAGAAAAAATCTTCAAGACGCGCGACGAGCGAAAGCGAAGCGAAGCGGCGGCGGCGAAAATTTTTCTTTGTTTGCAGCGGGAACCGAGGGTGTTACCCTACCATGTTGATAATCTCTTATTTTTTGGGGAATTGTGTTTTAAAATATATTTAGATATATAAAGGGAGAGAGGTGGTGGCGTATTTTAGCCGCCGATGTGGTAAACCAAGAGTATTTTCTTGTTCACTAAAAGGAGGAAGTCTGTGAATTACTATTGATATATATATATAGGCGTAAACGTTTGTGTGATTTGACGTGAATACTTAGATTAGGTTTGTCTTTGGTAGTACTCGGAGAACCAAGTGTGATGAAGAGCCTGTTTGGCGCCAAGACGCATGTCTGGATTCAATTGTAACAAACCATGCAAAAGATTGATAACCACATCATCTAACTTCTCTTTGCAGTTTGCTTGTAATAACGCTTTTAGATCCTTTGGTTGTAATTGTTGAGGATGTTGTTGTTGGAAACTAGCACTACTAGTTGCATATTTTGGTAATTGACTAACACCTGGCCATGTGGCCTCTGTTGGCATACCCATCATTTCAAAGATTAATTTCAATTGTTCTTCATCATTTGTCCCCGGAAACAATGGTTTACCAGTTATCATTTCTGCAAGGATACAACCACATGACCAAATATCAATCGATGTAGTATAAGTTCTAGAGCCCATTAAAACATCAGGTGCACGGTACCACAATGTTACTACTTCACTTGAAAATGTATTTACTGGTATTCCAAATGCTCTAGCTAAACCAAAATCTCCAAGTTTCAATTGTCCTCTTTTATTAATTAATAAATTTTGTGGTTTTAAATCACGATGTAAAATTTTATTTTCATGACAAAATGCTAAACCTTCTAATAATTGCCATTGGAAATATTTAACTAAATGTAATTCCAAACCTTGTGGATTATTTCCTACAGTTAAAGAATCCATATATTTCTTTAAATCATTATCCATATATTCAAATACTAAAGTTAATTTATTCTCCGTATGAATTACATCATATAAACGTACAATATTTTCATGTTTTAATTCTTTCATTAATGATATTTCACGAATTGCAGTAGAAGGTGTACCTTCTTCAGAATCTAATTTTACTTCCTTTAATGCAACATAAACACCCGTTGTTTTATTTAATCCCTTATACACTGTTGCATATGTACCATTCCCTAACTTTTCTAGTTGTTTAAACTGTGACGACATAGTATTATTATGATGTTAAATAACACAGATTAAAATATACACGTTTTACTTGCTTATCCTTTGATATATTGGTATGTTTCCCCTTTCTTTTTTAAGCAAAGCTTTAAATATACTTTTTTTTTTTTTAGTTCATTAGTTAACACTTTTTTACAAAATCTTATTAACAAGTGGCACACGCATGATTAAATTTATTTTAATTTAATTTCAATTCCTAAAATGTAATCCGTTTCTCTTTCTTTGAACCATTACAGGTAAACAGCGAACAAAAAAAGAAAAAAAGAAAAATATTTTTTTTTGCATTGTTTTTTTTTGCTTTTGATTCTTTCTTTGGCTTGTTCATAGTAAGCTACTTCCAGTCATAATGGGATGGGACAACAATTTCGTTATATTTCAAAAACTTTTAAACACACGAAAAGAGTGAGACGCATAGATCTAGTTTTGCCTCAAATAGAGTTAATATATGAAATTCATATAGGAAAAATAACGAATCTTCAATTAATTTATCTTCCTTACTGAATTTGATATAGTTTATTTTAGAATCTTACTAAACAAACAAGCTGTCAAAATATTTGTATTCATTTACATCTAAATCATTTTTGACTAAAACAATCGCTTGGATAATACAATAACAACATAAAAGAGTAGAAATGGGTAAACCGAACGGGTCTGTACACAAAGATGGATTCCAATTTATGGTAGACCAACAGAGTCTCATGGGTTTTCCATGGATTAGCATGTATGGAACAGATCCAAATGTTCCTACAACTTTCAGTCGAGAAAATTTTGAGGCTGCTATGCTTCATGTTATTCGTGAACCAAACATTAATTCTACAGCAATCCTAAGAGCAGATATCTTATATGAAGATCATTATGAACTTGAAGATGGGAAACCTGCTTTAAAGGAATCTCATAGAGAAAAATTCGATTTATCCGATACTGATGCAAAAAGAATAAATGTGGATGAAGATACGCCAAGGGAAACTTTCTTACCACAAGATTTAAATCTTTTTGCCAAATATTCCATCGTTAGACGTATACTACCAAGAAACCCATATAAAGATGCAGTGATTAATCAAACTTGTCTTGTAATGAATTCCACTGATCCAGAATTCAAAGAGACATCTGCAATCATATATCATCCGCATTTAGATAGTAGTGATATATGCCCCTTTTATATCCCACATGTCAAACAAGTGGCAATCCTATTTCATAAACAAAGAATCACAGTCCATTACATTCCCTTTGAAGAGGTCAAGAATAATGAAGTACCAGAACTACTAAAGGATGAATCACAAAGAGTCGTTAGAACTGCATATAGATTATTACAAACAGCATATAAACATTCGCGAGGTGTTATGACAGGTTATGAGAAGAAAGTTAATCACGATGTTGTCGTTGATAAAGTCAAATTCCAGGATCAATACATTAATTTAAAGAAGAAATATTCTAAATTTTTAGTTGAGAACTGGGCAGAGTCTACTGATCCTAAAAAACATGTCTTCGAAGATATCTCCATTGCTGCATTCCTAATTGAACTTTGGATTAAAATCTATGGTCCTGATTTTAAGAATAAAATGCAATTTAGAGATCTTGGTTGTGGGAATGGTGTCCTTGTTTATATATTGGTTAGCGAAGGGATTAAAGGTTATGGTATAGATGCAAGACATCGTAAATCATGGAGTATATTCCCCCAAGATACCAAAAATTGTCTTAAGGAACAAGTCATTATTCCATCAATTTTACTACGTCCACACCCTGATATTAAAAAACAATACCCACATCTAGAACATAACGGTAGATTGTTCCCAATGAAAGTGGCACATGAATATATTGCACCAGCTACTATTGTCTATTCTAGTGAAGATTTATTAAAGTCTCCACAAGTGAATATTGCAGAGTTCCCAAGCGATACTTTCATAATCGGTAATCATTCAGATGAACTAACATGTTGGATTCCATTGTTGGGCTATCCATTTATGGTCATTCCATGTTGCTCACATAACTTATCAGGTAATAGAACACGTTTCAATGTCCGTAAAGGTGTAAATAATGGCATCAATGGTAACAGTTCATACGCCGGTCTTGTAGATCATGTCGAAGATATCTCTACAAAATTAGGTTGGAAGATCGAGAAAGAGATGTTAAGAATTCCAAGTACTAGAAACGCTGCTGTTATTAGTTATGAAAACCAAGATATGGGGAAATTCCCAACAGCATCTGCATATGATGTCCTCTTAGCGGAAGGTGGTGCCGATAATTGGATCCAAAACACGATGACCCTAATGAAGGGCCATCCAAGATCTCATTAGAAAACAGTCATGTAAAACTATCCATTTTATATAAATACCATATATCATTGGTTATATAATATTATAGAATCATAAACAAATTTCTTCTTTGTATTAAAATATTTGTGTTTGTTGTCGAACATTTTCAGTTCTTACATCAAAATTTCGGTTCCTCATATTGAAAATAAATAAATAGATTATGACATATTGTCAATATAGCCATACAAAAATGGGATACTTACAAACAAAAAAAATACCCTATCACATAAATAAGAATACACCTTTTATACAGATATACCTGGAAGAATATATATAGGTGAGAAGAATAACGACTTCCTAGAGAAAAATAGAGTTATGCAACGAAATTTCTTTGGATCTCATTTTCTTCCCAAAAGTAAAGTTTATATTCATTATTGCACACGATCATACAGAGGTTGTTCACAAAATGTCATCAATAATGTATTCAATAATGATACGTGGGTTCTTCAGAAACCGCTATTAAAACATTTACCAATTCAAGAGCAGGATATAACGTATTACAATGGAATGAGTACTAAACCATTTGAATTTCAGTTAAATAAAGACAACAAATCCATCTACACAAAGGATCCAAAATTTAAAAATCAATTTGATAGTGCATTACAACAATTATATCACAGTAAAATTAGAAACAGAACGTTGGAACATGCGTCCAGATCACCATTTTTAGAGTCATCGTGGTTGAAGCTTCGAGATTATATATATCAGCAGCTTGAAGATCCACAGTTACAAACGCAAATCCAATCATATAAACCAACAATTTTCCAAAGTGTACAACCAACATGCCCTTCTCATTTAATTGCTCAGTTATATAATTGTAATAAAATACCGTTATCCTCATGGCGTGCTATTATGCGTTTATCAGAAGAGACTCCCTTGACACAATCACAGATATACAATTATATCCTTTCCAAGACCATTACATATATTAATGAAAAAGAAACAATACCACAACGATTAAAGACTATAGATACAGATGATACAGACAGTGTTGATGTTGGAAATCCATCTGAGTGGTATCCTGAAACGAGAAAAATTAAACGTCATATAATTTTACACTTGGGTCCTACAAACTCTGGTAAAACCCATAGAGCACTTAAAAAACTGAGAGAAGCTGATAGAGGTTACTATGCAGGACCATTAAGGTTGCTTGCAAGAGAAGTATATGACCGATTTAAACAAGAAGGGATGTCATGTAATCTTCTAACGGGGGAGGAAGTGATTAACGAATTAGACCCTTTAGGAAATAAAGTTGGCCTCACGGCTGGAACGGTAGAAATGTTACCTACAACATCTGAGTTTGATGTTGTTGTATTAGATGAAATTCAAATGATGTCAGATGAGGATAGAGGCTGGGCATGGACAAATGTCCTCCTAGGTGCAAAAGCAAAAGAGTTACATATCTGTGGTGAAAAGAGTGCGTTACCTTTGATTAAGAAATTAATAAAGATTACAGGTGACAAGCTTACTGTGAACGAATACGAAAGATTAGGAAAACTAGAGGTTGAAGACAAGCCCATAGGTAATAGCTTAAAGGGGTTAAGAAAAGGTGATTGTATAATAGCATTCTCGAAAAAAAAAATCTTAGATATGAAACTGAAAATAGAGAAAATGACAAATTTGAAAGTTGCTGTAATATATGGTTCTTTGCCACCGGAGACTCGTGTTCAACAAGCATCTTTATTTAATTCGGGTGAATACGATGTGCTAGTTGCTTCCGATGCAATTGGTATGGGTTTAAATTTAGCTATAGATCGTGTGATATTTAATACTGACATGAAATTTAATGGTAAAGAGATGGTTACGTTGACAGACTCTCAAATCAAACAGATCGGTGGACGTGCGGGCCGTTTCAAATCAACAAATACATCCATAACATCTTCAGGTGGTGAAGTAAGACCAACTGGTTATATTACAGCTGTCGATCCTAATGTCCTAGGCACGATCAGACGTGGTATGGAGGCACCAGTCAAATATTTGGAATCTGCAGTAGTTTGGCCAACTTTTGAGATTTGTTCACAATTGTTGGTCAGATTCCCACCTGGAACTAGTTTCAGTTTCTTATTGACTCGATTTTCTCAACAAATGAAAGTTCATGAGGATAAAACATACAAATTACCAGATTTTGAAGATCGATTAAAAAATCTGGCATTATTTGAACATATTGAAGATATTCCATTCGCTGATCAATTAAGATTAAGTTGTGCTCCAATTAAAGATATGCCATTAGTCAAAGATGCCTTCAGGAAATTTTGTAGGACTATCGCTAACCGTCATAGTAGAGGTCTCCTATCTTATAATTTCCCATTCGAATTACTAAATTACCAATGTATAGACAATGAAAAATATACGTTAGAACAATACGAAGCATTATACAATATCATAATGTTATTTTTCTGGTTAGGTAATAGGTACCCAAATTATTTCATAGATACTGAATCAGCTAAGGATCTCAAGTATTTCTGCGAGTTGATCATCTTCGAGAAACTGGATCGTCTGAAGAAGAATCCCTACATGCAACGCGGAACTAGCGGTGGTATTCGTTCACTCTACATCAAACATCGTAGAAAGTAAACCACCAGCAAAAGAAAAACATCAACGATGAATTCAACGTTGTCGTCATATAAATTAATGCACTTCATAGATACATGTATATAATAAAATCAATTCAATTCAATTCAACCGATGCGATCATCGCTGCCAACCTCTGTTCCTATCTCGTTTAAAGCTAACCTCGTTTGGTGATCTGCCCAAAGTAAAAAAGCTCGACATTCGAAGTTTATTCGGCTTTGTCGCTCCAAAGACTTCGCGAAACTTTCACTCGACTGAACGAACTGAACTGTGAACTTAGCAACCTATGGATATATAAAAAGAGGGCAAAATGGGGAAATAAGGAAGAGGACTATCTGTGTATGGATAATTAATAAAATAGAGAGAGTTTCCTTTCACTATATAAAATAATTAACATTGTACTGTGTGAAACACTAGAAAACCTTAACCCAATCAAGATTTTTTTATCTCTTTATAATGTCTAATAACGTCTATATTGTTGCAGCCACTAGAACCCCAATTGGTGCCTTCCAAGGGTCTCTTTCTTCTAAGACCGCCGTTGAACTAGGTTCTATTGCAGTTAAAGGTGCTCTTGAAAGAGTTCCTCAATTGAACCCAGCTTCTGATTTCGATGAAATTATATATGGTAATGTTCTTTCTGCTAATTTGGGTCAAAATCCAGCTAGACAAGTTGCCATCGGTGCCGGTGTTAGTAATACAATTGTTGCATCTACCGTTAACAAAGTATGTGCTTCTGCTATGAAGGCTGTGATCTTAGGTTCTCAATCTATTAAATGTGGTAATGCAGATGTTGTTATTGCAGGTGGTTGTGAGTCTATGACTAACACACCTTACTATTTACCAAGTGCAAGAGCCGGTGCCAAATTTGGTGATGCTAAATTAGTAGATGGTGTTCAAAGAGATGGTCTAAATGATGCATATGATGGCTTAGCAATGGGTGTTCATGCTGAAAAATGTGCAAAGGATTGGGATATTACTCGTGAACAACAAGATGACTTTGCTATTGCATCTTATCAAAAGGCTCAACAATCAACTAATGATGGTAAGTTTACTCATGAAATTACTCCTGTAACTATTAAGGGATTCCGTGGTAAAGCTGATACCATTGTTGAAAAGGATGATGAACCATCTCGTTTAAATATTGACAAATTAAGATCAGCTAGAACTGTATTCCAAAAGGAAAATGGTACTGTTACAGCCCCAAATGCTTCTCCAATTAATGATGGTGCTGCTGCAATTATCTTAGTCTCCGAAAGGAAATTGAAAGAATTGAATCTAACTCCATTAGCAATCGTTAAAGGCTGGGGTGAAGCTGCTCAAAATCCATGTGATTACACGTGGTCCCCATCTTTGGCTGTTCCTAAAGCTTTAAAACATGCTGGTATTGAAGATATAAACTCTATTGATTATTTCGAATTCAATGAAGCATTTTCTGTTGTTGGTCTAGCTAACACCAAGATTTTAAAATTAGATCCATCTAAGGTAAATGTTTATGGTGGTGCTGTTGCTATTGGTCATCCGCTAGGTTGTTCTGGTGCAAGAATTATTGTCACTTTACTATCTATCTTAAACCAAGAAGCAGGTAAACTAGGTGTAGCAGCTATCTGTAATGGTGGTGGTGGTGCTTCATCTGTTGTCATTGAAAAATGCTAATTGTCTTAAAATTATATTTTCTAAAATTTAGTTTTGGAACATGATCTTGACATATGCGTATATGCATATTAATTTGGCTAGCAATTACAGAGGTATATAGAGCACAAAAGATATAAATATATATTTACATATTCCTTCCTATTACTTCAATACTATATTTATGTATGAATAGTTCTTTTCTTTTTTTCTTTCATCGTTCTATTTGCGATGGAGCTTAGCACCTTGTTGCTTTCATTAAAAAGGGGTATGCTTAAGAACAGGGAACAAATGATATGGTAGGGTACATTTTAAATCGATATTTGTTTGTAGTTTATATCAGATGATAAATAAAATATTAAATTAGTATGCTAATTATTTACTTATATATAAAAAAAAATTAAAAAATAAGAATGTAGTTATGTGTTTTTAATGAATATTATGGGAAAGGATGCAATGAATTAAATTATGATTATGGATCCTTTTTAGTTTTTATTATTTTCTTTTTAAAAATAAATGATGCAATAAATGATGGATTTTGTAATAATGGTTGAAGATAAATATCCTATCTAATTTTTTTGAGAGGAAGGAGGTAGGGGAGAAATCTTTCAGGATTCTTCTAATCCTTTTTGGTTTAAACATTTACAAATCCTTGTGGTTGATGTTGATTTTGTGCGATTAAATTAGTAGCACAATCTTTAACGAAAGAAGTATCACCCTCAGAAGTACACGTACTCTGAACAGGTTGTCCAAACATTTCATTTTTTTCATAATCCATATCAAATAAAGTTTGAGAGCTAGAACTACTGAAAACTGTATCTACAGCATCTTGAACCAAGCTATTATTTTCAGTTCTATAATTATCACTAACTATTTCAAACTCAACAGTTTCTACTGAATTTAATGGACCTTCTACAGTAAATGAATCTAATTGTGCAACCTCATACATTAAATTATGAATATCTTTTCTTTCTAAAGGATTAATTTGTAAAATTTGAATTAATAGTTCAAAGAATGATTCAGAAATTGGTAATAAATTTTTTAAAACATTTGGATTATTAATAAAATGTTTAAATGTTTTATCTTGTAATTGATGAGCTTTTAACCATGGATTTCTCATACATGCTAAATTTATTAAAATTATACCCAATGACCAAATATCACCTTTTGTTGTTGGATATTCAAGACATGAATTATTATTATTTTCGATAACATGAAGCCTTTCTGGTGCCATATAATAAGGACTACCAACACTAATATTTTTTTTCAAACTTTTATCAGTTGATGATAAACCAAAATCACAAATGTAAAGATTATTATTATCATCTAATAATAAATTCTCTGGTTTAATATCACAATGCGAAATTCCATTTTCATGACAATATTCTAAAGCTGAACATAATTGTAAGAAGACTCTTTTAATTAAAATACCATCGTTAGCAAAATGTTGTTCATCAACAATACTTGTAAATAAATCTTTATGATAATAATCCATTACAATAAAGGATATATATGAAGAATCTAATGCTTCGTGAATAGTCACGATATTAGAATGTTTATGAACTCTAAGTTGTAATGAAAGTTCTTTAAAATATGGTACTTGTAATAAATCCTCACGTGTCATATGTTGTATAAGATTTAAATCTAATACTGGTAAATTTAATGATGATAAATTATCTTGATATAATAATTGTAATAAATATTTTTGTAAAATTTTTGAACATTTATTTGTTCCATCATTTGAATTAATAATATTTCTAGCTTTTAATATAGCTTTGATTGCAAATTCTTTGCCTGTGTTAATATCTATTGCTAAAAATACTATACCAAAAGCACCCTCACCTAAAATCCTTATAATTTTATAATTATTGAGTATACAATTTTCAAACATTGTAAAAGTAGGACAAATTTTTAATAGTAAATTGATATATTTTCTTGTAAAATACGTATAGTGTCTTTTTTAGTCTTTTCTAATCTAAAATTACAACTTTAAAAAAACATAGACAAAAGTATAAGTTTGGTACCTTCTATAAGTTGATATACATTTATATATATATATATATATATAACTTATCTTTATTTTAATATATTAAATAAAATGAGAAAATAAATTAACAAGCATATTTTCTTTTTTTCCCTCCCAAATGGATATATCGAAAACAATACAAAGGATTAAGATAATAAATTAAGCTGATTATTTTTTTTAAAATCTCAACTGACAGGTGAGTACATACTTGATCAGGTTATTTGAGTTACTTTAATAACCCAAAAAGCAAAAAAAGCAGATAAAAAAAAGCAAAAAATTATATGTAACAAAAACACAATAACCTGTATGCAAAAACAAAAGGAAACAAGCTAGACTTATATCCATCGAAAAAAAAAAGAAAGGAAGCACGATACATAATGCACATCACATTGTAATGTATTTTTTTAGAGATCAGGCACCGATTACAAAAGCAAGTATGTAGTTTTTTAAAAAATAAATTTCTCATCGCATCTCCTCACTCCCCGTAATAATAGGCAGACAATTAATTAAATCAAAGCGGGACTAAATCATTAACTTGTTTAAATCATAGTTCTCTGACCCTGTTTCATTATCAGTATTCCTCTTCTTCTTCTTGTGAGCTCAAGATATCGCGTAAGTTGGTGTATCAACCGACTCCCTTCTCCTCTCGTGTTGACCATTTGCTGTTGTTGTAGTAGACTTTTATTTCTCACCAATCTTAACAACAATAGAGAGTGTTGCATTCCATACCGTTGTTATCAGTGTAACGGGACTACAACATGAGCTATTATTACTGATTACTACTTGCTGGAAAGAAAAACGACTAATAATCGCATAAATGCATAATAAATTCATTGCCAGGAAGGAAGGAAAAAGAGGGCAAACGTGAAGAGAGAGGGAGAGAGAAAGTGCCGAACAAATATTAAAAATTTAATTTAATTTTTCTTTCGCTCTTCGCAGTTTAGGGGACTGAATAGGAGAAGAACACTGTGTCAGATTGCTTTGAAGTGCAGTGCATTTTTTTCTTCTCCTTCTTCTTTCTCATTTTAAATCTAATATTATTAGCACAATATCACTATTCTGGGGTAGAAGGACATCACCCGTGGACGACTTCAAACAAAGTGAGGAGTTTCTTTTCTTTTCTCTCTCGGTTCCCTAAGTCCCGCACAGTAAATATTGCTGCAGTACGCTTGCTCGCCCGGCTCAGTCTGGGTCTGGTTCAACTGCAGGGTTTCACTAAAGGTTCTGAGAATAAAGGGGGAGAGCCAAGAGGAGACGCATATTTTGCAGTTTTACACTCACTTCGCCAGAAGAATGCCTACAGGGGCTTTGATTTGTATTTCTTTTCAAGAGGAAGAGCCGTCCAGATATATCTCAGATTGCCTACAAGAACACGCGCAACAAGTGTTTTGGGTGTGTGCGCTCGGTTTAGTTTAATTATTTTCCTTTGTTCTTTTTGGTAGAGGGAAGGAATGAATAAAAAAATAAAAAACCATCTTTCCATGTCAAAGTTACTTTTCCTTTACCGCTATGCAATCCACGGACATTTGGTAGAAGGCTATATCGGAGAAATTTAGTTAAAAAAAATTAAAATAAAATAAATGCATATTTTATATTTTTTTCTTTCGCAATATTGCACGCAAAAATGTGTGCTTAATTATCTCTATTTTGCAAATTGTCGTGGTTTTATATAAAAGAATAGTGCGAAAGAAAGCCAAAAAAAAAAAAAAAGAGCGCACACACATTTTTCTAAAATTATTATTTTGCGTTTTGTGCCGGAAAAACTTTATATGGGAAATGTAAATCGTAACAAATCTTTAAATTACTTTTCAAATTGACTGATCAAATTTTGAGAGTGAAAAAAACAAACTTAAAAAAACTTCATTTTAAAGTGCAAGAGGAGAATAAGTAAAAAAACGTTAATATTGTAGAGGAACTATCCGCGGAAATCACACGATACGAGAGCTGGAAAAGAGTGAGCGCCTTGCAATAAATTAATTTTCTGATATTTTGTTTACAAAATATATACACACGTAATAATATATATACATGATTTTTAGGAAAGGGCAAAGACTAACAAGTATATCTTATATTTTAGCCGTGCAATTATATTGCACACACACACGTAAAATAATCTCCTCTCGAAATTGTTTTCCTTAGGATTGTTTTTGTTTTCTGAATTATAGCTTACTCTTAGGATGGCAAATTTTACTAATATTTTAATTTGTAATATAACAGATTCAAATATTCAAATACCTAATAAAAATGATCCATTAAGAATTGCTAATTCGACTTATGAACAATTATATAATACATTTGAAAATGAACCATGGTTATCATCTTCAACAAATAATGATGATTTTACACAATTGAAAATGTTAAAAGTTGATAGAGATTTACTTTTCCAAGTATTAATGGTTGAAGATATATCAAAATCAAAACAATCACAATTAGATGATTTAAGTACAAAAATTAATCCAAAAAATCAACGTGTTGATACTTTAAGACAATCAAAAGGTCCAAAAAAATTTAATATAATTACTCAGGTTGATTTAGATAAAGACGATAATACTACAAATAATAATAATAATAACAGTGCTAACTTATCAGCAAATTTTAATACATCAAAATCATCCGATTTACAATCACGGAAAACTGTTTATAAAATAACTTTACAAAGTAAAAAAGGTGATATTTTTTTCGCAATTAATACTTATCCAATTCATTGGGATAATTGTTGTTGGGGTGCAAAATTAATAATTAAAAAAGATACAATTTTTAATAGAGGTGTCTTCTATTTAAAAGAAAATTTAACTTCAATGTGTTTTGGTTCAATTAACTCTTGGATGGAACAACAAGATTTGAAAAAATTTGCTTATCTTGAAGGAAAATTAAATAGAGATAATAATGATTTTAAAGAGACAACAACTTCAAGAAAGAGAAAAGCTATAGAATTGACAGAAGACGATATATGACATTCATCAGGTATATTCTTTTTGTTGCATTTACCCTTATTTATTTTTTTTTCTTTCAATTTATCTAGTAATATAAATATATTAAAATTAATAAATAATTACATGAATTATGTGCTTGAAAGGTTTTTATTACTATTATTTATGCCCAGGAATATTTTTTTTTTTTAATCCAATAAAATTTCCCATAATTCATCTGTCTCTATAAAATCATGATGTACAATGGATACAATACAGTATTCGGAATGAATATGTGTAAGAAAACTGTTAGTTGGTGTATTTCTTGGAAATAACTTTGCCCATTCTGACCATATACTAAATGCTTCATCAGTCCAAGCTTTAAAAGATTCTTCTTCAACAATAGTAGTTTGAATAACTTGACTGTTTGGGAAAACACCCCACGTTACAACATTAGAACTTCCTTCATCAAGATTTGTAGTAAATGAACCTGATGCATCTCCAACATAATAACTAACTTTTCGACGTCCATAATGATCTAGTTTGGGTTTTAATATAGATTCCCATTGTTGTTTATGTAAAAACATTTCAACAAACCCTTTTTGATAAACAAGTCCATTTGCGGGACCCCAACCAAATATTTTATCTGTACTCTTAGCAGCATTTGCAGCTGGTTGTGATGCTAATGTTAAATAGCCTCTATGATTCAATTGAATTAATTCTTCTTGAATAAGAGCTGTCTCAGGTGATAATCCTAAATCACTCCAAGGTAAAGCTTCAATGGATCCTTCTAAATATTTAATAAATATTCTTTTCAAATCTTTAATATTTGTAGGTTGACCCCACATTTCATTAGCTTTTTTAACACTAACTTTAATTGTTGGACCATAACCATCAATTTCACCATAAGCTGGTGATCTAGAGTCACCAAATCTACCATTTGGAAATTCATCCCAAGTAGCATCACGGCCAAGTGCACCAGAACCTCTCGAGATGGATAATAAAAATTTCTTTGATGGCATACCATTTTTATAACTATATTCATTAAATCCATTTCTAGTACTTGTCGAGTCCTTATTGATAATTGCTCTATTGAAAAGCAAATCTGCTGATAATACACTTGAACGTCTTCTCTTTCTACCATCATGGTTCAAATATAGATTATCCAAAGTAATATTACCATCTTTATCCAAATGTCTATTCGACATATCATTTTCATCTTCATCACTTATAGCATCATTAGAACTAATCTCAACATCACTATCCTCACTTTCATCGATAATATGAGCCAAAGTAGGAGATTCAGATACAATCTCAGCAATTGATTTTTCCAAATTTAATGTATAAAAATGGAAACATTTAACTCTTCCATTCGTCCTTTTATAAATCTTCTCTATAATTTCAATTAAAATATTAACACCGATTGATTTAACCATATTATCATCAGCTTGTATCTCTGGCGGAAATTTATCCATGATATGTTGAGGAATAGATGCGTGAGATAGTTTTGCAGCTCGGTTAAATAAAAGATATGAATTAATTGGCATTAGACCAGGGAATATAGGGATAGTTGTAGATATTGTTTCTCTAAACATTTTTTCAAAATCTAAAAATTTATCAGCATCATAAAATAATTGAGTAATTACAAATTCAGCACCTGCATCGATTTTCTCCTTTAGAAATTGCATATCTCTAATTGGATCTTGTTCATTTGAGGAATCATCCTCTGTACTGTAATGACCTTCTGGATAAGCTGCTACACCAACACAAAATTCATCCTTATATTTATCTTTAATGTATTTGACAAGGTCAACAGCATATCTAAATTTATCATCAGGAGATCCATCTTCGTTAGAAATAATCGATGGATCGCCTCTTAATGCTAATATATTTTTTATACCTAATTCTCTGCATTGTTCTAAAGCATTATCAATAATATCAATTTCCATATTAGTACAGGTAAGGTGCATACAAACAGGTATATCGAACGATTGTGCAACTATACCCGCTAAGTCGATCGTCTTTTCAGCCGTAGTACCACCTGCACCCCATGTAACTGTGACAAATGTGGGGTCCAAGACATTCATACGACCAATACGCTCCAACAAATTTGCCTTACCTGATGCAGTCTTTGGGGGGAAAAATTCTAGTGATATCGAAGGCTCATCTTTCAGAGAATATGTCTCAATTAATGACATTGTTTATTCGATTGGCTCTTTCTTAAAATGACGCTATCTTTTCTTACTTTAAAAACCTCTTCACAGGATAAAAAACGTCTATTTATTTTTATATATACAATTTGAAATAGCTTTTTATGCGTTTAACTAGCTATAGGCTCTAAAACAGTTATTCATTGTGTGAAAACAAAAGTTCATCTCTCATCGACTTTTCTTTAAAGTTGTGAAAAAAAAAATAAAAAATTTGTTTGACTTCGCTTCGCTTTTCCTCTTCATGAAAGTTTGAAGGATGACCAAATTAGATAGGCAAAGTGTATTCATATAAATGAGGACTAAGGTGACAGCTTCAAGGATTTATTAAAAGGTTGGAAAACAAAGTATAATAAGAGTTTTCAGTTATTGAATCACGTGAACTCATATTAAGAAGTCTAGCGTTTTATCAACATAGATGAGGAAACTTGGTTTATTGTGGTAATGGCCGGTTTATTTGTTCAAGATGAAGATTTGGAGGATGAGTTTCTACAACAGGAGTTATCTAGACAAGACGAGATAATTACTAGTAAGGTACGAGATTCTTCTCACCAAGTAACCGATGATAACGATATCATGACGAGTAGCACACAGGAAGCCATTTCTAACGAGAAAGTTGATGATATATCTGAAGATGAAGAGGATGAGAAATCATTGTATCCCTTAATACCTGTAGATGCAGATCAAGGAAATGATATGAAACCTAATATCGAGGATATTAGACCTGTTGATATTAAACTAAATGTAGAGCTACCCTTTCAAGTCCAGATAATAGAGAGTTGTTTAGTTTCAGATGATCCACTTGTAATCCTTGGTAAAGGTTTAGATGTAACTAATATTGTTGCTAATTTATTACATATACTAGCAACACCAACAATGGTAAATGGAGAGTCAAAGAGATCATTGGTAATAGTATTGAATGCAACAGCTTCTGATAATAGACGATTATATCAAGGCTTGCAGGAGTTTGCTTGGCTGGACGATCGTCAGGAAGCAGAACAAGAACAAAATTTTCAAACACCCTTTCACATTGTTACTTCAGATTCTTTAAGTGTTGAAAAAAGAAGAAAATTATATTTAGGAGGTGGTATAGTAAGTGTAACTTCCAGAATCCTAATTGTAGATTTATTATCTGGGATTTTACATCCAAACAAAGTAACAGGCATGGTGATTCTAAATGTGGACTCTTTGAAAAATTATTCTAATGAATCATTTATATTAGAAATATATAGATCTCAGAATAGATGGGGGTTTATTAAAGGATTTTCAGAAGTACCTGAATCATTCACAATGGAATTCTCACCCTTAACGAAAAGAATGAAGGAATTACGATTCAAAAATGTTCTCCTCTGGCCTAGGTTTAGAGTAGAAATTTCATCTGTTTTAAACAAAAATTCTGATTTAAATAAAGTAATCGAAGTTAAAGTATCGTTAACAAATTCAATGTCACAGATTCAATTTGGTCTCATGGAATGTTTGAAAAAATGCATTGACGAACTGAATAGAAAGAACCCAACGTTGTCCTTAGAATGGTGGAACTCTGAGAATTCTTTGGACCCTAATTTCTTGAAATCAATAAACTCAGTGATGATGCCAAATTGGCATAGAATATCCTATGAATCCAAACAATTGATTAAGGATATTAGATTCTTGAAACATTTACATAAGTCACTTCTGAATGCCGATGCAGTAGATTTCTATGAGGATGTCCAAACGAGTTTAGACGCAAACAAGCCATCGGTCTCTAGAAAATATACAGAATCTCCTTGGTTAATGGCAGAAGAATCTCAATTGGTTATATCATACGCCAGAAAGAGAGTTTATGACAAAGAAGAGTATTCCTTGGAGGAGCTACCGAAATGGGAACAATTAATGAATATTCTGGACGACATTGCTCAATCTAGATTGAAAAATAACCAAAGTGGGCCGACTCTGATTGTCTGTTCTGATAGCAATACTGCTATCCAATTATCCCGTTTGGTGAAAATGGGCAATGTAAAACAAGGTTTAAGAAAATTGATGCTTTCAAAATTACAATATTATAAAGAAAGACGTGAGGAAAGGAAACGGTTATTAAATGAAGTTAAAGAGAAACATAATCAACCTACTGAATTAGACGTTAGTACAACATTCTCCAAAGAACAAGTAGAATCAAAAAGAAGAAGGACGAGAGGAGCTGCTGTTGTTGCACAGGTGCAGAGATTGAAAACAGCTGGTTCGGGGGAAGATATCGAGAGTGCTATAGATTCGTATGATTTACATAATGAATTAGGCCTTATAAACGATGAAGATGAAGATGAAAATGTTTCAGATATTGATCTATTGGAGGGTCATCCTTTAGACAACCAAGGTAATGATATAATTACCCAGATGGAAAACATTCCAGATGATCTTGAAACTATTGATGAGAATCAAGATTTTGAACTACAACAGATACTTACCGAAGGTTACAATAATATAACACACGAAACTTTTGAAAAGCAATTAGATGATATTAGCTTCGTAGATACATCAGATCAAGTAATAATTGAAACGTTTTCCGATGTGGATGATGAAACATTATTACAAGAAATTAGGCCATCATTTATTGTGATGTTCCAACCGGATTTAACATTCATCAGGAGGGTTGAAATTTACCGTACAATTCAAAATCAAGATTTAAAAATATATTTCATGTATTATGCCGAGAGTATCGAAGAACAGCAACATTTAACATCCATTAAGCGTGAAAAGGATGCATTTTCTAAACTAATCAAGGAGAATTCCCAATTGGCTAGCCATTTTGAAGCTCCTGAAGATATTTCTCATTTCAAGAATCTTGCAGAGAGGCAAATGAAAATGAACAAATTAAATAATAAGAATACCAGAAATGCAGGTGGCCAAAATAACAGTGCCCATTTCACTCAGGATGTGGTTATTGTAGATACACGTGAATTTAATGCATCCTTACCTGGTCTACTATTCAGATACGGTGTTCGTGTAATTCCAGCAATGCTATCCGTTGGCGATTACATTATAACACCAGACATTAGTCTAGAAAGAAAGTCGATATCAGATTTAATAGGGTCGTTACAAAATAATAGACTTGTTGGACAATGTAAAAAAATGTTGAAGTACTATAAATATGCTGTTTTATTGATCGAATTTGATGAAAACCAATCGTTCTCATTAGAACCATTCAGTGAACGAAAAAATTATAGGAAATCAGATCTATCGACGACACACCCAATTTCAAGCAAGTTGTCTCAGGACGAGATACAGTCAAAATTGGCAAAATTGATTATAAAGTTTCCCACACTCAAAATTATATGGTCATCATCACCACTTCAAACGATAAATATTATTTTGGAGTTAAAGATTGGTAGAGACCAACCCGATCCTAACGTGGCAATCTCATTTGGTATACATTTGAGGAAAAATGCCAAGGTTAATAATAGTCAATCAACCAAAGATAAGGAGAATACTGATAAATTTTCTGGCTTACTGGGTATTGACGGCCTTTCCAAGATTGATTATTTCAACATAAGAAAGAAGGTTAAACAATATAACAAATTAGCCAAGATGAATATTGACCAACTAACAGAGATTTCGGGTGACTCTACAATTGCATACAAAATTTTGGATTTCATTCAAGAGCAAAAAGAACTAGAAAAAGATATCGATATAGATGAAATGTGAAATTTAGTCATATATATTGATATTGAATAATGAAAACGTTTCATAACAATGATAATAATATTATATTATTTAATGAAAAAAATATATAAATTTGATCTATAGAACCTTTATAATGAAATCGTCCCTATATTTTATCAAAAATTCCCTGTCGAATATGATAAAATACCTGTATTTCAGCTGCAAAGTCCTGATCTACGATTGGATTGCTTAAGACAGTAAAAAATTCCGCTTCACTGGGTAGTAAATTTGGAATTTTAATTAACTTCTCACATGCATCTTTATCAATGGCACATTTACTTAATAATAATGTCAATAATTTTATTGTTTTACAACTTATCATTTTGTATATCACAGGTGCTTCTTTGCTTTGCATTGTTAAATTCTGGAAGAAACCATACAATCTCCTAAAGCTAACACCCATATTTTCATAGGTAGTTAGCCACTGCAGAGGAAGGTCCCCAAATTCCAGGACGTCTTGTCCCATGTCATCAGTTTGTTTTAAAGTTTGATTAGAATCAATTAATTTAACAATTTCATAAACAGACGTTAATGATTGCAAAATGATAGGCGAATATTCATCAATGATTGATGGTTGAACAGTAACCTGTTGAAAAGGGATGACAGAAATTAAAAATGAAATAACATCATTCATCAACTTTGTTTTGTTGCCATTGTTATATTTATTAACCAGGCTCTTTACAATTTCTATATTCTTAGATTTTCTAGCTTCATTGAATTGCCCTAGAAGTATTGATTGCATAAAATTACGATTTGGATGACCCAATGACAGTATTTTTGCTAGGATATCCACACCAAACGATTGGTACTTCCCCCAACTTACAGAATATTCTGAATACGAAATACCATTCTCTGTGGCTTCTTTTCCATTTGGTGATTTTTTTGGTTCACCAAAACTTAATATTAGTAATAAAAGAAGCATTCCATCCAATTCAGAATCTAATTTCAAATTATGGGATATATTTGATAAAATGATTATTATATCTTTCTTAAAGTTTAAAAGTTTCCTTTCAAAAATAATTTTCTTGTTATCAAAAAATAACAACCACATCATATCTGAGAGAAGTCTCTTTAGTATGTGACTAGAGCACATAATATTAGCATTAACATCTGAAAATGATATATTTCTTAGGATCATGGATATTGTGGATAGTTGATCGATAATTAAGACCCTAGCATCTTCAGCATCTCTAGTGTTTACTTTTGTAAATGGATTATCAACCTCCTGTTTAATTTTCTTTAACGACTCTATGTAAGAAGGAAAATATAATTCGACATTTTCTAGGCGAGAAATGTGTGAGAAACATTGTCTATCTGGTAAGTATTTCCATTTTCTTGGGTGTTGTTGTTTCTTTTGCCAATCTTTTAGGAATACATCAATATCAACTAAAGCTTCTGTATCATCTTCATCGTACACAGAGCTTGCAGGAGATATTGCATTTTCATCCTGTTCGACATCGATACCTGTCAGAGAGTCAACAGTGATGACACTATCATCATTTTTATTTTTTTGTTTTGTATAAAAATCGAAAATCGCATCTACCTTTTGAGAGAACTTGTTATTTCCCATGGTATTCCTATTTAGAAATCTATCGGTATCGTATTCATCACAATAATGATTGGTTGAACTAGTTTGGTGCTCTCTTAACTTTTTAGGTGTGTCCCAGTTCTTACAGAGATCCTTGATTATAGTAATCCCGTGCATACATATGGAATTTAATAGGTGTGGGTATTGATTTAATGGGATTACTAACGTACCATCTGCACTCGCAACAAGTAACGAATTTAATGATGAATTTATTTCTCCTAAATTATTAGACTGTAAGGACATTGATAAGGCGTGCAGATTTATAGTTCCTAATTCGGGAGCAAATAGGTATATTGGCTTATTTCCATCTATCTTTTCACCGACATTCGATATATAACTAATATCGTATCCATTAACAAACTCAAGGTGTTGATTAATTGGTTTGTAATTTCTTATCATGCTTCTCTTATAGACCTTTGGTAATTTTGACATTTCCCTCTCATAGCGTTCCTTAATTCTCCTTTCCAAACTAGCTTTTTGTTGTTTTTTCATGTCAGCCATAATTCTCTTTTGTTCTTTTTCTTTTTCCTCCTGTTCTTTACGTTCTTGCTCTAGTTCTTTCTTTGTTTTCTTCTTCTGTCTTGGTTTACGTGGTTTTTTAGTGACCTTTTTCGTCGTTGGAGGAGCAGTTGTTGTTGGAGGCCGTTTGGCAGCAATTACATTATTAGTAAATGCCTTAGACTTTTTATTTTTCGTTAACTGTTGCTGTTGTTGCTGTTGCAATTGCATCTTTTGCTGTTGCTGTAACAATTGTTGTTGTTGTTGCTGTTGCTGTTGCTGTTGCTGTTGCTGTTGTTGTTGTTGTTGCAATTGCTGTTGATTCTGTTGGTTATTTAAATACTGCTGTTGTGCTAAATTAGGTGAATTGACACCAGTTGTCGAACGCATCTGGCTTTGGTTACCTATCTTATTTCCAAATTGTTGTTGAACTTTTTTCAATAGTTCTTGTAAAAATTGCTGAAGAAATACCCTTTTAGCTTGTGATTCTTTAGTACCATCTGGTGAACTCATGTGCTTCTCGTAAGGACGTAAAATTTTAAAGTATATTGCTTCCAATTGTTGAGGGTCACTTAGTTGTAGTTTTAATGATATTTGAGGCCATAATTGATTTCTGGTCACTTGGTCACCACCACCCAGGCGTTGTGCTAGAATGTAGACGAAAAAGAGATTTACTTTTCTTCCTTGTATTTCAGGAATATTTGTCATTGGAATGTTCATCTTCTTGCAATTATCTACAAGCGATTTCATGAATAATTCATATTGTTTATTGCTTAGTTCAGCTGATATCCTTTGTTGAAGTTCGGGACTCAAATTCTGCAATATAGCTTTTTGTTGTTGAGCCTGTTGTAATTGTTGTGGAGTCATTCTTCCATGACCCATCTGTTGTTTATTAGTACCACTTCCCGATGGTTGTTGTCTCTGTGATTGTTGTTGCTGTTGTTGATGTTGTTGCTGTTGTTGATGTTGTTGCTGCTGCTGCTGTTGTTGAAACGCATGAGCTCTCTGTTGTTGCATCGAGGCAAGCATTGCAGCTCTATCCTGGTATGTACTACTACTACGAGATGGTTCATTTATTGATCCCATGGAATTACTGTTATTACTTGTACTTCTATTAGTGTCAATATTTTTGACATTATTTATCTGAGAAAAATCGTTTCTTCGCATGTTAATATTATTGTTGTTGTTTGCTGGTGATTGAACATCCATTGGTGAAGCTTGATTCGACACTTGAGACATAGGATTTGGTGTCATTCCACTAATCCCATGTAAAGCATTATTCAAATTTGTTTGATTTTGAGCATTATTTCTCAGTAATATCTGTTGTGGGGTTGATGGATTTTGGGAATTTGATAATTGTGGTGATAATGTTGTATTATTGAACATGTTTTGGTTATTCATATTAATATTCGCCAAATTTGGAGATCCATTCCCAGTACTTTGTTTACTATTTTGTCTAAACATTTGTTGAGCATTTGTTGCAACTTGATCCCCATCTAGCATTGAACCATTTGATAAAATTGCCTGTGGCGATAAATTGCCCCCCATACCCAGATTCACGTTCATGTTGTTTGAGCTATTATTGTTATTGTTATTATTGGTGCCACTACCACTATTAACGCTTAAGTTTGAACCGTCATTGGTTAAATTAAAATCAAAAGGCGTTTGATTGTTAGAAAAATTATTGTAGTTGTCATTACTGTTTTGATTTTCAGATGATTGACCAAAGGATTGGTTTCCAAACATATTTCTAAAGCTATCATTGTCGTTATTTAACATATTTCCGCCAGTTCCGGAATTAAAGAAGTCCATTTTTGTAAGAATAAATTAATCAGGAAAGGTTTCTACCAATATTCTAGAATAATTAAAATAAATATCTATTTCTGTTAACAAAAATTTTAGAAATTTTATAATCTATGGAACGATTAAAGCCGACTGTTGTTCTTACTATAGATTCTCTTTAATATAAGCTGCCTTAAAATGTAAATAAATGTCCACACGCGAAATGTATATAGTAAAAAGTTAAAATAATATGTCTTGGCACTATTTCTACTTATGACCTTCGGTTACTCTATAATGTTACAACACTTTACACACTCGTGGTTAATCTTAATACGTATATACCTATAAAATATCCCTGTTTAAAACACCTCTTTAAATCAGTTTATTGACTCCATCTAAGCTGCCCTTTTTATTTCTGATGTTTGTTTTGTTTTAATTTCAAATTTCAACTTCACGATTTTCAGTTTTTTTTTTGCTTTTGGGAGGGAAATGAGCCTTAACGCACTCGTTGGAAGCGATATCGCTGTGCACGAACAGCTAATCTCTAAGTATCTATGTCAGTCTGCTATGTAATAACCAAGTTAACCCATCCGTTAGAGTTATTGATGTTGTACTACTCAGTACGTTGTCTCTTTGGGTTCGGTTTGACAGTAATCCCCCTTGCTTTCATTCTCGAGATGGCTTGTTTCATGAACTGACTCTGATGTGATTCTAAATCGTCACTATTTGAAATGGTAGTTCCTTTCTTATCATTCTGTGCAACTGGTTCTAAATTTCTAGCATTATGTTCTTGGGAAAGTTTCTTTAGAATATTTAACATTTCAATCTTTTCATCTTGCTCTTTGTGACGTTTAGCTTCAGGGTTAGGATCATCGCTTGCCCATTTAACTAATAGTCCTGCACCTTCTAACCTTTGATCCCATTCTTTATCATTCGGTATTAAAAGACTTTGATTCATCATTGCCTCTCGGGCAAACTCTGCATTTATCTGTCTTCTATATTTCACAAATGCACAATTCTTTTCAGTTATATACCGGATACGGTCTATACTTCCTAATCTAGTAAACATAAATCGTATGCGGCTCTCTATCTGTGTTGGTTTCAAAGGTTTCCCATTCAAAGCATTAGTAATACCTCCAATATATAACGTTGCATTTTGTCTCCTGAAAGAACCTATACCACCCATATCTTCTCTAAACTCTGCATGTTTTTCTCTTCCGAAACAATCAATCATATCATTTTGAGACCATAGTATTGCATCATTCTCATCTGGAACATGATGCATATAACTACATTTGCTCCCCATTACACAACAACCTCTTGCAAAATAGATACAAAATTTATCATCCTTGGATGATGCCCTTGTAGTACCTTGATCCTTCTTTGGGTCCAATCTAAAAGGGGTAACATGACGTTCATTCCCGTTACCTGTGCTTCCTTGAGACCATTTATTGTACCAAAGGTTAAAAGTCAGCCCATTTTGTGGAGGTACTCCACTTGGTAGATCCTTATCCTTTATTTGTTGCCTTGCAGGTCTGGACTTCCACATATTCAGATGTTGTTTTTTTCTTGCCTGTTTTTAAAAAAGATCTAGTAAAACAAAAGCAAACAAATCTTTTAATTATAATCTTACACTAACGTTTCACAACAAGTAGGATTCAAACCCTATATATATATATATATATATATATCTACGTAGTATCACTGTTTTCCCTAGGTCATCGCTCATTTATTTTCTAACTCAACCACATAATAAATATTGCAATTCGCTGTATCCGACTAAAATTTCTAAGTGAATTACGTTTTTATTTTTTTTCAATGCAATCTTTTCAGATATAGCAATACAAGAACAGCAAGATTGAATAGAGTATAGTTCTTGACTGCGATTGTACGACCATTTGAATGGATTTCATTTACTGATTAAGTGAATTACTATTTTATCAATATCCCCTGTTCATATTCTATCTCTAAGAATAGTGCATTTTTCTGGTAAAACCCCAATCCCATACACAGCATCAGAAATCGCAAAATAAATCCATAGACATCACTACAAACAAAAAAGAAAATGTTGTCATTTCGTTACAATTTCTATGATATTACAGAATCAGATTCAGATGAAGAAGAGATAGCCTCGAATGGATTGGTCATTAATAAAGTACATGAAACAAATGAAATTGGGAATGCAATTTTGTCTCCTTTGGATTCATTGATATGTAGATCACCTGAATCATCACCAGTACCAATTGTCACAGCAGGTGGCCATAATAATGATATTGAATCTGAATTAACTTCACCCACACAAGATAACAAATCCCAATCCGACACTTCTTATTTACAAACCGATGAGGATCTCCAGGAGATTATGGTGAATTTAAAGATTGATTCAAAATTACCGAAGTTTAATAGACTTGAATTTGATAGATTGGTAATACCTCTAAGGAATACAAAAGATAGTAATACACTACCTAACAGAATAACCCAGAATGATTTGTCGTCAGATCAAACTACTAGATTATCATCAGTGGCTTCCACAAAAAATTTGGTTTCTGAACTTATTTCTTCAATAAGTGAAAGATTTGAATCATTGGAAATGGCAAATAATAAAGAAGTAGCGAGAATCATTAATGAAAAAAAGGTCCAAGAACAAGAACGTTTAGCCAGGATAGAAGAGGAACGTAGGAGGAAAGAGGAAGAAGCTAAACGTTTGAAGGAAGAAGAAGAACGTCAAAGACTTGAATTAATTGCTAAAAAGAAAGCTGATGATGAAAAGTTAAGACAAGAACAATTAAAAGCAGAACAGGAGGCTAAGAAGAAAGAAGAAGCTAAAAAATTACAATTGAAACGAGAAGCTGAAGAAAAAGCAAAAGAAGAAGAACGTGAAGCAAATCGTAATAAATATAGTACAAATTTTAGAAAGATTGAAAAGATATTCTTACATTATAAAGAAGAAATTCAATTGATTAAAAAAGATATTGTTGAACCAGTTAAGAATATTGATAAAGAACAAAAAAAGATATTATCAAGTCATAGAAGAAAAATCAATCCTAAATTTGGACAACTGACAAATTCGAATCAACAGTTGATTGCTGTGGCCAATGAATTAGATAATTTAATCTCTCAAACAACAGCACAACCTTTAATGTTCAAATGGATATTAAATTTTGTAGCAAAGGCAATTGTTCATCAAGCCGAAAATGAAGTTAGAGTTAAACCTGAATCAGCCTTACCATTAGCTAAACTTGCATTGTATTTGATTCAAAAATTCCCTGACTTAAAGGAATTATTAATGGCTAGATTCGTTAAAAAGTGTCCATTTGTTATTGGATACACTTGTTCTATTGAAACAGAAAATGGGCGTACTGCCATGGGTTGGAAACGTAATTCTGAAAATAAATGGGAAGCTTCAACATCATATGATGAAAGAATTGGTGGTATGGTTACTCTCTTTTCTGTAATCACTAGACTTGATACGATGATTCCAGGATCACAAAATCCGTGGCCATTAGAGTATTCCTGGATGATGTTAGCTAGAATTGCTAATACACCTGTGGCACAGTTAACAAACGTCCATTTTATTGTTCTTGGTTCATGGTGGGATGCCGCAGCATTACAATTCTTACAACAATATGGTAATCAAAGTGCCAAATTGATGAGATTAGTGGGTGATGACTTAACTTCATCAGTCGCTGACAAGAAATATGTAGGTGCAGCAAGATTAAGAATATTAATGGAGGATTGGGTCTCTAACAATAACATAACAGCATTCCCAGAAATGGATCCATAACATCATGCATAGAAATATATATAGATATATAAACTTATAAACGAATCAATAAATAATAAAACCCACTCATTAAGATAATAATCCATATATTCATTCAATCACTCATCTGTACTATTTCATCCATTGTATAATCAATGCAACAGCCCCATAATTTTTGATCCTTATTGTTATTATGAAAGACTCCGCCGCGATGATGAAATCTCAGGAATTTTCCTTTAATGGAAGACTAAGTGAAATTGTTCAAAAGAGGCAAAGGCAAAGGAACAGCATTCCTTAACAAAAAGATATTGAAATTAGTCATATACCCTTTGATTGATATAGAGTAGTGACACTTAGCATTAAGTGTATTGTGGTTTACCTCTATAGATAACCTGCAAAACATTTTTGTTCTTTATTTATTCATTTGACTGCTTTAAAAAAAACAAATACAATTATTTAGCTAGAATATTTTTGCATAAACACATAGAAAACAACATTATATCATTACACTAGGTTACGATGCAAAGACTAATACGGACATATATTGCTGGAGTCTTCTATGTTTTCAATGCTATATTGATAATACTATATCTGTTTAACCCAGATCTTCTAATACATCAACTATACACAATACCTGTATCATTAGGAACATGTTTTATTACGCTGGGTTTACTAACATCAGATTTCTTGACTCCATCTTTGTCTGAAATCTCTACAAATATGTTACATATATCACATCGTATTGCTGGTATGACGTTACTGGCATTAGGGAATGGTATTCCAGAAATCACAAGCGCATATCAATCTATGAATGCTGGAGTTACATCATTGGCCATCGGAGAATTGATTGGTGGTGTATTCTTTCTGACAACAGTTGTTATTGGGTTAATGGGATTCATAAGGACGATATATATCACGAATCATAGCTTAGAGCTAAAATATTTAAATATTTTAACTTATGAAAGGCGGCATTATATTGAAGATATATCTTCTTTAACAGGAATGATTGTCATTACATCATTGGTTCTTTGGGATGGTAAATTGAAACTATATGAATGTATCGTATTGATGACATGTTATATTGTACATGTAATGTATTTGGTACATCAAATAAGGAAAGAAGAAATTGAAGAAAGTCCCAATAGTGAACTTGATGTTGAATTAACTAACGATATTTGTGATATTGTGAGTATAAACAATGAACCAAGTCTTGATAGTCATTTAAGCCCCATCCCAAATGATATAGAGAATCAAACCTTTGAGAATAATATTTCACTTTTCAATAGAGATGAATTAATGAGAAGAGATAAGATTAAATGTCAAATTAGAGGATATTTATCTACAAATTATAAAGGTTGTGTAAGGATGACTTTAAGAGATTGCCTTGATATCTGGGAGAACGATGAAGTATTTGACAAAGAAAAGGAGAAAGAATATGGGGATGACACCACATCTGAGGGAACCGCTGAAGAAATTACACCTTTGTTGCATCAAAACATAACCACTGGTTCATTACAAGATGATACTGATATTATTATTAATGGACCACATGATGATGGTTTGTTAAGAGTTCCTGGTAGAACTAGTAATAAGAGTGATAACAGGCCACCATTAAGAATCTCAAGAAGTTTAGATTTTGTTCCAGCTTTAATACATGGTATCCCAAGTGAAGAGGCTATTGAAGATATTGAGAATGATGAGGGACCTTCTGATGAACTTTCTTTGAGTCATCAAAGATCTTCAAACATTTCGGCGTTATCAACAAATTCACAAATTAGAAATCATTCATGCTGTTATACTCGGGGTTATAGGTTATATTACTATGTGACTAGTTGTAATCCAATTTCTATGTGTCATGTGGAATTTTTGTTATTACTATTTACTACTCCGATCTCTATGGTGATTCATACATTATTACTTACCCCTAACGATAGTCATACTTTTATCACAGAATCGATTTCCCTTGATGAAAAGGTTCGTGTCCTCATGTCACCAATGATAATATATTTATTAATTGTGCGATCTTTACCAAATATCACTATAACGATAAGTTTCTTCACCATGATTATATTATATCTTGTATGGACCAAATATAATATATTACAAAGTCGGATTCTCACAAAGAGACTTGTATCAATCATGGGGTTCCTTTCATCGATATGTGCCATCTCCGTAGTGGTTGATATAATTGTAAGCATCTTACGGATGTGGACCACCAAATTCCATGTCTCAGAGAGTATCCTGGGGATCACGATCTTTGCATGGGGTAACTCTATTGGTGATTTAGTATCGAATTTAACATTTGTAAAGACTGGGCTTGTCGAGACTGCGTTGGGAGCCTGTTTTGGTAGTCCCTTACTATATTTTTTATTTGGGGTTGGATTTGATGGGATGATGTTAATGGTATTAGGTTATTTAAATCGTGGTAAAAATAATAACGGTATTGTTAATTGGGAGATTAATTTTACAATTGATTCTCATTTAAAATTAAGTGGTGTTGGGATTTTAATTGCAATGTGTATTTATTTCATTGGAATTCCATTGAATGGTTGGAAAATTAATAAACGTATTAGCATATTATTATTATTGGATTATTTAATTGTGACGTTATTAAATATATATACTGAGGTATATATGTAAATAGAAAATAATTAAAAAAAAAACAGTGTACTTTTTTTTTCTCAATAAATAAATAAATAAGAAGTATAAATATATATATATATGGGGGGGGTCATTAATAAATAGTGTGAATATGTGGGGTGTCTTTGGAAAATGCAAATAGATGGAAGAAACGTAGAAACAAAGAAAAAAGGTGGTGATGAAGAATGAAAATCAATTATTTGATTTTGTTTAAATTAATATTATCCAAGATTTTTTTAGCACCATTTTCAATCATTCTGTTTGCTAAAATCATACCACATTCAATCGCATCTTTTTCAAAATCTACAAGGATTCTTCTTTCCGAATCTTCAACCCATTCTGTACCTTCAACATTAATTACAATAGCTTTAAAAGTTAAAGTTTTTGTATTAATATTAAATTGAGTCTCTACACCAATTGGTACGGAACAACCACCTTCTAAAGTTCTCATTAAAGATCTTTCAGCTAAACAACAAACAGTTGTCTCTAAATCACAAATTTCTTCAAGGATACGATGCATTCTCAAGTCACCTTTTCTAATTTCTAAACCTAAAGCACCTTGTCCTACAGCATGATACATAATTTTTGAATCGAATCTTTGAGTAATTCTATAATCTAAATTCATTCTGATCAAACCTGCTGTTGCTAATATAATACAAGTATAACGAGATTCTGGGTCATCAACTTTATCTAATCTTGTATGAATATTGCCTCTAACACTTTCAAAAATTAAATTTGGATATTTTCTTTTCAATTGCGCAGATCTTCTTACAGATGAAGTACCGACAACAGAGCCTGGTGGTAAATCATCTAAGGATTTATAGATTGAATTTAAAGCCATTACTAAACAATCAGATGGGTCGACTCTTTTTGTAATACCACCTAATTCAAATCCATCTGGTAAAATTGTTGGCATATCTTTTAAAGAATGTACAACCACATCTAATCTAAGATTCATATCAGGTGCATATAATAAATCCTCTAATTCTTTTGTCCAAAGTGCTTTACCACCAAATGAATAGAGTGGTTTAAATTGGATTTGATCACCTAAAGTTTGAGTTTTAGTTAATTTACAACTATATTGTTCAAATGCGTCCTGAATCATTTCTTTAACTTTTTCAGATTGAACAACAGCAAGTTTTGATCTTCTTCCTCCAATATGAACAGTGTCTTGAGTCATTATGTACAAAAGAATATATTAGTGTGTGTGTGTGTGTGTAAGGGGAAGAATAGGTCGGTGATGGGGTATATGTGTGTACGTACCAATAAATTATTACTCGGTACTTTTTAACCAATCTATATTCTTTTCTCTCTTGTCTCTCTCTCTCTCTCTCTCTCTCTCTCTCTCTCTTATATATATTAACAGTTGATGTTTTTTTCTTTCTCCCTTTTGTCAGTCTAACGAATAAATTTCAGTTCATCACCAGAAAAAAATTTCAGAAAAGCGACGAGAAAAACTCTCTCTGTAAAGGAATGACATACTTTAATCAATCAATCATTGGCTATACAAACAGCGCGCGACAACATGGAAAAAGCTCAAATTTTGATGGTCAACACATTATTCATATTACTATTGCTATTCTGGCTTACTCACATAGCGTCTAGATTTCCTGTCAAAAGGGAAGCTTCACATCCAACTCGTAAAAGGGTCCTCGTTCATTGGCTAGACCGAAATAACAAAATTGTGTCTTCCATTATGGAAATAGCCAATCATCCTTCAGATTAGTAAGATATCATTTCTCATATCTCTCTCCCGCGCGTATTCTGCTCAATATGTTCGCATTTATCCTAAACGAGTCAACAATGCGAAGAGACAGCGAAAGACTTCCCACGCCGCGTTCACCGGCTTTTTTTGCCGCGAGACAGCCTCCCTTTCCCTCCCCCCCACACCCAAACCAGAGAAGCTTTCCGCGAATTTTTCTTTTTCTTTTTCTTTTCCGTTGAAATTATCGGCTGACCCAAGCTATGCGGGCCAATCAGGATGCAGTAAATGGGAATTTTGTTTACTGTTAAACGAGAGCCGCTTTTGCCCAACGATTCGGCCGCCATGCCGGTCACTGTGCACGGCAGCCCTGCTTTGGCAGGCTAGGGTGGCTTGTCATAGTATACGGCGTAACTTTACCACACTCTCATTATATAACTTAATAAAAAGAAAGCAGAACTACACCACCAGAGGGTTCATCTTTTTTGATGTTTGTGCGTGTGTGTAATTTTCCAATTAATTCATAATTAATGTCTGTGAGATGGTCAATTGATCTTCGTGGTTGTAATCTATTGGAGCTGTAGAATATTCTTAATTTTAACACACACAGTCTCTCTCTCTTTCTCTTATATATATATACTTGAATGTCAATGCATCTGAATGAGAAAGACGTAACAGGTGCAAAAAAAATGAGCACTTTTTCCTTGTTGACAAAGGACCCCTCGCATAGAAAGAGGGAGATGGGCATCGGACTATGGCTTTAACGGAGATAAAATCATATTACATATATATATATATATATACTTATTTATTATTTAAAATTGTGATAACCACTCAATGGCTTTATTGTGTCCTAAGTTTGCTGCATTTGTCATATGTAATTTTGCTAACTCCAAATTAGTTGTCGTGCCAATACCATTAAGATAATAGTAACCTAAAATATATTCAGATCTTGATAATTTACCTTGTGATATTTCACAACTATTTTTAATCCATTTAAATGATAATTCATAATCTGGTAATATTATTCCAGGTGAACCCGTGAAAAACCATCCTGCTAATGATAACATTGCAACGGGGTTGACATTTTTTTTCTTTGTAGTTGTAGTTGATGAACTTGACGCCTTCATATACCATGCAATAGATTTTTTACAATCGATTGGTAAACCTAATTCACCAAATTCATAACACGTTCCTAATCTCCATTGTGCTAAAGGATAATCGTAATCATATCCACACTTGTAATAATATTTTAATGATTTTAAATAATTTTTAGAAATATTTTCATTCATTAATTTTTTTTGTAAAATTTCATTTAATGAATCAAATTCATATATTTTACCTAATTCATAACATGCTTGAACTGAATTACCTTCATTAAATGCTTTTTCAAGCCATCGAATACCAATTTGACATGGAATCTTATCTTCTGATATTATTTGTCCATTTAGATAATACATTCCTAATTTAAAGATACAATCGAAATTATTTAATTTAATTGCACCTAATTTATAATAATATATCGCTTCTTTTAAACGCTCTTCTTCACTCATTTCAACCTCAATACCTTTATTAAATTCATAACATATTCCAGCTCTATAACAACTCTCAGAATGACCTAATTTTGCTGCTTCGCAATAATATGTCAAAGCTTTCTTATCATTTTGATTAATAAAATCATAATTATTTAATTTAAAATGTGTTATTCGATGTGAATAAAGACACCCCATTAAAAAATATGCATTTGACCATTTTAATTTAATTAACTTGGTTAACACTTTAAATGCATGTTCAATTATAATTTTCTGATTTCTTTGTAATTCAATTGAATTTAATTCGCGTTTTAATTTTTCTGCATTTATAGTATAATGGCTAATAAAATCATAATCTTGTGATACAGATAATAGAGTTTCACACCATTTCATTTGTATTTCAGGTGTAAAATTTTTAACATCATTGACTGTCTCTTCATATATTTTGTAAAATGTTTGAGCTCTTGGTGAATACTCACTAATATCACGTCCACTAAACCTAGTAGTAGTAATCGTTTCATTATTATTATTATTATTATTATTATTATTATTATTATTATTATCAGGTCGTATCTTAGTTTCATTATTTATTGTATCCATCGATATATTATATTCACTTACTGGGTATGGCGCTCGTTGCGTGGAATTACCATTATTATTTCCTGTATTTATTATCATTGATGGATCCTTCTCAGGCGGGAAACTCTTAAATGGAGAATCATATCGATCATGTCCATGAGTATCATTTGTGTCCCTATATGAACCAACCATTGGACGTGTTTGAAACATTAACTTTCGCGTTTGTTGTTCAAATTACACGAATGTATATGTGTATATATATTTATCTTTATTTGTATCCTCTTTTGTTGAAAATTTGGTGACGCACCCAAACTCTTATTCTAAATTCGTGTAGATTATATAATACACGTTCAGTCATATAACTTCGAAAACTTTACCTCTCTCTCTCTCTCTCTTTCTCTCTGTGTCTTGTCATCTTTCTTCAATTTGCTTTCTTCCATTTTCAATCTATCTGTAACTTTTCGCTTCGTTTTGCTTCACGATATTTTTTCTTCCTTTCTTCTTTCCCAATTCTCAAATGAAACACTTTTTTTTTGGTCCGTTGTTATTCATCTTTTGAATTAAATTAACGGATATTTCAAACATTTGGGATAGGTAGAGAGATGATAGAGGTAGAAAAGGGACTGAAGATTACTAGTACTGAACGTTGATTTAGCCTGTTGTTATAGTGTGTTGTTAAATTTTGTTTCACGAGTTAATATTCATATAGACAGGAGAGAAAATTTTATTAGTGTCCCCTTAAACAGCAGCTATACAGTGACAATATGTTGAAAAATTCATTGTTTTTAATTAATCCTCAGTTGTTACTACGTTGTAATACTCGTCCTTTATTAAGCACCACATCGATACGTTATGGTTCAAGTGCTGTAATTACTGCTAAACCTAAAGATATCGAATTAAATGGCGGTAGACAAACTGTCAAAGCACCAAATTCAAGAAAGACATTTTTAATCGATTCATATAAACATATGATGGAGACTCATCCTGTTGTAATATTTTTACATTATAACAATTTAATTAAATCTGAAGATCATCATTTTAGAGATCAAATTAAATCAACTAATGGGAAATTACATAAGATTCGTAATAATTTATTTAAAGTTTATTTGAAAAATTCAAATCAATCAGATCCATGCGCTCCAATTGATAGTAAAAATGAAACTTTAGTTAAAAATCATCCTTTGTATCCATTATTTACAGGTCCTACAGCTGCTATCACTTATAAGGATATTAATCCAACAGATATTGCTAAATTAATTAAATTATTAAATATTGCAAAGGATAAATTATTTGTTATTGGTGCAAAAATCGATACTGATATAATGGATCCTTTCCAATTAGGTACATTCAGTAAATTACCTTCTTTACCACAATTACAAGCAACATTGGTATCTATGCTACAAATGTCTGGTGGTGGTAGTTTGGTACAAACATTAGAATCTTCAACTCAAAAGCTGTATTTGACTTTAAAATCTCATGAGGATAATATTAAGGAACCAAAAGAATAATGAAACTATTTAATCCATTATAATCAGCTCCCCCAAAAAAATAGTTCACTTTTCGATGCATTCATGATATAACATGTAAATAATAATATTAATAAAAGTAAATCCCTGTATTATTTCTTTTTTTTTGCTTTTGCCAGAAGCAACCGTTCATATTAAATATCTGTATATATATATATATATATATTTATATAAGTTATTTAGCATTTGGTAATGGTTTATAACCCTCATTTACAAGTAACTCTTTCTTGATTTTAACCCCCCATTTGAAAGATACGTAATCACCTGTTCCACCAAGTACTCTATGGCAAGGTACGATTACAGGTATGTTGTTAGCACCGCAAGCTCTACCTACAGCCCTTGATTTCTTTATGTCGCCTAATGCAGAAGCAATTTGACCATAACTACGAGTTTGTCCATAAGGTATAGCCACTAATTGGTCCCATACTTTTCTTTGAAATTCTGTTCCAAATAAATATTCACATTGAATGCATTTTGTATTTGAACGAGTACCATCCATTAACTCAACGAACTCAGTTGCCTCAGTTTCAAATTTCTCATCTGTATCCCGTATAAATTTATAAGTGACGTGTGTTGTCTTTGACAGTTGTTGGAACACTTTGTTTACAATTTTAAATAGACGAGATCGATCGATACCGAGTGAAGCATACACTAGATGTCGATTGGATTGTTTGAAGACAAGTAATACTGACGATATAGGTGTATCGACAAATTTGTAAACTAAAGGTGTTTGTTCTTTGATCATTTTTCTTTTTACTGTTTTTGTTTCTCTTTGAGGTATTGATTTCTCTAATTTTTACGTGTTTTGGTGCATTTTTACGTGTTTTATATACAAAATCGATGATAATACAAAGGAGAGATACCGAAAAAAAAATTTTTTAAAAATCCTAATACTAGCAAACTCCATCGATATATTTTTCTCTTATTCCAACGGGTGACTCTTTACAGATCGTGTAAGAGATAGATTTGCAGATAGATATACATATATATACATGTAAATGTATATGTGTGACTCATCGATTAATGTTTAGGTTTCGTTATTACAATTATAACTATGATGATTATTATTATGATTATTTGTGTTACATTTGATAATTATATAAGATATATACAACGTTGATAAGGAAGGAAAAGAAAAAAGTGTAATGTTTTTTATTTATTAATTAATTTATTTCTTTTGTAACAAAGCATCAAATCTTGGGATCAAAGATTGAGCCAATGCAAAGGAGAAGACTAATTTTGGACCAGTAGTTAATAATTTTGGTACTAAACCCTTAAAGAAAGCAGTAATACCTTCATTCTTTAAAGTATTTTTAACAATGGTGATACCATTTTCTGGATTATCAAAATTTCTATTTTGAATTCTAGTCTTGATAACATCTAATGGAGCAGAGACAATCAATGAAGCAGATGCACCAACAATAGAAGAAATGAAATTTTGTGACCATGTTGCAGCATTATAATCTTCTAAATGTAAGATATATTCTTTAGCGAAAGCATTACCACCGAATAAAGCAAAAGAACCAGGAGCATTTCTAGCGGCGGTCCAACCCCAACCTCTATATAAATTACGTAACCCTTCATCCTTTAAAATTTGAACAAATCCTCTACCTTTAAAGGATTCTGGATTTGTTTGTCTTTTAATCTTTAAAACATCTAATGGTAATAAGATGATTTCACCAATACCAATCATTGAACCTGCAGTGGCAGATCTTAAAGCTTTACCAGTCTTTGCACCAAAGGCAGAATCAAAATCATTTTGAAAATGTTTGTTTAGGAATTCATTAGCAAATGGTTGACCACCGTATTTATAAACTCTTTGTAAAACTTTATAAGCAGCAGCATAACCTAAACCTGGGAACAAAGTGAAAAATCTCTTTGAGAATGGTAAATCAGAATATTGTTTAAAGATAACAGTATTCAATTGAGATGACGAAGCTATCTTAGTATGATTAGACATCAAACGTTTAGAGATAGTGTCAACCGGGTGGAAAACACCGATTTCCAGGATACCGGCAGAGGCAGAACCTAGCAAGCGAGCATAACCGGATTGTTTCTTATCAGATGGAGCCATTTTGTTTTATTTATGTTGTTGTTTTACCAAACTCAAGTCCTATATATAGCGATAGTATCTACTTCCAAGTCCCTCTCAACGAAAAGAATGCACAGAACCACCAACTCGAAGTCATCTAATGTCGATCAAAGCAATCTTTCACCAACTGCCAGATTTATATATTCAATCAAAAAATTTCAATGATCTCGAAGAAGCCAAAAAAACGAACAAAAAAACAAAGCGTGCAAAACCAGTCAAATCCAGCGATGACGGTGAAAATTTTCTCGTGCTGTGTTGTTGCCTCTCTGTGGAAGGACTGCAAAATGAGTCAAGGTTGGTCCGAAAAGTGAGGGCCGGGAGAAGCGCGAAGCCCTAATACATTTTGTCGGAACTTGAATTTCCTCCATTTTTTTTGCAACAAAAGCTCTCCAAGTTGCCCCAAAACAATCTGGCTGTTTCCCCCCTGTCAACCCTAGCGAAGCCGCATTCTTGGTCGGCAAACTGAGAAATTTCAAAATTCAACATTGAAACAGGCCGCGCGATCTCTCTCGCTCGGTCTGCTGGCATATTTACAAGGGTAAAAAGAGAATAAAAATAACATTTGGAAAAAAAAGGTATTAGGAAAGAGACAGACAGACAGACAATCTATAAGGAAGGTAAAAAATAAATAAATAAATAAATAAATAACTAGCAATTATTTAGGATATTGATCCGATATTTAATTCTTTGTTTTATCGTTTAAAAGGAATTAATATAGAGGAAAAAAAAAGTAACATTAGTTTACGTTTATATAAGAAACAATTATCTTTATTGTTTTTTTTCGTTTTTTCACAATTTTGGGGGAAAGAACGTTGTTGATACGTGAAACAGCACAATATTTTTTTTTTATTATTTTTGAAACATAATTGAGCTGTACGTTCAAAATAAGAAAACAAAGAACAAAAGGCTTTTTTCAGAAGATTATTATAAATAAAGAATCGAAGTTTAATAGGAGTCATTTAATCAATTGCCTATTCTTTTCTGCTTGTGTTTGCTACTGAAAAACAAACAATGGTTTTTGGTTTATCCCGGAAGGAGCATAAAGTGCCAGATTTATCTAGGTACGACTATTATTATCAAAACAACCAAGATTTTAATAGAAGCGCAAGATTATCAGCTGCAGCTGCTTCAGCTGCAAGTAATGGTGGTAATAGAAGAGTTGTCAGTGCGCAGCCAACTCATCAATCGCGACAACAAACTAGATCAAATTCATTAATACATTCTAAAGATCCACAACGTAGAGCATCAAGCGTTATACCACCAAGAATGAATTCAACTATTAGTTCAAGACCTCGTGTTAAAGTGAAAAATCCAAATTATAAAACTTATTCTTTAAGATCAGAATCAAGTGAAGATCAAATTGGACCTTCAATTAGATCAAAATCAGTAGTGAAAGGAACTAAGATGAAAAATAGTAATAATAATAATAATAATAAGATTACTATGAATAAAAAAGACACTAGGAGTGGAACTCAAAACTCAATACATACTACTAATACTAATATTCAAAAACAGCCACAACAGCCAAAGAAAAAGAAAATTATTAAAAAACCGGCTGTTACAACATCGAGACTCAATTCAATTGCTTCTAACAATAGTACAAATAGACAATTGAGAAAAATGTCTATGAGTGATTCTAGGAGTAATTCTATTACAACTCAGATAACTAAAGTTAAAGATCCTCAGGGGAGAACCACTTCAATTACTCGTAAAACTATTAAAAGAATAGATGGTTACGAGTATATTGAAACAACAACAACTACGACAACAGTAGCTCCCGTTAATGAAACAGAATCTATAGATTCAAATCAAAGACATTTCGATGAATTTAATGATGATTACATTATGGACAATGATTTTGCTCCAATTCAGGACATTCAAGAAGAAACTGAAAATGAGGATTCTCCACAAATCGATGAAGTAATGTTACAAGAGGAATCTCTCACGCCGTCATTGCATGGAAGTTTAAATGTAAATGATGATACACCACATATTGAAGAACCATTGGCAGCTATCGCAGATTCAACTGAATTGTCCAATGTTTCACCTATTCCGGAATCACTTGTTGATGATCAAGATTCTTCATTAAATCAGCATGATGAAGAAGATGATGATGATGATACGGACGATGCTGATGAAATTTACAAGTCACAGGACCCAGAATTATCAGAAACAGCCACAAGCGATGAAAATGTCCCAGGGACATTCGAATATGATTATACAAACCCATATGTGGAAACTGAGGGAACTGAGGAAACTGAGGAAACTGCTAATAACGAAGACGATCATGAGCTAGTTGAAGAGCAACATATATCTACAGAGAAAAGACCAGCCCATCCTTATGCCCAACAAACATTAATTCAGCCACTTTCTCGGCCCTATATTAATGATCCAGATCAGGTAGTACAATCACAAAGTAGCAATACCATTTTTTCAGATGCTCTAGAAGAAATACCAGGTGCAAATGTTGATGATACCATTCAATATGCTAAACATAATACCCCTAAATCACAGATAAAATCAAAGAGTCGACCAAAGAACAATAGAATATCAGTAAATAAGTCAAATAAGCAGACTAAACGAACTCAGAGAGAAACACAGAGCATTGAAATTCAAAGAAATGATGTAAACCAACATCAGAACGTAGCTAGAAAGAAAACCGTAAAACCGAAGAAACCATTAACTGAAGCAGAAATGTATCAAAAGGCTTTAGAAATTGCAACAAAGAAGGTATACAGTGATCGCCTACCATCGACGAATGTAAAGAAACCATCTAAAAGTATGATGGGTCAACGCATGACGTTAAGAAATGAAGAGCCAAATGGGAATAACATGATGTCCCATAGCCAACATCAAGCTGCACCAAATGTGTCTCCAAAAAAACACAAGAGATTATCCTTGTTTTCTTTTGAAAAGCATCATGATGAGCCAGAACATGGCAATAATACGGTTCCGTTACCTACTAATAGTGCGGCATTAATTAATAAGGAAACTCACCCAATTCCACTAAAGGAAGCTGTTCAAGCAAAGGAGCCCTCTGAAATAAAGAGCTCTATGAGTGATGCAGATATGTATGCCAAAGCTCTAGAGGTGGCACAAAGGAAATATCGTGATGCCCATTACATACAAAATTCTGGTATCCCAGTTAATACGAGTAATATGAGTGCTAATAGTGGATTTAGCAGCGGTATAAGAAGCAATAGTATTGGTAACAATATACCTAATGACGCTGCGGGTAGGTTAAGCCTTAATGATCAACTTTCTAAAACTACTACTGGAAGTGCACGCCGTCAAGATGTAACTTCGAATGTATCATTCTTACGTAATGAACCCGTTTCTAATACTGAGTCTGGCGGTGGTATGAGACTGTCAATAGATTCCAAAAAGAAAATGAACGACAGTTCTTATGAGGCTAGGAATGGTGATGAAGCGGTGGCCGTGGTGAACCATAATGTATCTATACCAGAAAACTATATACCAGTCACTGCTTCCTCAGCTATTGTTCGTCCTGCTATCGTCACAACCGTCCCAGAACCAAATAGATATATCACCACTGATATAGATCATAACATAACCACCGTATCAAATAATACTGATAACATATCTACTGATTTTGCCAAGGGCCACCCAATGCAGAAGTCACAAACCAACGATTCGGCAAAGCACAGATCCAAATTTAAACATTTCGTAGATAAAGTGGTACAATTTTCAACTGAGAACAGTGGTTACCAACTGTCGAAGGATGAACAGTATCGACTACAAGGTCAAAAAGGGTCTAATGGTGAAGATGTTGGGGAGGGACGTAATTTCTTAAATGTTACTCCCCCTCAACATCAACTTTCAGCTGTTCCAATTGTTCAACCCCCTGTAACCTATGTGGAGCCTACCTCTGTATCTAGAATTCCAATAACTACAGTTGGAAGTGAATCTTCATTCCAGAGGAAGAACATTACGAATAATAGTAATATGGACAATGGTAATACTAGTGCAACATTGAATACCGTGTCTTCTAGTATATTTAGTAAGGATAAGGGCCCTGTAGATGTGTCCCCTCCTCAAACGTCTTCTAACTATATTCCAAATGAGATTTCCACTCACGAGCCTCTAAAGAAAGGCAGTTCACTACCTAGGACACTTGATCAGGGACATGCCAAGACCTTTCAACAGGCTAATAATAATAGCGTTGGTATGGATAGAATTATAACGCCAGTTACCGTTGTGGCAAATAATGTGGCAACAGTAGAGACACACACAAAGAGTGTGCCAGTACCCACCAGTCCACCCAAGAAGAAGGGCTTTTTCAAGAAGTTATTTAAGCGCTAATCTTGATAACTGAACACAATACTATCGTTATTTATTGATTTTTGTAGAGACTTTTGATTTGACTTTCTCAATCGTTCTGTCATTATTTTTTTTATCAGCATTATCATCATGTTGAACATTCTTTCATTTATATAATTTTACATTTTTTATGTAGTTATACCAAGTTAATTAATTCTTAATCAATAATTCACGAGATATACTTATTAGATAACTATGATACTTGTAAAAGTTACAGCACAGTGAGTTTAATCGAAAAACATGTTCTTAATTATTGATAAATTTCATTGTTATTCTATAGTATACATTGAGTAAGGATGATTAAATTATATATTTACTTATTACACTTATTTTGAATCGAGAATCGTTTTTAAGCTGTCTGTTTCAAACATATTTGAACCTTCTTTCAAAACATTCGCTAGTAAAACCAGTGACTTATTTGTAAAGTCAGGAGCATTTCTTAGAGCGTTAATATCCTCTCCATAATTCTCAAACATTAATCCAAGATATTCTTTCTTTAAATCTTTTGAATTTTCTCCAGACTTGATGGCGTTCTGTACAAGATCACTATTTACCAGATTGGTTTTAGCTGTTTCGACAGTTTCACCTACTTTCTTCAAATCCATTGCATCTTTTTTATCACTGCTAGAACCACCTCTCTGCGTTAGCTGGGTTGTGGTAAACGCTATAGCGGAAAGTTTATCTTTAGTAGCGGTATCTAATACTTCTTCATCAGCTTCCTTTCCTGCAGATTCATTATCTGATAGTTCCACATCAGAAACTTCGGCATTGATGGGAGTATTACTTACTTCCATAGTAATAGATTCATTATCCGATGATGACGATGATTCTGAATCTGAGCTATCTGCTGTTCTTCTCTTCTTTCTTCTTCTAGATTTTTTGATTCCCTTCTGCTTTACGACATCTATATCGCCGGCAGACATTGTTGTATTATTTATATTTAATCTGTGATGTGCTCTTGGTTATATTGTATAGACAATGAAAGGTAAAACTGTGATATATATGTGTAGTTGCCTTACTTAATATTTGTATACATGTTCAAATTTTATTCTTCAAAGAACTCATCTCATCGCTTCGCAAATTTTCAATTTTTTTTATTCGTATTGGGTTTGTATATGTGCGTATAGCGCACAGTGGTCAGAATACTAACAAAACTACTCAACTTATGAAAAATGGAACCCTTCTGGTCTATTAAGCTTAAATAATTTAATTATTCTTCCATTTGCAATTCTAGATCGCTATGATTTGTTTGTTTTATTAATTTACAGATTATATTTAGTGTTGTTAAAATAGTTTGTCCATTTCAACTAATGCATAATCTAGAATATAACTTTGTTCTACCAAGTTATCTACTCTAGCAAAATGTCTTTCCGTATAAGGAATAATGCCATCAATAATTTTGATAATACCTGGGATTTCACTTAATTCGGAGATATTTTGTTTCTGAAGTATGCATTTAATGGTTTTTTGGGCTACACTATGCGTACGGGCATTTGTATTCCAATCACGGCATCTTTTGAAGAGCAATAAGATTTGATCATGACTTAGTTTTGAAATAAGTTCATCTAATTCTTTGTTAAAGATGGAATCCTTTTCTTCCTTAACACCTTCACTTCTTAACCCTGATTGTCTTAAAACGTTAAATAATCTCATTGGATGATCTAACATCAATGCCAATAGGAAAGCGTTGGTCCAATCACCTTCATTCAGATAGTTTTGTAATGTTTGTTCTTGTTCAACCTTTATTTTTTCTTTTTCTAGATCCTCTTCTCTTTGTTCTTCGGTGCAATCCTTCCAGAATTGCATCACACCATCCGCATCTGCACTTACAATTAATTCACCATCATTGATAGTATTCAAAGCCCATATTCTGTTTGCATGACCATCAAGAGTCTTTACACATTCACCAGTTGCGCAATCCCAAATTTTTACCAGACCGTCTGCACCTGAACTAACAAGTTGGTTTTGCTTGTTAATAAATGCACATTTTTGGACAGCGTTTGTGTGTCCCTCTAACGTCTTTTGAACCGTAAATGTATCCAAGGACCAAATTTTTATAGTCTTATCACCAGAGCATGTAGCCAGAATTTTATCATATTGACAAAATGAGACATCCCACAAACCACGCTTATGGTTAGCTAATGTCGCTACTAAATTACCAGTTTCGACATCCCATACCTTACACGTTTTGTCATATGATGCTGTAGCAAAAACAGAATCGTTTGGTGCGACAGATAAAGCATTGATATCCTTTTCATGTGCATGACGGGTATATTCAGATGTATTTACCGTGTATGGTACCAATCCTTCTTCATTTGCTTTGCTTGATGGTTTTGGAATCTTCCATTTTTTAATAGTCAAATCATTTGAACCAGTCAACAAATATTCTGGGTATCCATGTAAGATAACGTTCGGGAAATTCACGGCCGTAACTGATGCTGAATGACCGGTAAATTTAGCGAAAAGAATAAATTTATTAAGAGATTCATCAAATTTCCAAACAATTGCTGTATGGTCCTTTGATGCAGTAGCAATCCATAACCCATCTTCAGTAGAGGTTACGGCATTCAATAGGTCAGTGTGACCTTCGTAAAAATCAACATTTATTAATAATTTTTCTTCTGACGATGATTTCGAATCCATGTCTAAGGATGGGATAATTCTTAAGGTTGGTGAATTCGTTGCTAATGCTATTTTATTGTGATTTGGGCCCACGAACGCCATGTCCGCAATTGTACCATGATTACCAGCTATACATGAATCTGGTGTGATTATTGATTCTGAGCTATCTTGTAATGATTCTTCAATATTTAGTAATTCTATTGTTTGATCAGACAGAACAGTGTATACCTTTGTCTCATTCAAAATAGGTATAACACCAACTATGAAAAGTTCTTCGACTGGTTTCTTTGTGCTCTTAACAACAGTACCTTTTGATAAAGATAAACATTGGAATATGGCATCACCACCTGCCGTGTAAACTAAATCGCTATCTATTTTACTTGAAATAAATCCACATGATTCGATTTGTTGACTTACAGGGATGGTTTTGATTAGTTTACATTTTTTCTTTGTATCAAACTCCCATAAGTTCAAAATATTATCTCTACCACCTGATATTAATTGTAGAGTGCTATTGTTATTGCTATTATCTTCAGATTCTTCATTTGTTTCACGAACGTTAAGACCTCTTATAGCGGATGTATGCTCTTGTGTGGTATGTAAACATTTTCTCTTTACTAAATCCCAAACTTTTAATACCCCATTTGTATCCCCAGAGGTAAGAAGCCAATTATTAGTGTTCGGTTTACCGTAAAATTTCAAACTGGAAATTGTCCCACCATGACCTTTGAATGAGTGCGTGATATAACCATTTTCAATATCAACCACAATTATGGAACCATCAGTACCACCAACACTAACCAAAGTGGAGGTAGCATCAGTATCCATAATGTAACATGGGGAAGAAGTTTTCATTGATCTTACTATTTTGCCTTCTTTTATGGAAAATATCTTTAATAGTTGAGCTTGAGATACAAAACAAAGATATTTTCCATCTGGAGTAATGTGTAATGCAGTAATGTCTTGTTCATCATCATTAGTGATCTTGTGCAATAGTATAGGTTCGGGTTGTAATTGGATGATATTGATCTCATCTAAAACTGGTGTAGCAATCAAAGTACCATCTTCAGATACGGATGCAACGGCACCGGAGCCCGCATAGATTGGTGATAGCATCGAGTTGCTGTAACTCGTGATCAGTTCAACTTTACTCATTATTCTGATTTATTCTTGGCTTAGGTTCTGACTTCTATTGTAACACTTAATTTATGAATGTAGGTCCTTATATAGAGCTCTCTTATATAATATTTATATCTGACTTGATATTTTCAACATAACAGAGACTGGCACTGTGTTACCGATGAGATGCGATGAGGTATAAATTTTCTAAAATTTTTCAAATCGCGTTGTACGAAGCAACACTTCATTTTTAAGAACTTCAAACAACATATAAAGAAACTATATAAGAAACTAGTAAGAAATATGATTATGAAAACTGTGTTTTATACAATATTTGGTTTATCCATATATGTGCAAAATGTATATATACACTTATGTTTATGTAAAATTGGAATGTTTCTATTTGTTTATTGTTTATGTTTGAAATTAAAAAAAATGGATAAATATGCGTTAAGGATTAGGGAATATTTCTATAATGTACCGGGAATAATGATAAGGTTGAGAGAGATAATGCAAAGTATATAAGAGCATTCAGAGATATTGGCGTATTATTGTTGTCTTGCTGCAATTAATTGGGATAGTTGCAACTTTTTGATCTTGTAATATATTTTTATTTGTTTGTTCGTTAAAATAGTATGCAATGGGTTAGAGTTTTAGAGATCAGATGTTTAGAAATATGTTTAACTTATTGAAGAACTTCATTAAATTCAAATGCACTTGATGGGTTACCATTATTCAAAATACCTTCGATGTCGGCCAATGCGGATTCACTGAATAACCCATTTTTGGTAAAACGAAGATTCTCAGCAGCGGCCTCGGCCATGCTTTGTCTACGCTGTTTCCACAATGAGGTGGAGCCATTGCCATAATCATCAAAGTCAACTGGCGCTGTTAGTGAGGCAATAATATTGGCATCAGAATCTGGCATCAGAATATCTGTATGGTTTAGATCATTTACATAGCCTAGTGGTTCATGTGTATCATCCAATAAGTTACTATCATCTTTACCAAGGATTTCATGAATCTCATCGATACCAACACTTTTCAATGAGTTTTTTCTTGAAGGTGTTTCAGTAAGTTGGTGGTCAGATAATTGTAAATGATCCATCAATTGCAACTTGCTATCACCCATTGATTGTTCTAAGGAGGTCGTGGAATCGTGTGGATGACTGTCAAGTATAGATTTCTCTTTTTCGACACGAGCTTTTTCACGTTGAAGTTTTAAAATCTTTCTCTTTTTCTTTAGAAGCCTTTTCTTTTCTGTTCTTTTCCTTTGGAGTTCTTTCATCTTGTCAATCTTCTTTCTTGTTCTTTCACCACCGACATAACCAATAGGAACTTTTCTTCTACTTAAGCTTGGTAACATATATTCATCTTCATCATACAAATCAACTCCTTTATTTCTAAATGCAGATAGGGGGACCTTAGGTTTGTTATACCAATCAGAAGTTATTATTGTTTCGTTGTTATTGTAATTATTGGCGTCTCCTTCTTCGTCCATATCACTCATATTCAATAATTCATTTAATGTAATCTCTTCTTCTGCTGGAGAATTATTATCGCTATTCGTAGCAACAACGCCATCCTTTGAAGTTCCTACAAGATTCTTTTGAGTTTGTTGATCATGGAGTTGTTGGTGGTCTTGGATTAAAGTGTATAATGACTTCGTGGAAAGACCGTCTATAATACTGAAGGGTTTGTTGTCTGTTTCCCAAGTACCTAATTTAGGAGGGCGAAGTCCGACTGTATTTGAGCTGACAATTTCTTTAGCCTTTGTACCAATATTTTTCTTTCTTTGTTCAGGGGGTGGAATATTGTCGTCCTCATCAGTGGATTCATCATCAACATAGACTACAGTTTCTACAACACTATCTTTATTTTTACTTTCGGTGCTATCAGAACTTGAGTGTGTATAAGATGAATCATCGTCGCTGTAATGGAAGTAGAAGGAATCTGGATCAAGATCGTCGATATCTATGAACACGTTAGTCATACTACCATCATCATCCAAATCGTCGATGTCCATGTCAGATTCTAAGTCCAGTGTGTTCTCAACTTTTCCAGTACTTGAGACTCCTGACTTCAATCCACTACTTTTCTGAGATTCATCGTCAGAAGGAATATGGGCATTTTCTAGTAAAATATTATCGTAATCTGAATCCGAGCTGTTGTAATCGGAATGACCAAAGAGGGTACTCCCTTTTTCTTTGTTTTGTTGAATGTTTGCCGCTAAAGATTTACCTTTAGCTCCAGTACCCTTGTTGTCCATATCATCTTCCTCATCATCATCACTATGGAAGAAAGCACCAAAACTGTACTCATCACCATCGATATTTAAACTTCTATTAGTCATGGCATTCTTACGCAATTGTTTTCTTGTTTGGATACGTTCCTGACGTTCCCTTTTCTTAGCTTCTCTTTTTTGCATCCTATTTTTCTTCTCTTCATTCAGTATGAGAGGTAAAGATGTACTTAAACTCAGTTTGGGTTCTCTTCCATCTTCATAATAATATAAGTTGGAAAATTTAGGGTCTTCATAAAACGGCATATCAAAGTCTGACATTATTTCATCATCATCCTCATCGTAATCTTCCTCATCATCTATATATTTGTTCGTTATTAGTTGAGGTCCAAGTGAGTCCACTGGATCAGGTCCATCCTCATGTACACTACCGTTAAACGACAAATCGTCATCATCTTGAAGTTCTTTTACTATATTTTGTTCTTCAGCCTCCAATATTGGTAAATCATCCTCGCCTGTCTCTAATCCTGTATCTATTTCTCCGATTGAATCTTCATCATTATTAATAGCCGTAAAGTAAGTGTCCTGGTCAATATCATAATCAGATTCCTCAGAATCAGAAAATGTGGGTGCATGTAATGGGTCAACGGTGTCCTCTATGTTCGGTATTATGTTAGCGTCGTTAGTAGCGTCCTTTAAATCTTGGATTTCTTCACCTATATCCTCTTCACTGCCCGCTTTCGGCGATGCCACTTTGTTGAGACTCGTTGACTTATTTTTGTTGGATTCGTTTAATTGTGGCTTAGTGGAGTTCTTATTTTCATTTTTAGCATTTTTTAGTTGTTCTTTCTCTTCTTTCTCATTTATGATATCAGCTGCAGTTTTGCCTCTTTTAAGTTTTGTGAATGCTTGCATAACTTTCTTCTTCCGTTGAGCTGATAATTTAACAAAATCTATATTTTCATCATCAGAACTACTCATTTCACTATCACTATCATCGTCGTCGTCGTCGTCATCACTAGATTCTTCATCGTCGTCAATTACTCCGTAGTCAGAAGATTCAGTACTTTCGTCATCTATTGCATTATTTGAAGGTTTATTATTTTGAGATCTATCTTGTATCAGTTTACTCTGTTTACCATATGAGTTATTTGAAGATTTTTTTCCTTTATTTTGTTTATTAAATTTCTTATCATCATCGCTAACATCACTTAATGATGAATCTGAACTATATATTAGACTAAATCGCCTTGGTCTAGCAGCCATCGTTGGTACGCCTTTCCCAGCTACCTTTGATGTTGCCATCTTCATGGGTGATTTATTATCCACCATTTTTTTGTAGACAAAATTGAGGAGCAAAGGGCTGTATAACAGTTATTTTTAATTTAATCAAATGTTCTTAATAATCCAAAGTAGGTTTTGTCAAAGTTGATTTTCTTTGTATGAAATATATATATATATCTTTTTAATTATAAGGAGTACTGTAAACCCAATCAACAGGAATGAGCTCTTCGCTTTTCTTAAAAAAAATTCTTTCTTTGAAAATATACCAATCTTCAGTTAGTTTCCTTATGTTGGTATCAGTTCCACAAAAAATGAGGAGTTATATCGAATCGTTTGTTATTGCAATCTCTTTAAAAGAAAATTTGATTTCAATAATAATAACAATATCAATTGCACACTTGTTCTAGGGAGAAAGGTCTAATTTTGAAAATTTTATCTCCACTGAAAAATTAGGTAAAAATGCGAATAATTCAATAATAAAAAAAAAATAGAAGATGAGAGATGGGATGGTCTGCGCAGATACCTGTTTTGGGACATATAGAATTTTGTCTCAATTTGTGTATTGTATTATCTAACATGGCGTAGAAAAAAAAAATTTTCAGCAAACATTATAGAAAACGGGGAGTTACTACGGCTTTCTCGTTGATTCTCTTTTCTTTCTTTCTTTTTTTTTTCTTTGTTGCTAAAATGGTTTAACCAATATTTACAAGTTCCATGCAGCTCGTTAAAAGTGATTTTGTATGGGGACATCTCTTAACTAAGCAGATCATATATTCATACGGCCTTTGAACTATTATTACAGGAAGAAATGTTGAATAAAGGGTTCATTGATTATCTCAAAAATTATAAAATGATGAGGGGGGTGTTTACCTTTATGAGAAATGACAACTATTGTGAACTCAACGAAGTTTGATCAAGATCTACACTGTGTTTCATAAAGCAAAACGTATGCATATTTCTTTCTACCCACGTTTTTTTAATAGGGTTGCGATGATTTGCAAAAAATTAATTATTTAAAATCTAACTTTATACAGATACAATCCATTACATTAATACCCTTGTTTTATTAGGGAAATGAATTTACCTATATCTGTTTAAGATTCAGTGGATAAAGAATAGACATCATGCTTGATAGAATTAATCTTATCATAAAAGCAAAAATTAAACAAAAAAGTACGAATCATTATGATTTAGTTCATCGTTATGATTTACTTCGAAATACCATCACTATAATACTCGTTCAGTAGCACGTACAATGATAGTAAAGTAGTTCCTTAAAAGAAGAGTCCTTAATATTGAAATTATAGTATTGGTGGGGAGTATTAATCTGCACTGGAGTTATAGCTTCTACCAATCTTTGCTAAATGCAAACCAGGGCATCCCGTTTTGGGAGAAACAACATATACTCTATCACTAATAGCACAACATTATTCAACTATATCCAAAACTACTAGGTGGCAGACATATCTTTTGTTAATTCCATAATTTAAATATTTAACCGCCAATGGCAATTCTATCCATTTTTGGGGGTCTCTATTTCTTCGTAAAGTCAACTTGTTTTAAAACTCCGCGAAAGCGCACGGCAGAAAACCGAATACAAGTAGGGACAAATCTAATATTTAGTACCAAGGAGACAGATTAGATACAATAAAAGAGGGCAGAGAAAGAGGGAAAAGGATAGATATTTAGTGGTTATATATCACTGGAAGAACAGATTTAATTATTTTTACCAAGTATCATATGCCACTGTTATTGACTGAGTTGCCAGCAGAGATTCTTTGCTATATTTTGAATCTTACGAAGAGAGATCTCTGTGGCGTTTGTAAGTTATTTATGAGTCTGTACAATGATACATATATGCACAAATGTTTGAAGATATTCCCTCTTGGTAATCAAGCTTGGAGTGTCTTGCAACAACCTTTGAAGGAAGAGATTATGACATTGGATGTTCATAGACGACATATACGGCGGTCTCTATATATGAATTTACTCGAGAACCCTAAGAATGATTTTGGTCAGAATTCGTCAGATAATGTTCCATTTGGAGAATATATTGTAGATTCATGGTATTTGATTCATAGTCTTCTATTTACTTGTCCGTTCGTTTCAAATATTAATTTATATGATAACATTCAGGAGGATGAACCAATTATGCATAGTACACTTTTTTGTTTACCGAGACAGTATTTAATAAAGTCTCCCAGAGTTCCACTTAATATGTGGCTATCAATCAAAGATGTATCTTACCTATACCCAATCCGTAATATTATTACAAATGTAATGGCTACTACTGATATACGACGCAATGAAGAGTTCTCTCCATTAGGTCAACTTTGTGATTGGATAAAAGAACCGGGAGTATATTGTATTAGACTTGGAACAATATCAGTATCATATATGGATTACCAGAAGGATAACTTAAGTCATTTCCTGTCCATGAAAATTGTAGCGTCATTAACAGGTGGTTATGATTGGAACAATTTGTCATCGATAAATCTTTTGGGTTATAATTTTGATTCCTATGCTACCCACTTGAAAAGACCTTGGATTTTATTTAAATTAGACTTAATGTACGAATCATTGTTTTATCCAGCACAAATACCTAAGATGAACTCCATATTAAGTAGTCTGGAAGATGAAATTCAGAATGATCCAATGACCATCACAACAACAATTGACAAAACCATCACTCACAACAACTCTGTATCCGAAATTCCCCCACTAATAAGACAAGATTTTAAGATACCTTTAGAGATATTATCGACATATAGAGATGACCAGATGGATCCCCCAATTATTCCATCCATACCTGATCCAAGAGTACCATCAATAATAATATAGTTAGTTGTTCATGGGAATTTTTTACTGCTCGTTCAACATGATTTTACGTTCCTCGGCTTGTCGCTTCATTAAAGAACAAAATGCAAAACTGGGTTAGATGATATCTCTCTACCTAAGATATCCAAGAAATTTTCATCTCATTCTATTATCGGACTAACCAATATTTCCTTCATTTATTATTATATGATATTATAGTGTTCATAAATGAGTTTATTTATCACGTTTTTTTTTCTTGTAAAAGTAGTCAGCTAACCAACTTCATTGTTCAAGTGATTGTACATTCGTCGGTGTGCACCTTTTATTTTTTGATTTTAACCTTCTCGAACCATCCTATTCTAAATCTCAACTGCATCACATACACAATATACATAAAGCATTTTACATAGACATCATTTCATTATCATTAATATCACTAGTATAAAATGTCTGAAGAGAAGAGGTCAATATCAACTTCTATTAACAAAACAAAGGCAGAGTTGAAAGCACATCCTTCTACCTTACAGAAAACCATGTCCTTTGATGACGCAATTAAGGAAGCTCTACATTCACCTGCTACAACCACAACAAGCACTCCTGCCCAACAAGTAAATAAAACATATAACTCAAGACTATATTGGCCAGATATTATTAATACGCCGGAGAATAAATGGACGTTTAGTTGTGTTGAGATTATTGATAAACTTGATAAAAATGAGCAAAGAGCAACAGAAGAAAAGAAAAATATGGAAAAATGTTTAATTTATTTTTATACCATGAAGAAAAAATTAAACCTGTTCGATCATACTTATACTGCTGCGAGTATACTGTTTTATCGTTTCTGGTATCTATATGGTTTGCCAGCATCGTTGATCAATTGCATACACGTTTCTCAAGCAATCTTAGTCACAGCTTGTAAAACTATGGAGAATAATAGACCAATTGATGCATATATTAAGGCTACATGTGAATATATAAACCAAGTAATATATGGGAATAGAAATGCAGGAAATATTGATAAATTAAAATGGGAAGTTAGGGATAAACTTGTAAATTATGAACAAAGAATTCTTACTCATTTTGGATTTGACATTAATATTGAAAATCCAAAGGAAATCGTGGAAGATATATTTAGTGGATTTTATAGATATAACAGGGATTATGATCTACCTTCTGATTTTAAAGAATCATTACCAAAAATTTTAGTTGAAGTGAGAAGTTTCATTATCCAAGCTGTAACACAACCTGTCTCCCTATTATGTGATGGTTACTCATTTTTGGCTTTAGCAATGTTGTATTGCGGTATTCAATATAAGAAGATTTCTAATGAAGATTTCAAATATCCAAAGGATTTTTTTAAAGAGAGATTTCCAATAAGAGTGACTGCGGAGAAATTTGAAGCATATTTCACAGACTATAGGTTATTAGAGCAAAGTTTCTTCGATTTAAAGAGTAATAAAGGTGATAAATTACAAATTAGCAAAAATGATATTGAATCAATAATAGAAGAGTCCACTGATAACGAGGAACCTATTGGGGATCCATACTCTTATGATAAAATAAAATCAGGTGAAGTCCAACAAGATCTATTGGATCATATTGAAGAGAGAGTTAATGAATATATAAATAGAATAACCGCTGGAAAGAAACATTCACATTCAGGTGATGGTGTCTCTTCCCAAAATGCATCAACAACGACGTCACCATCTCGTAACCAAGAGCCAGCGACCAAAAAGATGAAGATATGAATGATCTTAGAAATTGCCTCATGTCCTAACTAGTATTAAGTAGAAGTATGTAGAAAGTGGGTTCAATCAAAAGATTTAACAGATTTAACGGATTTAACAGATTTAACAGATTTAACAGATTTCAATATAATGTTGACAAAAAAAGAAGCCAAGTAAGTCATCTCTCTTAAATTTACAGCAGGTGAATAAATATAAAAAGTTTCAGTTCCCTTAAGATAATTTAAAAAAAAAAATGTTATTTATTTCAAAAATGAAATGATGTGTCATTAATACGTTAAATAATTCTACAAATAAACTTTCTACATAAGTTCAGAAAGATTGGTAGTCGTCATTGAGGGTAATCCACCACCTAAAAAGTCCAGCATCATATGCATACCGCCACCTCCATTATATTCATCAACATCTTGTGGTAAGACATGTGATACACCTTCTAAGAACCAAATTTTGTCCTTTACCTCGGTTGTGAAATTATGTAACATTTTGTAATAACTTCTCATAATCCTCATTGCATCTAAATCACCAGTCATTAATAGAGCCAAAAATGTTTTATCCAATAAGGCAGGGAAGGCAAATACTCTAAGAATAAAATCTAATTGATTCTTTTCCCTGTGTAATTGATCCAGGTATGCTAATGTAACAAAATATGGAGAATCCACTTCCACTGGATATAAATCAGAAATACTCTCGTCAAAACAAACAAGGTCAGAAATTGCACCATTTTCTTTGTTGACCTCACTACTAAATCCACTTAAGTCTACAGATATAATGTTCGAAAACTTGGAATTAGCAGGTAATGGCCAAACTGCGGTCAAAATAGTCACGGCACCTTTAACATGGAAGATCCAAGCAGATGTGTTCCCTTCTGTAGAGTTCAGAGCATTAGCCAGAGAATCCATAATTAAGATCAATGCAGATGCTACTAAGGCGTCAGTATTATCATCTGATATTTCCAAAACGGCTTCACGTAGCAGTTTTAATGCATTTAAACGATGTTCAGAAACATAGTCCTCAAGGCCAGGTGTTGTCCTAGATAAATGTGTAGCGCTAAATGCAAGAATTGTATGCATTAAAAATGGATACTCAAAAGCTAATTCTGGAATGTATGTCTTCCATACTTCAGGGCCTGATATACCAGCATCTGTGATTGTTTTCCATACTGTAGTACAGTAATGATGGAACAATTTCAAGTCCACCAGATTTAAACTTGATGAGTTTGACATTTCTACTAATTTTGATGTCTTTGCTCCTATTCCAATACCATAGGAATTGTTTGAAGATGTTGTCATTGGGCTTTCATTTTGGTCACCATCTGTCTTATCTAGGCCCTTTGGACTTGAAGTAAGAGAGTCTCTTGGGGATGTTTTTTCAATATTGAGGGCATTTTCTAATGAAGTCTTTAATAGTGGATTCATAGAGTCTAATGTAGACAATATATTTGCATTCTTTGACAATTTTTCTTCCTCTCTCGAATTGTTTTGCTGTTTTGTCTGTTGTAAGATTTGTTTCAATTCTAGAATCTTGTTAACTCGTTGTTGTTGTTGCTGTTGCATACCTGCTAAGGCTTCTTCGGCATTATTTGCTTTTGCAGCTCTTGTTACGTTTGAATTGCTGGTATTATTATTTTGGCCACCACTCAAGCTATATTTATTTCCTAACAATTCTTGGAAGTCAAATGGTAGAGAGTTCAAATTAAAACCTGTACTTGCTAACATACTTGTAGCATCAATGCCTTGATTTGCCAATGTTGGTAAAATATTTTTCAAATTAATATTTAATTTGTTTAATTGAGATAATGCTTCGATATTGAAAGGCATATTAATATTTGCTAATCCTGCAAGAGAAGACTGTTGCTGTTGTTGTTGTTGTTGTTGTTGTTGCTGTGATTGTTGCTGCTGCTGTTGTTGTTGTAATAACATTTGAGTATCATTCTGCATGCTTAATTGATTTACACCGACTGTCAATGAATTTGAAGACTGGTTTGTATTTGATCTGTTTGGGGATAATAAAAAATTTAAACTATTTGACGCAGCCATTCCAACAGATTGTAATTTGGGACTGTATGTGCCTTGCATATTCATGAATCTATCGGTACTATTGCCTATCGTACCAGAATATTGTGGTGTATTTGTTGAATTTGTAGCAGAAAACATTGAAGGTTCAGACCCTGTGTTTCCACTACTAACTGTTCCAGCATGGCTATTACTCCCTGTAATCAATGGTGGCAAAAGTAAACCATTTGGACTATTGCTAGCATTGTTTGCAAGCCCCAATAGTGAAGCTGCTAAATTATTTGTACTATTACTATTACTATTACTTAGAGGATTGTTTCCATTATTATTGTTATTATTACGTTGTGGTAAACCATTTATCATTTTCTCGTTTTGTAATTGTTGTTGCATGAATTGTAATTTTTGTAATTGTTGCAATTGTTGTAATGGTTCTTGATCTTGAATTAATTTTAAATTTTCTAAAATATTCAAAGAACCATTAGAATTATTCGTCTTAAAGGATGCAGATTGGTTTGCACTTTTTGTTGATGATGAAAAAATTTTCTTGGTGGAAGTAGTAGTAGTATTCACACTAGCTTTCGTTGCATCATTAGAATTAGATCTTGATGGTTTAGTTACTGACCCATCAGATTTTGCTGTTCTTTTCCTCTTTCTTTGTTTTGGAGGAGAATATATACAATCTAATTTCATATTATCGCATTTTTTACAAGTTGGTTTACCTTCATCACATTTAACTCTACGTCTTTTACAATTATCACAACCTGTCTTTGATTTATTATGAAATTTTCTTTTACCCATGGAGGTTCTACTGACTTGTTTCCCATCAATAACGATTAAATCGGGATTATTTAAAGGAGAAGGTTCAATCTCCGTCTTAACACTGATTTCCAATTGATCCATCTTAATCACAGAAAATGATGTATGTATATATCTTGTTGTATTATAGGTGTTGTTGTTTTGGGGTCCGTATGTGAATCCAACAAAAGGAAAAAAATAAAATGAATTAACAAATTAAGGTAATGATATTCTTAAAGGAAATAGAGCCCTTGTCTAATCTAATTTACAAACAAACAAAAAATTACTATTTTCTTTATTATATATATATATATCTGTATAATTAACAGAAGAAGGAAATCAAAAAGTGGGCTTTGATAAAAAAGCTACCAGTAAGTTAAATATCCTTAAGAGATTATTTCTTAATTCAGAATATTCAAACAAAAAATGTACTTTCCTTCTCTTTGCTGAGTAACCATCTCTTCCTCTTCTTCTTCTTCTTCTCTCCAATGACTAGAATTTACAAATATCACTTTCTCCTGCTTGGATGGTTCTTTTGAATAATAGGAAGAAGCTTATCTTTTTGTTTACTTGTTATTTTTCGTCATCGACAGAATTGCCTCTCTTTGTTTTCTTTCGTCATCGACAGAATTGCCTCTCTTTGTTTTCTTTCGAAATATTTGGTTATTTGACGTTGTTTCTTTTTTGTTGTTGAAGAAATGTACTTAGAATAAAACGCAGGAATTAGAAGTAAAGGTGCCGAATTTTTGATTCTTCCACGCGCGCGGGGACTGGGAATTATCTTGCTCTTGATTTTCTCTTGGGGATTTCGTTTAATTTGAAAATTGCAAGAGCTTTCGTTTAATTTAGACTGTTGTTGAGTTAAACGAAAGAGACAAACGGAGCGAGAAAGTATGCAAGTTGCTTTCTCACTTTAAATTATTTTTCTTTGTACCCTATACGATAGAAGATTGAAAATACCCTGATTTTTCCTTTGGGGGTGTTTGCTCCGGGGCACTCAAGGGAATTATCTTGGTTTCCTTGTACCTTTCACTCGTATTTTAAATTCCCTCTAGAAGAAACGTGGGGTTTCTAACTTATACTCTCGGGTACTCTATACGAAAGCAACATGCATTTGGATGAGTCCTTTCCTGTGGTTGTTGGGAATCCTGGTAGAATAAACCTTTACCAAAATCTCTCGTACAGGTGTCGAGCATATAGGAATGGCTGTTACCACTGTGATCATGTGACTTTTGTCCCCTTCGTTTGCATATCTCTGGTGAAAAGAGGTACAAAATACTTAGAAATAGTTATATTTTGGGTTCAAATCTTTAAATGGGGAGAGAAAAAAATAATCTTTGTACGACGAGAGATAGTCAATTGGCGGGTTGTCAGGACTTTGTCAAGATTCGTTACCGTGACGATGTGGGGTTTCCTGCTGTCAAATTAAGAAATAAAAACAAATATAGTAATAAGCCAATATTCACGCACTCAATATAGATATGAGGTTTTCCCACTCGTTGGTTTTCCCATTGGATATGGTTTTCTATACGTAATTTAAAATTTTGTTGATTGGTTTAACTTAATTTAACCAAATCATCTTCTGTTAAGCCACATACTCAAGTGTTATTGATCTACATTCTCTGTACATCTTTCATGGATAAATATGTGTCTAAATTGTTAAGAATGGGATTAATTTTGTCACCTATACGACTGTTAGTTTTTCCGGTTATTAAGATTATCTCAAGCTACTTTTTTGTATTTCTTACTGTCGTTTTTATGATATTTTT